TGTTTTAAATAATGTTTTTAGTGTTCTGTGTGGTTATTCTGTTGACCACTCAGAGTTCCTTCTAGTAGATCAGAGGTCTCCAGGGACCAGTTCCATGGAGAAATGTTTTTCTGCAGACTGGAGAGTGTGTGGGTTTGTGTGCTGCCTGCATCCCATGGATGGGGATTTGCTTGTTTGTGCGGCCCGGTTGCTGGCATGCCATGACCTGGTACCAGTCCATGGACCGGGGGTTGGGGATCCATGTGGTAGATGGGCAGCTATATAAGTATCACAAACAAACAAACAAACAAACAAACAAACAAATAAATAAAATTTTGGTCTGTCTCCCAAGGAGGGGAAAAAGGGATGAATTTTTTAGTCACATACTTCTACGCTGACAGCCAGGTTGTTGCACTATTAAAATTATTTTACATCTTTTATTTTTGAGATTTTTACCTTTTTATCACCAGAAAAGTAGCACAGATTGTGAGATCACTATCTTTCTTAAATTATGTGGCTAGGGAGAATTTGCCATCCAAGGCAACTCTTAAATGATAGATGATAGCTGTAGGAATAGATAAGCTATACAATGCAACAGAGCAGAACCAGTATCTGAAGGCCACGAGGTCCTCTGGGAGAAGATGTTTGAGATTTTCAGTCTTCTACATTATGGAATCAGCTATTCTACTACATATATTATCATAAATGGATTCCAAATGTTTTGGAATCTTTTACACCAACTTAGGTTTCTTTAATCTTTTTTTTGTTCTTGGGGTGTATGGGGTGATCAGGGAGGGGTAGTACCTCTGGTGTAGGGCATGTTGTGCCTCTTTAGGGCAACTCGTACATCTTTGGTCCCCACCTGACACTTAGCTCTCACCTGTGGCTCCTAGTAGCTGTAACATGCGCAGCGGCCACACCCCGGGCAACAGCTTCGACAAGCTGGCTAAACCAGGTTGAGAGTAGCCGTTGTGTCTTTGACACTCGGTGAGTAAGGGATTTGTCTATCCCAAGCATGTGAAGACAGACTCTGGTGGATTGAGCGGATGAGATCTATTAAGATAGAACCAACGGTCATGAAGGCAGTTTCTGCAAGTGACATGGTACGCTGAGAGCATGACAAGACATGAAAGATGCCCTGGTCAACCACTGCGCCCAGCCCATCTCCAACTGTCTCGACTTTTATCCTGCCATTGGAATAAGATGGAATCTGGGAAGAGAGAGTGAGGCTGACTATGCGCACCTCTCCCTCACTTAAATCCAATCCACGCGCAGGTCTTGACATCTTGACTTTCCCTAATTCTGACAAATCTTAAAGTCCTGTGGCGATAGGCGAGCGAAGAAGCAGCAGGTGTGGAATCACTGGGAGCTGTGGATGCAGACCTGCACACAGGCGGCTCAGGTCTAATGGTCGCTTCTTGCTGATGAAGCAACAGCTGGATTCGGCGTCTATCTGAGCGACTGAGCAGCCCTCTTTAGGATCACACTGCTCACCTCAGTAGTATGAGGAAAGGGCTAGAAAATATGCCCTAAACATTGTTGCTTCCTTCAAACCCTGTCCAGCCTACTGCAGTTGGAGGGGATCCCATTTCATGCGGTCAAAATACAAAATTTAAGACGAAACACAAGGTGTTACCACTTATTATTGGTACATGGAACGTACGTATGCTTCAAGACAATCCGTTAGCAGATCGCCCAGAAAGAAGAACAGCTCTGGTAGCCAGAGAGCTTGTAAGATTTAACATTGACATTGCGGCTCTGTGTGAAACTCGTCTAGCCAATGAAGGTCAGCTCACAGAAACAGGAGGCAGTTACACATTTTTTTGGTGTGGACATAGCAGTGACCAACGTCGTGGGTCTGGAGTTGGCTTAGCGGTTAAGAACCATCTTGTTCACCAATTTGCCAGTCTTCCTAAGGGTGTGAATGATCGACTCATGCCACTGCATCTCCCATTACTAAGTGGAAAGCAAGCCACATTGATCAGTGCCTACGCACCCACAATGACAAATCCAGATGAAGTAAAGGACAAGTTTTATGAAGATCTTGATGCCCTACTTTCATCTGTGAAGCGCACCGATAGGCTGATTTTACTTGGCGATTTCAACGCAAGAGATCATTCTACCTGGGATGGCGTTATTGGTAAAAATGGAATTGGCAAGTGTAATAGCAATGGTCTGTTACTATTGAAGACATGTGCTGCTCATGACCTGGTCATTACTAATACCATCTTTCGCCTGCCTACTTGTAAAAAGACGTCCTGGATGCACCCACGCTCCAGGCACTGGCATCTCATTGATTATGTCATCGTGCGGAGGAAAGACATGCAAGATGTAAGAGTACTAAGGCTATGCCGAGTGCTGACTGCTGGACTGACCATAGACTCATCATTTCCAAATTAAATATTCACATCAAGCCAAAGAATCGTCCACAGGGAAACAGAGTTGTGATGAAAAAGATCAACGTCAGTACACTGGAAAACCCCGACGTAGTAGCTTCATTAGTAAAAGATCTTGACAATCAATTCCTGGAGCTGCAAATACAGGAAAATGCTGAGAAGGACTGGGAATGTTTCCGGGACATTTTGCACTCTTCTGCACTTAAGGTTCTTGGACCTTCATATAGGAAGCAGCAGGACTGGTTTGATGAAAACGATGAAGAGATTAAGGCCTTGCTTGCTGAAAAACACCATCAGAATGACCCATCGTCAACTGCAAAGAAAAATGCTTTTATAAACACTCGCAGGATTGTACAGAGCAAGCTCCGCAAGATGCAGGATTCCTGGTTGAGTGCCAAAGCAGATGAAATCCAGAAGTTTGCTGATAGAGGCGATGTCAATGATTCTATGAAGCCCTTAGATCCCTGTATGGACCTCAGCCCTTAGGAAGCTCTCCTTTACTGGATTCGAGTGGTGCAACTCTTATCACTGAGAAGACCCTGATTTTACAGCATTGGGCCGAGCATTTCCACTTTGTGCTGAACCGCCCATCCACCATCAATAATGTGGCAATTGAAAGGATATCCCAGGTAGATATCAACTATAGCCTGGATGCCCTACCATCAGAGGCTGAAACCTCACAGGCCATCAGTCAGTGTTCCAGTGGTAACGCGCCAGGATCTGATGCAATCTCAGCGGAAGTCTATAAGGCTGGTGGTGCTGTGCTTGTTGAAAAACTTACCCATTTGTTCTGATCTTTCTGGAAACAAGGTTCCATTCCCCAGGAACTGAAAGACTCATCCATCGTACACCTCTACAAGAGGAAAGGAAATTGACAAGTCTGCGATAATTATAGAGGAATATCACTTCTCTCCTTCGCAGGCAAGATCTTTGCATGAGTGTTGCTAAATCGCCTGATTGACCATCTGGAACAGGGTATACTACCTGAGACACAGTGTGGTTTGCGCAAAGAGCGTGGCATGGTGGACATGATCTTTGCAGCTCGACAGCTCCAGGAGAAATGTCAGGAGCAGAATCTTGAATTATACACCACCTTTGTGGATCTCACCAAGGCTTTCGACACAGTTAGTTGTGAAGGATTATGGCGCATTATGTCAAAGTTTGGGTGCCCTGACAGATTTATTCTGATGGTATGGCAGTTCCATGATGGCATGGCGGCTCGTGTTCTGAGTAACGGTGGAGCCTCAGAGGCCTTCCCTGTCACTAACGGCATTAAGCAAGGCTGCGTGCTGGCACCAACCCTGTTCAGTATGATGTTTTCAGTCATGCTGTCAGATGCCTTTCAGAACAGCTCAGTGGGAGTTAATCTGAGGTACAGAACCAATGGGAAATTGTTCAACCTGCGAAGACTTCAGGCTGTCACCAAGGTAAAGGAGACTGTGCTATGAGATCTCCTCTTTGCTGATGACTGCGCTCTTAATGCAGGATCAGAGCAGGAAATGCAAGCCAGCATGGACAAATTCGCAGCCGCTTGTGACAACTTTGGCCTCTTCATCAACATGAAGAAAACTGAAGTGATGTACCAGCCAGTTCCAAAAGTCCAATATCAAGAGCCTACCATCACAGTAAAGGGACAAAAGTTGCAAGCAGTGAACCAATTTACGTATCTTGGTAGTACCCTCTCCCGTGCAGTGACAATTGACAACGAGGTCAACTGTAGAATTGCCAAGGCAAGTTCTGCATTTGGCAGATTGCGGACTAACATGTGGGACTGCCATGGAATAAGCCTTGCTACTAAGCTTAAAGTTTACCGGGCAGCAGTGCTAACTACCCTGATGTATGCTAGTGATACCTGGACAGTGTACAGGAGGCACGTTAGGCAACTGAACTACTTCCACATGACTTGCCTTCATAGAATTCTGAAGATCCGGTGGTAGGATAAGATACCAGACAAAGATGTCCTCTCCAGAGCAGGCTTATCATCAATTTACACTCTGTTGATGAAAGCCCAGATGCGCTGGGCAGACCATGTTGTAAGGATGCCAGATCATCGCATCCCTAAACAGCTCTTCTATGGTGAGCTGTCTCAAGGAAAATGATCGCAGGGGGACAAAAGAAGTGATACAAAGACATGCTGAAAGCCTCTCTCAAGTCCCTGGATATTAACACCATCTCTTGGGAACTTCTGGCGCATGATCGACCGACATGGGGCACCTTGGTGTACCAGGATTGCCAGACATATGAACACAGAAGGACAATCTTGGCACAAGAGAAGCGAGCACTCCACAAAGCCAGAGCTGTAAATGCTGAAGTAACAGTGTCTACATTTCTTTGTTCAGTATGTGGTAGAACATTCCGTGCTAACATCAGTTTTATCAGCCACCTACGGACACATCGTTGATGGCCCATAATCCACAAGATGTCAAGGTCCTCATAGAAATTGATGGACGAACAACACAATGCACCACAAACTGAATTTACATAATAGTTATATTGCTGTAACTTTTATAAAACAGTTATACCTTGTCAATAACTTTTATAAATTCTAAAGTCTCAGGTAAGACCTGATAAGAAATTGTTCAATATTTTTAGGGGGTGGGAAGAACACTTACGAATTAAATATACCTTTGATTTTGACTCTATTTGAGGTCCAAGGACAAGCAATTCATCTTGCATATTTGCAATCTGTGAAGTTCCATCCAAGATTTTTGTCAGACCAGAATGATAGCAAGCTCTAAAATAAAAAATAAGAGTTAAAATCTACTTATATTGTAGGCCTGATAGTCACATAGTATATTAATTAGATCAACTACCTAAACAAACTACCTTTTATTAAGTGCTAGGTGCATAGAAGTCTTTTGATAAAGCTACACATACCAACTGTATGAAGTCTATCATGAAAAACTATGGTAAGCACTATGCCTGGAATTGTGAATATGCTTTACAGATATATAATTTATAAAATATTTTATTGATATTAAGTCCATTGTTTCTATTATATTTGACACAATAACTCATCAATTTTATACATTAACCATAGGAGGAATGATACAATAATTGAATTTCACTATAGCTAATGTTCACCCTATCAAGAATCTTTTGGCAGTGAAATGCTCAAATTTGCTTCTAGAAGGTTTCATGGAAAATTTTTCCAGAAAGAGTATATTAACCCACCCATAGGTTGCAGCCAGTGGTAGGATTCAGCCAGTTTGCACCAGTTTGGCAAAGCCGGTAGCTAATTTTTTGTTGCCCAGGCCCAGAATGGACTTCCAGAAGTGGCATTCACACAGAGAACTGGTTGTTCACATATTTGAATCCCACCACTGGTTGTAGCTGACTTTTAACAGAATTGCTGCAATGCTTTGAGATGTTAATGAAATAACTGAATTGTTAAATGTTTTAATCCTCTTAAAATATTTCTATAAAATAGTATTCTTCCCGACAACTTCTCTATTGTGCTGTTACACACTTACACACACCCCACACAGGTCTATAGTTACCTTTCACTCAGCATTTCCTCTTTTGTGGTCCTCAATATTATGGAAAAAGTATTTATAAATTGCAAGTAACTTTTGGGAGTGATGTAATAGTGTCTTTTAGTTTCCTTCAAGTATTTCTCAATTATCATAGATGCATTCTTGTGAATATTAACAGTCATAGGGATAAAAATATCTCTTAAATTCTATAAAGACAAATGAAAAGACCATACATTTTATACAATGTAGATTTCAATTTAAGAAGTTTTTATTGTAATGTTCTCAGTAATTTCTTTTTCATACTCATAGTTTGTATTGGCTCTTTCTTCTTGTTCTTCCCTCCATAGGGGAAGAGAGGGTGCTGAGTCTAAAAGCTCTAATTCTTTGGTGATGAGATTTACTTGTGATGCTTGTGTTTTACTTTTACTACAGTGTGAACTCACAGTTTAGAAATATTTTGGGATTGTCAGATTTTTTTTGCATACCATCAACATTTATTCATGAAAAATCTAATATAGTTAAATGCATCTGTTCTAAAATTAGGAATTGTTACAATTCACAGTAATAGTCATTGGTGAGGTAGAGTATATTTTTCAGCAGAAAAATGAAATTCGTATAGAAGATGCTTTTGCAAATTACCTGCTAACATGTATAGCTGAAAATGGAATGAGCTTTAACCTATACTTAATCATAGCATAGTAGCTTTCTGCTGCTATAGCTATCTTCCAGCCAGCCAAATGCAGACAAGGAGCAAATGAGCCAAATTGTGTAGGTTTTGTATAATGGTGATTTGGTAATTTGTGTTTGCTCAGAGCAAAGCGGTGGTTGCATCTGGCATTTTGATTTCCCCAACATTTTCCATGAGCCCTGAAACTCATTGCAATGTTTTCCCAGACTCTTTAAAATTAGTAATCACAATTCATGAGCAGTTTCAGTTGATCGACCAGAGTTCATAAGCAAGAATAACATATTATAGATTGTATTTTGATAAAATATTTTCATATCATACCTCATTTTTAAATGTCTGATTCTGGCTAAAATAACTTTTTGCTACATGGCAAAGGGCCTCTTCAGGCCAATTTTCATACCAGTCTACTGTACAGCAATTCACAATGGCAGGATATATCTGTAAATATTGGCGGAAAACCAGTCCTGTAGGATTTACTGTCAAAACTATATGAAGGTTTTGGCGTACTCTCTAGAAAAAAAAAATCCTTGTGAAAACTCTAGTAAAATAATTATTTCTTTGAAAATACGCATGCACTAATATTTAGAATATCTTTTATTAGACTGTAATTGTACATACTTGCAAGAATAATTTTCATTGAAATAAGAATTGCATTGCAAATTATAGAGTGATAGTAGATATTTAAATAATAGTTAGATAATATTTGCACCCAAATCCAAAAGACAGGTTGTTTCCCTATATGAGCTACTTTGCACAATTATGCAAGTAACATGGATTCATGCAATTCACTAGTTCAGCTTCCAACACTGAGAGTTATCAGTTAGTACTCATGAAGATGAGATGTAATGATCATTTTTAACTTAGGCTTCTTTCAGACCAGATGGTACAAAAGCATCCTTGGTAGAGATAATCAAAATTTTATCATTCATTAAATCAAACCTCTTACTTTGCCTTCATAAGCAACAATAGGCAGGGGTCAAACACACCTGGATGTATTCAAAGCTATAAATAACAGCTTGTCACATTCCTTGCTTGATTTATCTATTAATAATAGGCCAATTAAATTCAATGAGCAAACCCTGAATCCTGATGTTAATCTGGAACCCGAGTTGGAATGAATACAGCAATTTCACTAAGAGAGCATATTGATCACAGTAAGCTACCTATACATACGTGTAAGAAAAAAGAATACATATCATCCATTTTGTTGGAATCCTTAGTCATTTCAGAAGCTGATGTAAGTGATTCCATAATGTTATTCAACTCATCCTTCTCAAATAGGTTGGGCACTTGTCCTGATTTCAGAATACAACTTAGGACTTCCAAAAATGATTCCTAAGAAAAAATAATACTAATTAATTATCTCCACAGCCTTGGGTTGGAGCAATCTAGATTTTGTCATTTTGACAAAATGACAGTTTTTTACAGACACTTTCACTGGAGCTCCAGCTATAGAGTTAAAGTTATTTTGTGACAACTGTTTAATAGTTCCTATTCTAATAATATATTAGCAGACTGGCGAAAATGCAAACAAACCTCTGATGACAATCCAGATATATTAAGATTAAGACAGAAGGGAGAAACAGAGATGGAAAATTCTAACAAGCATTTAATTAACATGATACACATTTAATATGTATATTAATTTATATTCTGTAGGCTTACTTGAATTATATCTGAATCTGTAATGAGAAGAACAGTCCTCTTGCCTTCTGCTCCAGCTTGTTTATAGACTTTTTTAATATCCTCTTGAAAATGTGCAAAGCTGTAACTATAGAAAGTAGATAATCTATAGATACTGCATTCAGATATAAAACAGGCTAAGGATGCACAGGTTGCTTTTCCATTGCCATTCCACCCAATCTGTTAATAAATATTAAAAATTAGATAAACATCAGATAAGCAAAAAAACGATTTACTAAAGCAAATCTTCATGTATTAAAATGTTTATATAATTTTCAGAATGGAGGATAATAATAATTATGATTTAGTGACAGGTGTTTTAATGACATTTGGTATTTAAAATTACCTTGAATTAAGGTGTGCTACTTTTAAATAGAGACATAGCACTGACATCTTATATAATATGTCCAATTAAAAGTAAATTTTCTTACCAGTGTCATATGACTATCTTGTTGTCGAAAAACTCTTGCAGCTCTAATTACATGCTGTATTGTTTCTTTGAAAAATACCATGCTGATCTAAGGAAACAGAAAGCACAAATATAGTGAATAGAGAGAAACCTCCTTCCCAAATGCCGTTCAGACATGAAAGAGTTCAAGGAAAAGCAAAAACTAACCCCTTTATCTTGGGAGCTGGCATAAACAGAGTCTGGGAAAACTAATGCTAAAGGGACATTCAAAAACAAGACTATTCCTCTCTCAGGTAAGCTTTTGAAACAGAGAACAGTCAGCTCATTTTAACTGTTTTCTCTCTCTCAAAGGAATAGCTGGAACATTTTCTGGATTGCTTCAAACCCAATAATCTCATTTCCCAGAGATCTGTAATTGATGATTTAGAAACGTTTTGGTCACATACAAATTGTGCAAACTTGATGTGAGTTAGAATTTTTGTATTATTTCACAGATGTGTGTTGTTTGTCTTTCTCATTCTTGGTCCCATTCATGGTCTTGTCTATTTTTTTTTGGTATAAATTTTATTAGTTTTTATAGGTTTAGGAATGAGGTGGGATTGGGATTTGGGTTAGGGTTAAGATTGGGGTTGGGGTTAGGGTTAAGATTGGGGTTGGGGTTAGGGTTTTTCTAAATAACATTCTCAATATTTAGCAAACAGCATAATGTCTGGGTTCATGTGTTTAACAAGAAATAATAGATAATAGTTAATTATCATAAACAATATGTTAGTTAATCGCTTGATAGTCTTCTTCTTACTAATATATATTCAAAGTTACATATCACATTCCTTTCTCTCTAACATGTTTTTAGCCATTGATAGAAATTATCCCATGTTCTAAAATACACTGAGTCTTCTTTCTCTTTTATTTTTAAAGTCAATCTGTCCATTTCTGTACAAACTTAATTTTTTTTAATTAATACTTCTTCAGTTGGTAAATTTTCATTTTTCCAATGTTGGGCAAATACAATTCTTGCTGCAGTTAGTACATAGTATTAAATATATACAATCTTTCTCATAATTTGCTCCTATTATTCCTAACAAAAATAATTCTGACTTAAAGTCTATTTGTTTTTTAGTCATTTTCTCCAACCATAAATGTATTTTTACTCAAAATCTTTTTGCTTTTGGGCATGTCCACCAGATATGATAGTAAGTACCTGGTCTTGTCTTTTTTTGTCTATATGTGTTCTTGAATGGCAAAGCATCCACTGAGATAAACTTTGCAAATTCAGTTGGTATTTTCTCTTAGCTTTCCTTTCTCTTCAGGGTTTCCAACTCCTGTCTGGTTCCTTAACTTAAGAATATATATCAAAGCCCTCCTTTTCTAATTGAATCAATCCTCTCATTCTGACAAAGAATTGAGCCTTTATTATATGCCCCAGCAACCTGACTAAGCAACAGAAAAGATAAGTCAAAGGCAGGAGCTTTGCCTCTTTCCCTTCTCAAGTAAACTAATGCAGCAAGAAGGCTCTCCCACTAGAGTTGGGGCAGGGCACAGGAAATTGTGGTTGGAAGATATAGAGATCCCATCATAGGACGCTGTCCCTCTTTATGCATCTGTAACTGTGCTTCATTACAAAAACTACCCAAAACTGAATGGTATTTCACATAAAACTTTTGATGGAACAATTCAATGAAACTTGGAAAAGGACAGGAGCTAGAAAAATTATAACAGAAATGAGCTATAAGGACAATTGTTTTTCTTCCTCTATTTTTAACAAAACCACAATAGGATGAAGATGTGCTTGAAAAAGGAACAATCCTCAATCTTTGTGAATGACGATTCTCTTAGCTGCATATGCAGAAGAAAAATAAGCAATTAATCTTTCAGATAGAAATTTGAAATAGGAAATATTGAACAACTGCATCATAAAAATCATTCCAGTTATTTCTTTATTGATTTGTATATTGCTCAATCTTCACAGATTTGAGGAGTTTAAAAAAGTAAGCCATAGTATAAGAAAACAGAAACATCTACATCTACAATAAATATAGCCCAAAATGGAACAACCATCCTACAAACAAAATAAAATACATGTAGAAAAATAAATACATATTGTTATTATAGCAGTCAATGAAAGCTCTCTAGAAGAGTTGTATTTTCATCAGCTTTCCAGCTTCCAGACAAGACTACAACTAAAAGGACTAATCTTTTTTCCAGACTAGGTGGTTCTTAAGCATTGGTGTCATAACTTAAAAAAACTATTTCCTGGCTCCAGCCAGCCTCATCTCATGAAAATGGGATACTACCAATAGCTTTTCCAAAAAGTATTGCTTCAAAGGAGCAGGCAGTTTGGTTGCTAAGCCAGATACAATTTTATAAGACAAAGCAGTTTGCAGTGCCCACATTGACTGATGGTGTCATCTTTAGCATATTACAGGGGTCCTCAACCTGTGGGCCGTGACCCGGTAGTGTCTGGCCAGTGTGTGCATGTGTGCATGCACACCCCATCACTCGCACTAGTGCTTTGGTTACAGGCCGCGAAAACAAGATGCTGCTGTGCCTCAGGGTGCGAAAATGGGCTGCTGCCATGCCGCAGGGCATAAAAATGGGCCGCCACTGTGCTGCAAGGTGCAAAAACATCCGCTGTCATGCTGCAGGGAACAAAAATGGCCACCACTGCACCACAGGACACAAAAACAGGCCACTGCCATGCCTCGGGGTGCAAAAATGGACTACCGCCGTGCCACGGGGTGCAGAAATGAGGTACTGCACCATGCAAGAACAGGGCAGAGTTAGTATCACACGGGTACTAGCTCTGCCCATTTTTGGTGCACACGTGCTCGTGGCCCCATGCATATGTGCATGCATGCACGCATGTAAAATGCTTCCCCCTTCCTTTTCCTCCAGTCCGCCAACCAAGAAAGGTTGGTGACCTCTGGCATATTACACATATATTATAGACCTTGCACTGACTATCAGTAACTTTCTGTATGCAATTCAAAGCACTATGTCTTTTAAAATCCTATCTGGCTTAGCAATTAAGCTGTCTGACAACCAAGTGATCTTCAGATACTTTTCATATTGAACATATTGCAGAAATGCAACCAAGTGGCAATAAAGATATGAGCCACTGTAACCAGATCCTCCTGTTCCAGGTAAGCTGGCAATGGAGGTACCAGGCATAGCTGAGCAAAGTCCTTCCAGCCCCAGTCTTCACTTCTACTGCCAGCAGCAGCTGTAAGGGTCCTCAAGTCAAGCATCTGCTCCTTTAAGACAGTACCTTCCCCACATCCCCTAAGACACAGGATTAGAGCTGAAAAAGAACAGCACTTTGTTTCGGTTCAATTTTGTTAATTTATCACTCAGGTATATATGACACTTCAATCATAAATTGATTCTAAGCAGCAACCAACCAAGTTTTAACTTATTTCATCACATCCAGAACCTTACAGCCTTGACATGGAGCAAAGCTTCAACAGCATCTCCAGAACAGACAAACAGTTACAAAATCAAACTGAGTGTTCTTTGCATATTGATGATATTGAACTAAGAGATGGAAGAAACTATTTATTATCGATTCTGAATTAGCCATTCTAATGTTCCTTGTTATTTCATCATTCTTGAATATAGCTGGGACTTGCAGTTTGGGAAGGAATTTATGATAAACCCATGTGTCATTTCTTATTTTACCTACAGAACTTAACTGCTCAGATTCACCTATCTGTGTCCTATTTGTGCATAGGAGAAAACTAAAGGAAAACAAGTTGTCCAGTATCATAAGAGTTTTTATGAGGGAAATCTAGCACCTAAGATACATATATACACCATTGGCTCACATCACATAGCAATTATAATACACCAATATTAAACAGAATTTCAAAAATTACCTCTGACTCTTTTTTTTGCATTCTCATATAATATTCTTCCAGTGTCAAAAGAAGAACCTTCTGGCTAGGGACATATTTATATATTCTCTTATCTACAGGTATGGTGTAATCTAGAAAATCTACAAATATAGGAAACTCCTCCATCAGCTTCTCCTTTGTCCAGGAAATCTATAGGAATAATTTTGTAATTTGAAATCTTTATTAGGATAATGATCTTTCTTAGACAAACTAAAAAAAGTTACTATATATCTGCATTTTGAGATGTATGGATTAGGAAATATCATAATACAAATTTTCAAATACATATTCTCTTATGTACTGGTATGGTGTAATCTAGAAAATCTAGAATAATTTTGTAATTTGAAATCTATATTGAGACAAAGATCTTTCTTAGACAAACTAAAAAAAGTCACTATGTATCTGCATTTTGAAATCTATAGATTAGGAAATATATTAATACAAATATAGAAGAAAAAAACCCTGAAATTGTGGGCAGCTTTAAGATAAAATATATAAGCAGTCTTTGTAGGCCTTATGAGGGAGTATAAAATATTAATAAAGTTTTGGGGGGATATTGCTGGAACAAGATTTAACTTCTATATTACATTGCAATAAATACTAGTGTTATAGAAAGATTTAATTCTTAAATTCAGTCTGAATAAGACTTGCAAGATCTCCATATTGATTCACTTTGTCAAATCAATTTGTTGAGTGGCTTTGGATTATTGATCCAATCAGATTGGGCAAACCAAAAAACTGTTGAATTGTACTCACCTTCTGAATTGAATTGACTTACGGATTTAATTCAGAAATTGAAATTGGATCATGAATATGAATTGTAATTTGGCTAATTTATATAACTCTAAACCAGTGGTTCTCAACCTTTTTAATGCCGCGACCCCCAACTGGTCATAAGTCAAGGACTAAACAACCGGTCGTAAGTCGAGGACTAAACCGGCCGTAAGTCGAGGACTACCCTACCGGTCGTAAGTCGAGGACTTTCCCTTCCCGGGAGCGTTGCACATGCGTGGTGCTGCCCTCTGCACTGGCTGAGGTGTAGTTGGCAAGCGGCAGAGACGGAGCAGGCTGACCACCGGCTGGGCCACCAGCTGGCCCAGCCCAAGGGTGGTAAGGCACCCGCCGGGCCCCATGCGCGCCAGCAACCCTCCCTGCGCCCGCCGGCCTCCCACCTCCCACCCCTGGCCCTCTTTTACTTACATTTTTAGTATTTGCTCAGCAGGGAGGGGTGGAAACTTCCAGACAGCTCGCCTTCGCTGCAGACAACTTGCAGCACCATTTGCAGAATGGGACTTTTGGTGGGCTCAGCAGGGCAGAGACAGCCTGGACAATTCCTATTGGCTTTTGAAAGCCAATAGAAGTAGACTCTATTCAAGAGAGTCTATTCTATTGGCTTTCAAAAGCCAATAGAATAAAAGGGAGTAGCACAGCTAAGGAAAAGGGGGGAAAATGGCGGACTGCGTTGTTTGGCGACCCCCGTGAAATGGTCGTTCGACCCCAAATGGGGTCCCGACCCACAGGTTGAGAACCACTGCTCTAAACAATGCAGATATTATTAGGCCAATATTCATTTGGATAACTTACATAGCTCCAAGTGACCCCTGTAGTAGTACAATGAAGATTGGGCAAATTTCTAGAATATATAATTTTCCTTTGGAAATTTCTAGCTAAATTTCTAAGACACTGATAACTGTTTTGGAGTTGCCTCCCCCATCCCCTATTGGACTGGATAGAAAAAGAAAATGAGATGATGTTTTCTTTCAAGCTCTCTTTTTGGATAAAATCCAATATGTAATTTGTCAAGTACCGTCTATGCCGGCGTATAAGGCGACCCGGCATATAAGACGACCCCTGTCTTTGGCGCCGAGTCGCATGCCTAGAATGTCATCTTATACACCGGAAACTACCAGTATTTCCGGCATATAAGACGACTTGGTGTTTAAGACAACCCCCGATTTCGGCGCCAATTGTAACGCTTACGGAAGTCGCCTTATACGCCGGCCTATATGGTACTTGGTTAAAAAAAAAGCTTCAGGGTCATTCTCCAACCCCATTGCCTCAATCTAATTTTTTTCCTTTATTAACAGTTATTATATATTATTTTTAGAAAGCAAGAACTGTTAATAATGATTCTCCCTTGGGACATTTTTGTAGCTTAAAATTTATATTATAGTGCTATAAATGCTATAAGAAAAGAAGAATCATTTCATGTAACTATTAGTGCTTATAACTAAGATGACCATCACATATCCTATTCTATTTGATGCATGTAGTAAGACATATCCAACAACGAGGGGTCCTTGGTGCTCTCTGAACTTCGTTGTTTTCTTGCAGATATTTCATTATCCAACTAGGTGGGGTTTGCTCTCATTTTATATTCTACCATTCACACAAACACACACATGTGCGTATGTATTCTTATTTGTATCCCACCAACAGTGACAGGGCAAACCATTAGAATATATTAAAAAACCCTCTTTTTCCCAGAGTTTTTCCAGGAGTCCCTACTTGTCCAATTCCATCCATTAGATTGGTCATGCTGAAGATCCCGTCAGCCAAAGAGTGTCAGGCTTAAAATGGACTTTTGCTGCTGTAGCCCCTGCCTTATGGAATATTTTCCCCTTGGAGATTAAAACGGCCCCAACCTGTTGGCTTTTCACAAAAAAATTAAAAACTTAGCCATGTATCTGTTCTGGGGCTCAGAATGTGTTCAGGGCCCAGCTACTTGACTTTAGTTAGTTGATTAATCATCATGACTGCTGATTGTACTTATTTATTTTGTTTTTATTATTTTAATATTTTTAAAATTGTTTTAAATTGTTTGTAATACTTTCATAGAAAAATTAACACCTAAGTGGTTATGAATGTTCAGATACTGAATGACACTGGATATTTGGCAGGTTTTAGATGATAAACTGATTTATACATACATATATAAATCAGATCGTGTTGGCATCATCAATAACTAATCAATTTTTGTACTGAACATGAAACATTCTATGTCTATGATAAAGAAATCCTCACAAAACATATAGATAGATAGATAGATAGATAGATAGATAGATAGATAGATAGATAGATAGATAGATAGATAGACATATAGATAGATAGATAGATAGATAGATAGATAGATAGATACAGATATAGATATCTCATACATATAAGTATACTTACTTTAAAATAATTGTTGAGCTCATTTGAAAGAAACTGATAGAATGTCTCCTTTTCTGCTAGATCAACCAGACGGTCATGGAAAATCCGTGTAGATTCATGCATAAACAATAATGCTGCTGTTTCTTTTGAGACAATGATTGACTTGTGGGCTTGAAGTAGTCCTTCAAGTACCTACAGTATTGATTTTAACAGTAACTTTTTGAACTGAAGCTATATTCACATTACTATTAAAGTTACTAAAACTTTTAAGCTATCTTCTGTACTGATTTCACTTTTTTTATCATACTATACTAACCTATGGTTGCTTTAGGTATTTTACAATACTGCAGTGCTTAATAGCCCTGAAGAGTGAGATATCCATTTCAGATATTAATAAAAGAAACAAAGATTTCTATTTTTAGACAACAGAATTATCTTTCAAAAGAAATTTCATTCCACAGATATTGATAATATCAATATCTGTTGGTATCTTAGTCATACCAACATATTCAGAATAAATCTTAATGAAAGCAACACCTTAATACAAACAAGAAATTCCAACTATTTTACAAATTACTATTCACTGAAAACTATGTCCATGAATGTGTAGAAATGCATTCCTTATACAACTCACAAAGGTGGCGCTAAGTCTGAATTTGATTCTATGACAGGAGTCCCCAGCCCCTGGTTCATATACTGGCACTGGTCTGCGGCATGCTAACAACCCAGGCTGAGCAAACAAACGAAGCCCTATCCATGTGATGCAGGCAGCATGTCTGTGGAAAAACCTCTGTCTGTGGAACCAGTCCATGGTCCCCAAAAGGTTCTATGTGATAGATAACATTTGAAATAATCTTAAATTGATAATACTTAGGATATCCCATAAATAATATCTATACAAATGTTACCTGTTTTACCAATATGGATCATATTTTGAATAATTTATAAACTATTCAACAAGATATTGAATCCAAACCATCCTCAGAAGAAAAATCAGTGTTTTCCCCATTTGATGTATTTAATAAATCACTATAGAAAAGTTAGCAACATTCAGTGCAAATGAAGGAAAATCTACTGAAGCTCATATCGGAATGAGCTCACAGAATTCCTACCTATGTCATTAGAGTGCTACATGTCATATAATTTTGCAACTGTTTGCTTCTTTCTTAGAAAATTTTATACAACGACAGTAACTATATTTTCTCTAGTTATCCCTTTTTGATAAGGACAGGACTAAAGCTTTAACCAACATAGACCCAGTTTTCTCTTCTTGTTACTTTAAATCCATACTTTATGTGCATATTGACTAATAGTTATCTACTTGTGAACATTCTTTGTTTATATAGCATTATTCATGTATATGTTTTATTTAATATGATGACACAGCAAGACAAGTAAAAGGAAGCAGAGAGACAATAGCAAGACAAGTAAAAGGAAGCAGAGAGACAATAAAAAAGGAATTTGTGGTTGTTCAGTAAAATGTATCATTTGGTTTAAAATCTTCCTCCCTTCTTCACATTTTGACCGTTTTAATCATAACCTATTTATGTATTTATCTTTTAAGTAATCTTCCTATTTAAAAGACGTTTTGCTTCCCTATTCTCTAATTTATGGAATACAGATCTTTTTTAGTGACTGTTCAGATACCATAATGATTGAAAAGTAATCTTATGACTAATCCTTGCATTTACAACCTTTTTGGCCTGTAAAGCAAAGGAAGGTTGAAGTCAAATCATCAGCATAGTCACTGTTTCACTTAGCAATGGCTTCGGTTAATGACTGACTTGCAGGCCCCAAATGTGGTCATCAAATGAGGGTACATATACTTTACTGATTAACCATTAACCAATTGAAAAAAATGCAAACCTTAAAAAGATCTCGTAGATTAAATATGTAATGGCATTTAGCAGGTGTTGGAAGCATTTTATGAAGCATTCTATAGTACAGAGCAATAGAGCAACACGTTAAATTATCTGTACATTTCTGCACTTCAACCAAGAATCTATTCATGTAAAAGTATGTTCCCAGGCGTACCTACAAAAAATATTTTATACATTTAGAAAAAATTATAAACATTTTCCATTTAATATAATTTAATAATAAAGATGCTTGATTATGTACATTACTTTAAAAAACTGTGATTAACATACTTATAGCAAGCTACATTATTTTACATATTTGCAAATTGAGGCCGGTAAAATGAGGACCCAGATTGTTGGTGGCAATATGCTAACACTGTAAACCCCTTAGAAAGGGCTGTAAAGTGGTTGTTGTTGTTCTTAGTTATGAAGTTGTGCCCGACCCATCGCGACCCCATGGACAATGTTCCTCCAGGCCTTCCTGTCCTCTACCATCTTCTGAAGTCCATTTAAGCTCACTGGTATATAAGTCTAAATGCTATTGCTATTGCTATAATTTTCAGTTACATATCATTAGTTTCATTTTGCTCTTTGTAAAACTAAATAAATAAAGGTCTTGGGATAGTTACCTGGAAAATACGTTGCAAAGACTGTAAGGAAGTTGCAGGCAAAACTAAAATGCAAAAATGGGACAGAAGACGAGTACTAATCTCATTACCTCCTACATTTAGAGGTGTACAGCATGCAACTGTGGCAATGTCCTGAACATGCTGTTAGAAAAATACATAAGACAGATTTTTTTTAAAAAAACCCTATAAATCAGCATATGTATAATATTGTATAATATCAGAATGATTGATAATGAACTTATACATTTTTATGAAAAGGTTCTAATGCAATTTTTAAAAATCCATCTATTCCTAGGGTAAGTACAGAGCTTCATATATCTCAAGTATAGGCAAAAGTACAAATATCCTCAGAAATATTTCAGGTCCATTAAGACTTTTATTGAATAAATAGAAGAAAAAACAACTTTAAAACTGAAAAATGTGTATGAAATCATCTGTAATATAACTTTTGAATCTTAAGCTTATCTTCTAAAGTGTTAAAGTATATCAGAATTTTAATGTAACTAGTTAGCTTAGAAACTCAAGATAGCTGCTGACTGTATAATTAAAAACCTGAATTGAAAGATCAAAATAGTAAGTAAAAAGTCTGCAATTCAGATGTGAACACAAGAAATTAATTTAATTAATTTACTTAAAACTCTGATATACTTTAACACTTTAGAAGATAAGCTTAAGATTCAAAAGGATCTTGACAGACTTGAGCACTGAGTCAATCCTATCCAACAAGATGCAGTTTAATAGTGAGAAAAGTAAAGTCCTGCACTAAGGCAGTAAAAACCAAATGCATAGGTACAGAATAGACTCAACAGTAGTAATTGTGAGAGGGATCTCGGTGTCCTAGTGGACCTCCACTTAAGTATGGGTCAGCAGCGTGCTGCAGCTGTCAAAAGAGCCAATGCAGTCCTAGGCAGATGGACAGTGTCAAGACAACAAGAAATGATAGCATCACTTTACACCCTGCTGGTAAGACCACACTTGGAGTACTGCATCCAGCTCTGGTGACCAAAATACAAAAAAGATGTTGAGATCCTGGAAATGTGCTTAGAAAAGCAACACAGATGATAAAGAACCTTAACTTGTATGATGAATGGTTGAGGAAGCTAGGTATGTACAGCCTATAAGAGAGAAGCATGGGGGACATGATAACTGCCTTTCAGTACTTGAGGGGCTATCACAAAGAAGAAGGGATTGACTTGCTCTCTAAGGCACCAGAGGGCAGGAGAAGAAGACCAGAAGCTTGTTAAAGAGAAATCCAACCTACAAGTATGAAGGAATTCCATCAACTCCACGGGGCAAGTTCTGGGAATGACCAAGTCTGGCTTCCTTCATGGGGCTAAAATAACAAAAAGTAAGACCAGTCTTTCCAACTTCTCATTAAAATTGTCTCATGGAGTTGCCTGTCTCTCCTGCTCCGCATTGGGAAAGTGATGACTTTGGATGATTTTTCTTTAATTTCCCTGTGTGTTTCTTCCTTTTATAATATAGCTTTTCCATTTCTCCAGCAAAAGAAGAGCATCTTGAGCTGCTGGGAGAAATGTGATGAAGCTGGAAAGCAGGTCTGATTAGGAGCTCCTCTTGTGATTTGGAAAAGGCCTCAATGTGCATCTGACAAGGGGGGGCATAGGGTAGAGGTGCACTAAGCTCTCCAGCTCCACAGCATGCAATTTCAGAAATTGGAGTGGGAAATCTGGGGGGCAGGAAGGCACCTGCAGGCCACAACAGTCAGGGAGGCAGTCAGTTCTCCGCCGGACTGCAAGTGAAGGGTGCATGGCAAAGGTGCCCCAGTCTCTTCATGGCAGTGCAGTTGTTGAAATCTGGGTGATTCAGCACTCTAGCAAGTGGAGGGGCAGAACCGCATTCACTTGTGAGAGAGGTTGGGGTTCAGTGGGGAAGAGGAGAGGCATGCCAGTGTTTCTCCACCTGGCTGGACAAGGGCTCCAGCACTCAAGGCTGCACAGGAAATGAGTGTGGTGCCAAAGGAAAGTGAGCAATCAGTGAGGGGGTGGGAAGGAAAATCCCAAGCACTTGGGAGCCTAAGGAGTGGGAAGAGGAGCTTAGGAGTTCTCAGCTGGTGGTGGGGGGCTTTTGGTGGCTGTAGGCAATGGTCTTGTTCCTGCACTAGGCCTCCCATGGTCTTCATCACTCCTGAGATGCTCCATGAGCTCTTAGCAACCCGTGCATTTGATTAATGAATGCTTTGAGGACAGGAGAGATGGGGTTTGTTCATTTAATGAGTTCCAATTAACAAATTTCGGATTATGAATGTAATTGGCAGATTCCATTATATTCATAACTTGAGGATTACCTGTACTTTAAAAATGAATTTTAAAACCCTAATTTCTTTCCTAAGCCTATGTGACTAAGAATATAGATCACCTAACATGAGAATGAATTTCAATTATCCAGAATACTATATTTACATGACAAATTCTTAATGAAAAGACCTTAGTTTAACAAAAATCAGAAATAACAAAAGAAATATTACCCATATTAAACATACCTTCCATTCAAGGTGTTTAATATCATAAAATCCTCCCAACTCCACAAACTGACGGATGAACTCTAATGGTGGCTTGGATCCATATGCTTCTGCGATTGGAATGTTCAGATCATCAATAAACAGTAGTGCCTTGAAATAAGTATAATAAAAATCACAAATGACTATCACATCTGAAGTATATTAACAAAAATATTAGGAACTTAATTTCTATCTTGGCATTTTCATTTTTACATGTAATAAGTACAATCCATTATGCATATATATCAGGACTAGAAGGGGCCTCCAAGGCCTCTTCCAATTCTGTTATTCTATTTTACAGTATATATTGTTGTACTCAGTCACTGAAGAGGTGGCCTAGAAAATACCCCTAAATACCCACAGAATTAGTAATTGGCTCCAACAAAGAGTTTTTTTAATAAATTATCTGAATTAGGATTATTTGCATTTGATGGAACTACAGTAGTCTAGGCAAAAATCAAAGTTTGCGTGTGTTCTGTTTCATTTTCCACCACTGTTTCAGCACATCCATTTCTTGTTCATTTTTCCAAATGCAGCTTATAATACAGTATAATTGAGCAGATGCCTAGAAATATTGAAAAATATGCCCAATTGTGACCCATTTCCTTCTCTCTCATCCAAAAATTGTTTTTGGGTGGTGGAATGGGTGTTGTTCATTTTGTATAACTCTTTTCCTGTTTTCTTCCTCAGTTTCTTTCTGTGTAACACAGAGACAGACAATTTGTTCTAGGCTGGAGAACACAACTTGCTTCTTGTGAGCCAAAGATTTTTTGATGCTGTCAATAAAGGAGGATGTTTGAAACCTTTGGTACTTTTTTGTGACTTTCAGTGATTTTAAATGTAATTCTTGTTCGGCAACTATTTCATTTAGCAATTACAACAGTGGTGAAAAAGTAACTTTATGATGGAAAAGTAACTTTATGACCAATTCTCACATTTATGACTTTTGCTGGTTTATAAAGCAAAGGGAACTGAAGTAAGATCTTAAGCACAGTTGTGGTTTCAATTAGTGACTGCTTCACTTGTTGACTGAATTGCCAGTCCCAATTGTGATTGCTAAATGAAGACTATTAGTATAGGGATTTAAAAATCATTATAGAAGCACTACTACTCTCAGTGTACTCCCACTACAATTCCTACCAATGCAATACTCAAAACACAACTTTAAAATGATTCATCTCTAAAATACCTCAAACTTCCATTTATTCAATTATTTTTTAAAAAAGGATTTCATTAGTCAAAAAAGTCTATTTTGTTGCTGAATTTAAGCAGCATGATCTTAACGCATTTTGAGAATTGTTTTGCTGGGGGTTTTATCTGCTAAAAAATAATAGCTAGGTAGGTAGGTAGGTAGGTAGGTAGGTAAGGCAGGCAGGCAGGCAAGCAGATAGATAGATATAGAAAGAAAAAAAGAAAAAAAGAATCAATAGCAGTAGAATTAATTTGTTTTTTTCTCTAAAGTTTTAGTGGCTCCTATTCAGTAAGAGTAGTAATCATCAAGTTGAGTGAATGAGAATGCTCATCGTTAAAAGTACTCTTCAACATCTTCATCAACGATTTGGATGAAGGGATAGATGGGGAACTCATCAAATTTGCAGATGACACCAAGCTGGCAGGAATAGCCAACACTCCAGAAGACAGGCTTCAGATACAGAAGGATCTGGACAGACTTGAACACTGGGCACTAACTAACAAAATGAAATTCAATGGTGAAAAAAGCAAGGTTCTACATTTAGGCAAGAAAAACCAAATGCACAAGTACAGCATAGGTGGCCCCATGCTCAATAGTAGTAACTGTGAGAGGGACCTCGGAGTCCTAGTAGACAATCACTTAAATATGAGCCAGCAATGTGCTGCAGCTGCCAAAAAGGCCAACACAGTGCTAGGCTGCATTAACAGAGGGATAGAATCAAGATCACGTGAAGTATTAATACCACTCTTCAATGCCTTGGTAAGGCCACACTTGGAATACTGCATCCAGTTTTGGTCACCACGATTAAAAAAGATGTTGAGACTCTAGAAAGAGTACAGAGAAGAGCAACAAAGATGATTAGGGGACTGGAGGCTAAAACATATAAGGAACGGTTGCTAGAATTGGGTATGTCTAGTTTAACGAAGAGAAGGACAAGGGGGGACATGATAGCAGTATTCCAATATCTCAGGGGATGCCATAAAGAAGAGAGAATCAAGCTATTTTCCAAAGCACCTGAAGGCAGGACAAGAAGCAACGGGTGGAAACTAATCAAGGAGAGAAGCAACCTAGAACTAAGGAGAAACTTCCTGACAGTGAGAACAATTAATCAGTGGAACAGCCTGCCTCCAGAAGCAGTAAATGCTCCAACACTGGAAGTTTTTAAGAAGAGACTGGACAGCCATTTGTCCGAAATGGTGTAGGGTTTCCTGCCCGAGCAGGGGGTTGGACTAGATGACCTCCAAGGTCCCTTCCAACTTTACTACTATTACTATTACTAAAAGATCCTCTTTTTCCTATGCTCTATTCATGCTCAATTTTTAATACAAAGGAAAAGAAAAAAGTCACCCTTACTCCAGATCAACTGAATATTCACCAATGGTACTGAGAACTAGCTCTCAAAAAGTGCACTCTAGATCAGCACCCTTTTGAGCAATGAGCACCTAAAAATAGGATGTTCTTTAAAATAGCTTTAAAAGTTTCCTAAGATCATTAAATTTTGCAAGATCTCACCTGAAATTTTCTGAGATTTGGCAACTTTCTGAAATGTAAATTTTTGCTTTGTATTTTACTTTGGACCTCTAGAGGTCATGAATATCTGAGATTCTTGAAACCTTTAAAAGGTTAATATGTTCTATTTCTTGCATTAGACTAAGTGTGAATCAAATCGATTCTCTTTGAAATGAAGATTGAATAAACTGCTTGTTGTGTATGTGAGTTACAGATAAGCTTTCATTAAAATTCTTACTTGTTTAGATTGTGGAGCACCCATGACATCTTTACTTTTCAGTATTAATTTCTGCATGATCAAACTCTTCGTTTGGGCTGCAGTTGTATGGGCACCTAATTGTAATTTACAAATGATAGGCCCTGAAGTTGGTTCTTCTACATCAGAATCCTCTCTTACTGAGCTGAGAGCTGAAACTTTAACAAATTGAATTGTTAGAATTTTACATAATATTTAACTTTTTGGGGAGTTATATTTTTTCCATATTCCTAATTTACATATACATACATGTATATTCATACATTTTAAAAAATTATCAAGAAAAAATTAGCTGTAATATAATTTATAACTGTTACTATATAACAGCTGCAGTAAGATCAGAATCAAGTAGAAAAGAGGCATTTTGAGCCAGCAAAACCTTACCTGCGTTATTATTGCATTTAAGGCAATTTAAGTGCTACTGACCTGATTTTCCTGGTTAAAGTAGGTGTAATACTTTTGTTGATATAACTATATAGAATTCCTTGTTAGAGTACCTTTTGGATATTATTTTTTTCTAAAACCACAGAAGTAAAGCTAAAAACCATTTCAGGATGAGCTCAATTCTCAGTCGTGTTAAGACTGGTTTACACACAAGTATATGTATATGCAGTGCTTTTTTTGTAAAAAAAAAAAAAAAAAAAGGTGCCGGAACTCACACATCATACAACCCGCCTTGCCTACCCTACCAGGTTCCATCCAATAAAGGTGCCGAAACTCCGTTCTGGGCGTTCTATGACAAAAAAAAGCCCTGTATATATATATATTCAGAACAAATTTATTAAAGTTTGCATTCTGAAATGGTAGAAAGATTCAAATGGCAGTCACTTTCTCAACAAAGCTATAAAATAAGTTATTTTGAACAAAGCAAAATAATAGAATCAGTTAAAAATTCAATAAATAAATTTACTCTGTGCCAGTCATGAATCTACTTCAAAATTCTCAACTTTAAGAATAAGGCAGCTGTATCCTAAGGCAATATATCAATTTTTTAAAGGGCTTATAAGAAGGTTCAAAAGAATATGCCATAAATTGGTTTCCCCTACTGTATTGTTATTATTATTGTATTATGTTATTAGCCTTATTTACACCACTTAAAACCTTATGGAGTCAGTTTATAAATGTTATAAATTAATTGGTATATTAGGCTGGCAGTGAAAGATATCAATATGCTCTCTATATGTACCAAAGAAACCCAGATGCATATAGAGCAATGAAATAAAGTCAGAAGAATAAAATTCTTAGCTATTGTATGGAACCATTTTTTACTTTTAATTTTCTTTTAAATTTGTCCAATTTTAATCTCTTTAGTAGGTTCTTTTTTATTAAAGATGTGATTTCAGCATTTAGCGTTAGGTATTATTTGGACTTTAAGAACTTATTTCTTTAAAATTTAATATATCCTCATTCAAAACAAAATCTAACCCTAAAACATTTTTTTAATCAATGACATACGTAATACTTTGGTTGAAGAATGTGTTCTCCAAGAGCCACGAAACTGATCTGTTTTCAATGTACTGTAGTTCTTCATCAAGCTAGACAATAAAACATAAACACAGAATGAAGAAAACACAAATTAATAAAGTTTGCCAGTTCTGTCATAAAATCATCAAACAAAAATTTGGTTGAAATCATTACTTTCTAGTATTTTCCAGTATATTAAATTTGAATATATTATTACTTTACTATTGTTAATTTATTTATATAGATAAGTCTTCAACCTTAACAACTTTATTCAAAGAAAATACACTGTGCCACATCAGACAGGCACGACCAACTGTGATTTAGCTTTAGAGAAACCCAGTGACTCTTCCCCCTGAGTGGAAAAGTCATATATCAGAACAGGAGAAAAAAAAATCCTGGAGACTGGAGATGTAGATATAAAGGTTTCAAAACTCTTCCAGCCCTCTGCCATGACCCCAAACCAGACTCTATTAAAAAATGACACTGGGAAGAAAAGAGATATTCTCACTTTTGTTTTACTACTAATATACTAGTCAGGTATTGATGAAATACCTAGGATCAATATATTCAAGAAAGAGCTTGAATTACCCTCTAAGTTTATTAGCAGTTACCTTGTTATTTTAGTTTGGTTGTAGTAAAAGACTTCTCCTAATATTGTTTTTTTCCTTATATTTAGGCCATCTTTCTGAAGTCTTCCAAGCATATTATCTATCATAGTGGTCTTTCCACTACCAGGGTCTCCTAAAAATTATAGAACAGACTATCAGGCTTCTATCGTTATAATGAAGGAGGTGAAGAAATTAAAAAAATTGTAATTCCAATTAATAAAAACATTCAGCTAGATTTGTAATTAATTTGTAATTAAGAAAATAAATTTCAAACAAAAAAAACACCAAAATTATTTTAACTGAAAACTATTCTAACAAGAATTACTAAGGGGACAATAATACTGTACACACTATAATTTTATTATGTATTTTGTGCATTTATTGTGCAATACAAGCTGTCGGTGTTTGAGCCATATTCCATCATTTATCTTGGATGAGATAGAAATTTCCCTTTCAAGGTTGATATGCAGTTTGAGGATTTTCCTGGACTTGAAGCTCCTGGTTGAAGAGCATATTCAGCTGGATTAGAAAAGATTGTGTACCATCTGGTGCACCAGTTGAGCCCTTTTCTAGATTGGAGGCCTTCAGACAGTCACTGATGCCGTAGTCACCTCACGGTTTGACTACTGCAATACACTCTACATTGGGCTGCCCTTAAAGATCACCTGAAAACTTCAATTAGTCCAACACGTGGAGTCACAAGCAGTAACGGGCATTCTTCATTATAATCATGTAGAGCCTGTGCTTCGTGAACTTCACTGGTTTGCTTCACTGGGTGCAATTCAATTTTGCTGGTTATTACTTACGAAGCCCTACTTGGCCTAGTTGTTTGAGGGACAGCTTGTCTCTCATAGCATCTGCCTGGCCAATCTGAGCCTGCAGGATTGGCACATTCCAAATTCCTTTGATTAAACAATGCCATCTATCAGGACCCCAGAAATGCATGTTGTATGTAGCAGTGTCTGCCTTATGGAATGAGATTCTCTCAAAATCTGGATGGACTCCACTCTGTTGTTGTTTAGAAGGTCTATGAAGATCAGCCACCATTCATCAAGTCTTTAGCAAGGGAGAATGAGACCCTTCATTTCATTGTGTTTGCCATGTTTTATCTTTAGCTTTTATTGATTTAATTGTATTTTTTTATTGTTGTAAACTGCCCAGAGTCACTGAGAACCGTGTGGCATACAAATTTAATAAATTATGATGATGATGATGGTTTATTGCACAGTCAACTAGATAGACTGGACTTAGATTTTTTTGTATCCACCTATTGAATCCTATCCCAAGGGATAGGCAGATATTCTTTTTTTTATTATTAAAAGTTTTACAAATTCAATACATTATAATCCAAACCCCTCCCACCCCTTCCCCCCTTCCCCCACTTCCCAGAGCTGATTAAAAAATAAACAAACATAATCTAACTAACATAACCTGACTATACTATCAATCAAATCCATAACACACTTTAACTCCTTTTCAAAACAAGTATTAACAAATTAAAAACAATAATAATAATATAATTAAAACATAATACTAAAAATAATATAAATTCAACTATATTGAACTATTAAAAATAATCTAAAATCTACTCATAAGCAAGATAATACTTTTCAGTCTCATATTTCTTTTGAATATAATCAATCCATCTTCTCCAAACCGAAATATATTTTTCTTGTGAATGGTCCTTCAAATAGGCGGAGATTTTCGCCATTTCTGCTAAATTAGACACCTTAACTATCCATTCTTCCATAGTAGGCAAAGAGTTTTTCTTCCAATATTGACCCACAAGTAATCTTGCAGCTGTTATAAGATTCAGCATCAAATCAATTTCTTTGACATCAAAATCTACAATAATACCCAGCAAAAATAATTGCGGAGTAAACTTTATCTTTCTCTTAAAAATCTTTTGAATATTCCACCAAATCTTAATCCAAAAAGCTTTTATATCTCTACAAGTCCACCAAATATGAAAATATGTTGCGTCTAAGCTTCCACATCTCCAACATTTGGGCTGTAAATTAGGATACACGCAAGACAACTTTTGGGGATCCAAATGCCATCTATAAAACATTTTATAAAAATTTTCTCTTAAATTTTGCGCTTGAGTAAATTTTACATTTCTAACCCAAATTGTCTCCCATGTATCCAATAAAATCGGCTCTTGAATATTTTGAGCCCATTTAACCATACAGTCTTTAACTAACTCCGTTTCAGAATCCAATTCTATTAAAACATTATAAATTCTCTTTATATGAGCTCGAGTTTGGTCTTTAATCTGTTTTACCAAATTCACATCCTCTAAAGTAATACCAACCTTTTGATCTATACTCCACCTCACTAACAATTGATTATACTGAAACCAAGAGTGTACAATATTTTCTTGCTTCAACTCAGCTAGAGATTTTAATTGCCAGTCCTTCCCTTCCAAACTAAGTAATTCCTTATAGGAAATCCTATCCAAATTCACTCCTCTAGATACCCCCTCTACAACGTGTCCAGGTATCCCCCAAATTGGAATTTTATAATTTAACCTATAATAATATTTCTTCCAGACACGTAATAAAGCATTTCTTAAAATATGAGATTTAAAAACCTGATCCACCTTTTTGTCATAAATTAAATATGCATGCCATCCATATAATAAATCCCATCCCTCAAGAAAAAGAATATTTTTATTTGTTAAGTTAAGCCAATCACTAATCAATGTTAAAGCCACTGCATCATAATACAATTTTAGATTAGGCGCCTTGAGTCCTCCTCTCTCCCGTGCATCTTGTATAATCTTAAACTTAACTCTTGGTTTTTTCCCTGCCCAAATAAACTTGTTAATCCCCTTCTGGGATAGGCAGATATTCTTATAGTATTAAAGATTAACTGATGTAAAAGGGATGTTTTAGCTCCACCTTTCAAAATCGGTTTATTTTCATTCAGATCCAATACATCATATTCCTTAGCAAATAACATACTTATAATCTTTTATCTCTTTAATTTAATTCATATACTTTATCATTTATTCTTCTTCTATCTAAAGTTCTTACACCTATCACCTGCCATGTTTGTCCTAAAATACAGTGTAGGTCTATAGATGTTAATTTCCACCATTTATTTAGGCTTTGGTCAGTCAAGTTTTTTTTACATAATACTTGTTGGTAAAATAGAAAAGATATAAACAATAAGGAGACAATTGATTACTTCTGGCAACTTTTGATCAGTATGCCATGCAGACAACCATAATTTTACTTCAAGCATGCTCATATTATTCTATAAAGTTTACTTAATCTAGAAACTATCTTAACAGAATAATAGAGTAACAGAGTTGGAAGGGACTTTGGAGGTCTTCTAGTCCAACCCCATCCTCAAACCAATTTATTGTTATACTCAGCCTATCATCTTGAGGATTATGCAGATACACTGAAGGCCTAGAAAAAGCAAAATGGCATAATCTTCCAATCATCTAAATATGATGAAGGATCAGTACAAAGGATCTTTTTAAAAAAAGTGAAAAAAATTTTCACTTATGAAAAGTGAAATGTAAGATATGACTAAGCTTAACACAGGGAACTATGTACCTAATATAAGGACTTTCTGGCATATTATAAAATAGTACAATTTATAATCTGAGGGAGATTGCATAGTATTATTTCTCATGTAATTTGGAAAGAACAATACGTGGCAGTATTTAAAAACAGGTCATTCAATGAATACATGGCAGTATTTAAAAGCAGGTCATTCAATGAAGATGACAAGGGTTAAACATTCTCTGTTGATATTTAATGTTTAACCTTTGTCATCTTCATTGAAAGAAAAACAAATCTAAAGAGACTGAAAAGGGGAGAAACAAATAGTAGTGTTTTGATACTTCCTGAAGTATTTAAGTATTTTTGCCCCAAAGATTGAGTAAAGTAGATATTGGAAGACTGCAGCTGCCCAAAAAAAGCCAACACAGTGCTAGGCTGTATTAACAGAGGGATAGAATCAAGATCACGTGAAGTATCAATACCACTTTACAATGCCTTGGTAAGGCCACACTTCGAATACTGCATCCAGTTTTGGTCACCATGATGTAAAAAAGATGTTGAGACTCTAGAAAGAGTACAGAGAAGAGCAACAAAGATGATTAGGGGACTGGAGGCTAAAACACATAAGGAACGGTTGCTGGAATTGGGTATGTCTAGTTTAACGAAGAGAAGGATGAGGGGGGACATGATAGCAGTGTTCCAATATCTCAGGGGCTGCCACAAAGAAGAGGGAGTCAAGCTATTTTCCAAAGCACCTGAAGGCAGGACTAGAAGCAATGGATGGAAACTAACCAAAGAGAGAAGCAACCTAGAACTAAGGAGAAACTTCCTGACAGTGAGAACAATTAACCAGTGGAACAACCTGCCTCCAGAAGAGGTGAATGTTCCAACACTGGAAGTTTTTAAGAAGAGACTGGACAGCCATTTGTCTGAAATGGTATAGGGTTTCCTGCCTGAGCATCTCCAAGGTCTCTTCCAACTCTGTTGTTGTTGTTGTTGTTGTTATAAAATCCCTATCTTTGTGTGAAAATCATAATTGTTCCCATTTCATAAGAACTTTCTCCATAATGTATCAATCTGCTTAAAATAACTTACCATCATAGAAACTTTAACAATATATATCAATCTTGAAGCAACATTAGTTTTAACACTATTTATTTTTTCTCATAAATTCATGTTGATCTCACTTTCGGTACACCCTGTATATTTTGCATCTTTTAAAACAGGAAGAAAGTTCCAGCCAAGATATTAAAGAGGGTAGTAATAATATTCTAATTGTGCCTGTAATGTTTTTTATTAATCATTTAAATTTCATGAAGCACAAGAAGTCATAAAGTAAGTACAGTGGCATAAGAAAAAGTCAAGAAAGTTAAAATATAAAGAATGGTTGCTGGAATTGGATATGTCTAGTTTAATGAAGAGAAGAACTAGGGGGGACATGATAGCAGTGTTCCAATATCTCAGGGGCTGCCACAAAGAAGAGGGAGTCAAGCTATTTTCCAAAGCACCTGAAGGCAGGACTAGAAGCAATGGATGGAAACTAACCAAAGAGAGAAGCAACCTAGAACTAAGGAGAAACTTCCTGACAGTTAGAACAACTAACCAGTGGAACAACCTGCCTCCAGAAGAGGTGAATGCTCCAACACTGGAAGTTTTTAAGAAGAAACTGGACAGCCATTTGTCTGAAATGGTATAGGGTTTCCTGCCTGAGCAGGGGGTTGGACTAGATGACCTCCAAGATCCCTTCCAACTTTATCATCATCATCATTATTATTATTACTACTACTAATACTAGGGACATGCTACTACAGGCCCATAAGTATGCAAATTGATCCAACAACTTGTTGCGTTATTAGTTTGCTCATTGTGGCAAGTAAATTTTATGCAAGGTACTTTCTAATTAAATAAAGTTGTACAATATTAAAAGTCATAATCAGAATAATTCAAGTGTTCTAAAATAATGAAATGATATTTTAAAACAAATAATTAAACTGTTAAAAACTAAAGCTAATAATTAAAGCTAATAATTAAAATTATTATTATCAGTCATATTTCAAACTAGGCTAGATATTGGTTCAACCTGTGTTGATGTTTTCATAATACATTGTCCACTATATTTAAAGAAATAATTCTATCTTCCTAAATCATCTATATAACCTGATAACTAAGAATGATAAGAATTATATAACAATTCTCTTGACAATATCAATAGGCCCAAGAAGAGCAATTCAAGCCCCTGTCTTACTGGGAGGAGGAAAGTTTCCCAAGATATCTAGAAGGTATAAATATAGCTTGTAAATAAATGGAATTTAAATTTACTAGATTAAATGCTTCATAACTGTGTTATATGCTTTACAACACTTGGACTGCATAGGTAAGATCTGTCAGAGAAATTAGCTAGGGGTTTGTTTGTTTTTTGGCAACCTTTCCATGTGTTGAAAATAGCAATTACATTCCAACTATTCTCAGATAATTCAAAATACTATGTTTTACAGTTCTTAGATTTGTTTAAAACTTTCAGTAATTTTTATGGGCATTTTAACTTACCTGCACAAGAGTTTTATAGTTATCTTTATGACTGGGCTTTTAAATAATACAATGAAAATATTATATAAGAGTAATCCTACAGTTAAATGCAAGAAAGAGTCTATTTTGTTTTTCAATATTTAAATAGGATCTTACCTATAATCAGTACTGGATGTTTTGACAATAAAAGAAGACTTGCTAGGAAACTGTGACGAATTGTATCAATATTGGGAATAAATGCAGAGGCCTCCATTTTCTTTTCTTGATTTTCTAACATGTTATTATCAGAATCAGAAAGATCTGATGTCTCTGAAGTTTAAAAGATTACAATAATTATTTTAAAATATCAAAAATTCTTAAAATAGTATAAATCACGAATAGACAAGAAAATAGATAAATAGATGAGGGATATAACAACTGTCTTTTATATTGCCTTTTAATCTTCAAGCCACTGAACAGGCGGGAGAAATGATAACAATACATATAAATACAAGTGGATTGATAAATTATATAAATCCTGGTAAAAATTCACTGATTAGAATTAGGTGATATTGAGTTTTTGTGAGGAACCTATGTTTGTTGAAGTGATAATGGCTGTCTGTGAATGGAAAAGACATGTATCACAGAGGTGATGACAATGATATTTTCAGCTCTTAGTGGCTCAAAATTTACTTATATGAGTAGGAATCTATTCTTAATCATACAGTATTATGTTTTAATTTCTATAGTTAGGCTTCAGCATCTAGCACTGAATTTATCTCTGAATATATTAGTATTGTTCTCCTCCCAAACACTGAGTGCCTCACTTCATCTCTCAGAAATATGTGTGTTTCTGAACTCTAAACTTATTAAATGTTTTCCAGGACTTTCAAAATAATTTAATAACATAAAGCAACTATAACTATACTCACCTTTCTGGATAAGGAATTGCGTGCTAGGAACTAAATGTCCCCATGGTTCAAATTCTCCTGTTTGTAAATCCACAAAATAATCAAAAACAGTTTTATCTCCAGATGGCAGCTGAATATCTGAAAGTTCAAAAAGCGAAAGATGGGTGTTATTACATAAATAGTGTAAAATTAATGGGTGAATAGTGCATATTTTCTATAAAGTGTATAGCAGATATGTTTCTGTCATATAACCCCACCCTACTCACTCCCTGCACTGGCTTGAATGTATGTAGATTAAAAGCACGGGGAATGGGATCAAATAAACCTCGATCTTAGATCCTGCTAAGTAGCTGTACTTATGTCTAAGCAAGCTCAAACACAGCTCCCCTTCAGATTGTTGGAGGTGAAACATTCACTGTGCGCATGTGAACATTCCTGAGAGCAGGAGCCTGACCTGAGCAAACAAAACTATTTAGAACACAATATAATTATTATAGAGTTACAACAAAAAGGAGATTATATTTAGGGAATATGTGACTGTGCTAGGCAAAGCTTAATATCTAGCTTGCTATAGTCTAGCAGGAGAAGAATATAAGAGCATGTCTGTTATGCCTATGTGCCTGGGAAGAAAGGCAAAAGGGAATGTGCTCAAATTAGCATTCATTTAGGCAAAAAGCATATAAAGAAAAGACACAACAGTAAACTCACAACTCTACAAGTATGCTTCAAAATTTTTCTTTTTTAAAAAAATCGAAATACATTTATATTAATGGTTCTGTTGCTAATTGGTAGATTTGTCATGTGTGTATTCATAATTGCAATAATGCTAATTTAACTAAATTTGTCTATGCTGACAAGCAGCAACTTCCAAGGCTTTTCCCCTTCTTTATTAATATCTTTGTATAAAAAGAAATTGAATCCCAGGTCCTCTTACATGAAACATCTGACTTTTCCAATGTTCTGCATGTCTTCTGTTTCTAAGCTAGTTTATTCAATTGGAATCTCTTCTATATTCAAAATCTATAGTCATATAGATGCTACTTACATATGTACATATACATGAAAATATAGATAAGTTGATATATTTGTCAACTTCATTATTTTGGAAACCAAACTATATACTTCAGCTTCACTGAAATATAAAATTATATCTTTGGCCCTTTCTTGTTCCATTAATTTGTTACTTAATGTAAATATTTATTCAATTAATGCAACTGGAATATATACAATAACTATATTGTGAAAGCAGTAAAAATTTAGAACTTACTAGTAGGTGGTTTTTTTTCAAATAATTCACGAACAAGGTAATTGAAGTCACATGTTACATGTGCAAGCTCATCTTGGCTAGTGTTTATATCAATGAGAGTTTCACCTTCATGTTCTTCCTCTCGTTTTAAAATTCCTCCAACAGCCCAAGTAAATGCAAATATGAAAATTTTCCCCAATAATATGAGCATTTTATTAGGCTCCTTTTCCCAAAACCATATCTGACCATCCCTGAAATTAATGAATAAAGAAGTTATCTTAATACAACTTTGTTACTAAACCTCAAAAGGATACTGTATTTATACTTTTGCAAGTTAATTTTTAAGATCCTGAATATTTTATTATTTATGAATAACTGGCTTTTTACATAGGTATTTGATGAGGAAGAATGAGATCTGATTTTATTGTAATCTGTTTGATTGTTATGAGCTACTCACAGTTATTGAGAGCCAAATGGCATATAAGTTTAATAAATCATTGACAAAATCACCATTGAACACATTAACAAAATCATCATCAAATCTCAAAAAGGAACACTATTTATCCTTTTGCAAGTTATACGTCTTAGACTTAAAGTATAAGATTGGCTTGCTATCTTATATAGTTTGCCAATTTTATCATAATTTGTTAGATTGTTATGAGCTACCCATAGTCATTGAGAGTCAGATGGCATACAAATTTAATAAATTATTGTTAGTGTTATTATTATTCGGTCTGATATGATAGTTTAGTATTTTATCATGGTTTTAATGAACTAGTTGGGTTAGTTAACTGCAGGAAATGAGCAGAGTAGCATTATGTTTTTAAAAAAACAATAAAACTTGAATGGGTGCAAAAAAAAGGAAAAATCTCAAATGATTAAGAATAGGATTTAGAGTTTTTAGCTTGCTGAGGAGGCAGGTAAGCCAAAAGATAATAGGATCTAGAAAATCATACATGGAATGATGTACCCCTCTTTCATTGTATAAGAATATTGTGTTAGCCATTAAAACTAGATGCAGAAAGATTTAAAACATTGGCCAACACATTGGTCAATTATTTAGATCAGGGTTTTTCAACCGGTGGTACACGAACCACCTGTGATACATTGGCATGTGGCAGGTGGTACGTGGCCCTGCCCAGCCCAGCCCAGGGTAGCGGGGAAGGGAACGAGCCAAAGCAGCGCAGCGCAGGACTTGCCTTGAAAGAATCCTTGAGAGTTGCAGGGCTGCTGGGGTGAGGCAAAGGCCCCAGGATCAGCACTTCCGGCACATCCGGAAGAGAAAGGAGGAGGAGGGCGGAGACAGGAGAGGCTATAAAAGAAGGCAGTTTGGGCAGGAGAGGGAGAGAAAAAAAGATGCAGCCTTGGGAAGAGGAAGAAGAGTCAGCTGGAGCTGCACCGAAGGTAAAAGAAGGAGGTGGAGGGGCAAGAGAGGACAAAAAACAGGCCAGGTTTGCAGCAACAAACAGGTAAGAAATGCAGCTGGGGAAAGGTCGCAGCATGAGAGTCCTTCCTTCCTTCCCTCCCTCTCATTGTCCCTTCCTTCCTTCCTTCCTTCCTTCCTTCCTTCCTTCCTTCCTTCCTTCCTTCCTTCCTTCCTTCCTTCTCCCTTCCTTCCCTCGCCCCTTCTGTGCCCAAGAAGGGATAAGGAGAGGGGGACAGGCTGCCAGCATGGCTGGTGGCCGTGCTGCTGATGGCCATGGCTTGAAAGGCCACTGTAAATTGCTGGACAAGAGCTGCACAGCATTAAGAGCAGAGTGACGGGAAAATATTTGTAATAAGGGAGGGAAAAAACAGGCATCCCCTGAAGGAGACCAGCAAATGGCCCTTGCCCTTTTCACACACCTGTAGACTCCGGGGGAGGGGACACTGCGAGCGGCATGAGAGTCCACGTTACCTATGGTTTGCTGCCCAGACCCCCGCCTGGTTTTGGCAGGCAGCAGCACATTCTCCTCACTGCGCAGAATGGCCAGGCAAGGCGAACCGGTGACATGCTGAACCTGCCTGTGCGTGCGCAGAGACGAATGCATGTATGTCAGCCTCTGTGTGTGCATAGGCAGGTTCATCATGTTGCCGGTTTGCCTCGCCTGGCCACTCCACATGGTGAGAATCCGCCGCTGCGCTCTCCTCTGCCTCAGCTGCTGCACGCACACAGGCAGGTTCAGGAAGTGAGAGAAGAGATGATATTAAAGGGGGTGGGGGAAGAGATGATATTAAAGGGGGTGGGGGAAGAGGTGATATTAAAGGGGTGGGGGAAGAGAGGATATTAAAGGGAGTGGGGGAAGAGAGGATATTAAAGGGGGTGGGGGAAGAGAGGATATTAAAGGGGAGTGAGGACTTCCTGTACTTTATCACTTTTTTCCAGGGGGGGTGTTTGGTCATCAAGTTTTTGACACCTCGCTAGGTGACTGGTGGTACTTGAATATTGCCATATTCTAAAAGTAGGACAATCAGTGAAAAGGTTGAAAAGCCCTGATTTAGATAGTTGAAAAGGAAACTGAGCACATTCATGGAGGATCAGTGACTCCTAGTTTTGATGACTGATTACTATCTTCTAAATCATGGGCAGCATTCCATAAACATCAGATGCTAGATAGCAAATGTGGAAGAGAACCCATATTTGCAAGCTTCCTGAATGCATGTAGCTGACCACTATTATACAGTATGCTGAATTAGAAGAGCCATTAACCTACTTCAACAGGAATATGAATAAGTGGCTATATTCTCATAATTCACTTACCTTTTCTTCATTATTGATGGGACTGTTCCACTAAGTGAACTGAATTCATGTAAAAATTGTGAAGAATCCTTCTGGTTTATCGTTGAAAAACTCACTGTGCTGCTTTGTCGTCTTTTCTTATCTTTAATATAATGTTAGTTATTATATACTTGACTCTTTCAAGAAATAGTTGAATACATTCTACAATTCAGTTATACTTTCCTATGTAATTGATTTTGATTACAGTGAATATATTTTACTTTGATTCTAATCTACTTCAAAAAGTAATAATTGAGAAACATCAAAACATCACTGATAATTTAGAAATTGTCATGAATTGTAAATACATCTTCAGTATATTGTTTCAATATTATCTATATGCACTTTATATATATATTACTGTATGGGAATAGTATATGATTTTCCTAATATATCAGGGTTAATTCAATTGCATTAGACAATGCAATTTGCTTATATAGGGTAGATTACACTAACCGTTTAGTTAAATACTCCCTAACATATGATTATTTTTTCCTATTTTTGGCACAATACATTTTGCATTAGATATTAAATAAACATGTAGCGTAAAACATATAGGAGGATTATTCAGCTCAAAGCAGTTAGATATCTTGAATAGATATTGATTGATTCTACCTGCTGAATAATAATAAAATATGTAACATTTCCTGCTTTTTGCTGGAAATCCTGTAGAATCCCATCTCCAAGTTATTTTAACCAAAGTAAAAATGCATAATTGTGAGCAAATTATTGCAAATAGAATTATATTTAAAACTTTCTGGGCCTGTTTCGCAAGGGGTGGGAAACTAATATTTTTGCAACATATATATCAGTATTCAAATAGGAGTGACAATATGTATATATGTGTTTGTGCCCTTTTTTAAAGCACTTTTAAAATGTCTTGTTTGTTTTGTTTTTGTAAAACAAAATTTGGAACTTTTGTATTTTAACTTTTTTGAATAAAATAAAATTTTTAATGTTAAGTTACATTAGTTACATAGAGAAGAAGTGATAGAGGGAATTGAAATTGCCGGAACCTTGGGTGAAAGTGACCATGTCATAATGGAATTTAACATAATGCAAACACTAGCAATAGAAAACAATCCAACCAATGTCTTAAACTTCAAAAGAGCTGACTTTAACAAACTCAGAGAGAACCTAGGAAAGATCCCATGGATGAAAATCCTAAAGGGGAAAACAACCCAAGAAGTGTGGGGAACCCTGAAAAATGTGATCACAAAAGCCCATATCAGGACAATATCACTGAGAAAGAAAACCAAGAAATCTAAAAAGAAACCAGCATGGCTGCACAAAGATCTATCTAACAAACTAAAGGACATAAAGGACAAATACAAAAAATGGAAAGAGGGGCACCTAACCAAGGCTGATTATCAGCAGACAGCCAGAACATGCAAAGAAGAAGACAGGAAAGCAAAGGCCCAGAATAAACAAAGACTCGCAACAGTAATCAAGGACAATAAAAAAAGCTTCTTCCAACATATTAACAACAAGAAAAAAAGTCAAGGAAACTGTAGGCCTACTAAAGAGAGACGATGGCAAGGAAATCACAGGCAACAGGGAGAAAGCAAAGCTGCTTAACTCATACTTTGTGTCAGAAAAAGAAACTATACCAAAAAAACCACTGCAAAAGACATACTAGAAACAAAAATTAAAATAAGCAAGAAAATGGTAAGAGAACTCCTATCCGACCTTGATGAGTATAAATCACTGGGACCCAACAGATTACATCCCAGAGTTCTGAAAGAGCTGGCAGATATTATCTCAGAACCATCGCACCACATCTTTTATAAATCCCGTAGCACCGGGGAAGTACCTAAGGATTAGAAAAGGGCTGATGTGGTCTTCATCTTCAAGAAAGGAAAAAAAAAACCAAAACGGACCCAGGAAACTACAGACCAATAAGCTTAACATCAATACCTGGGAAGATCCTAGAAAAAATAATCAAAAAACAAATCTGCAAACAACTAGAAGAAAAAAAAATCATAATAGCAGCCAGGACGGGTTTGTTAAAAACAGATCATGCCAAACCAATCTTATCTCATTCTTCAATAAAGTGACCAAACTAGTAGACCAGTGAAATGCACTGGACATAGTATACTTAGATTTCAATAAGGCATTTGACAAAGTGGACCACAACCTACTCCTTGGTAAGCTAGAAAATGGTGGAATAGACAACATCACCACCAGATGGATCTGTAGCTGGCTGACAAACAGTACTCAACGGTTAGTCCTCAATGGCATTACATCCACATGGAGAGAAGTAAGCAGTGATACCACAAGGTTCTGTCTTAGGCCCAGTACTCTTCAATATCTTCATAAATGACTTAGATGGGGGAATTGAAGGGGAACATCAAATTTGCAGATGACATCAAACTGTCAGGAGTAGCCAATACCCCAGAAGACAAACTCAGGATCGTAAAAGATCTTGACAAACTCGAATAATGGGCCCTATCCAACAAAATGAGTTTCAGTGTGGAGAAAAAAAAAATCTTACACTAGGCAGGAAAAACCAAAGGCACAAATATAGATTGGGTGAGACCTGGCTTAAAAACAGTAACAGTGAGAGGGATCTTGGAATCCTAGTGGATGATCACTTGACTATGAGCCAGCAGTGTGAAGCAGCAACCAGAAAAGGTAATACAATACTGGGTTATATAAACAGAGGCATAGAATCAAGATCATGCGAAGTACTAGTACTGCTTTGCAAAGCCCTAGTAAGACCACACCTGGAATACTGCAGCCAATTTTGGTCTCCATACTACAAAAAAGATATTGAGAGCGGAAAAAAATTCAGAGAAGAGCAACTAAGATGATCAAAGGCCTGGAGTCTAAAACAGACAAAGAATGGCTGCGGGACTTGGGTTTTGCTAGTCTAAAAAAAAAGAAGAAATAGGGGAGACATGATAGCAGTATCTGAGGGGCTGTCACAAGACAGAGGGGGTCAGGCTGTTCACCAGAGCACCAGAGAGGAGAAACAATGGTTGGAAACTGATCAAGGAGAGAAGCAACCTGGAATTAAGGAGAAACTTCTTGGCAGTGAGGACAATCAACCAGTGAAACAGCTTACCCCCAGAAATCGTGGGCACTCCATCACTGGAGATTTTTAAGAAGAGACTAGACAATCACCTGTCTGAGATGGTATAGGTTCTCCTGCTTGATTAGGGGGCTGGACTAGAAGACCTCCAAGGTCCCTTCCAGTTCTATTCTATTCTATTCTATTCTATTCTATTCACATCAATTATGGTCAGTGGATTTTCCTAATGGGACAACTATTCTTATTTAAATTATCAAATATGGTTTCTGATTCATTATTCCCCTGCGTGGAAGGCATTCCTAAGATGTGTGGACTTCAAGCATTTCCCAATCATCATATCCATTACTGAGAATTCTAAGAGTTCAAAGTCAAACTTATTTCAAGTTGTTAGCATATACAGAATTGCCATAAACATTTGTTAAAATTTACTTACTCTCTTGAGATACTTGACTTAGTTTTATTACATGAATAAATGAACCAATAATTCTGCAAATGTTCATTACTATCCCCAACTGATGTACAGGAAATGCTTGCATTTTCTTATGTTTATTTAGAAAGGTTAACCCTATATTTATACTTGAGTGAAATAAACTTTCAAGATATTCAATACTATTTTCTGGTATTATTTCAGAAATGCCTTGCAGCCATGTTTTGACATAAGGCTCCCATCCCAGATCAGCAGGATCCTGCAATTAAATAAAATATATGAAGAGATGTTATATATATTTGAAGATTTTATTTAATTATTTGTATATGCAATTTAACATATATTTTTGCATCTGGATGTATATGTGTGCGCTTCTCTGTGTGTGCCAGTTTCATGTACGCAGCCCCCACCCAAAGTATTGCACTTAGAGCTTTATTCAGAAGATTACCAAGAATACAAAACAAATTTCAAAGAACTCAGTGCTAATTGACTGAAAAATATCTCATCTATGATTTTTATCATCTGAAATTGAAGAAAATTTTTACTAGGCTTCCTGAAAAAACATTCTTATTTCATTCAAATGTCAATTAAGCTAGTGTTTGGGATCAAAGTCATTTTTATGTAGAAGAGTTTTTAAAAAATGTGATCGTGTATCCTCAATATGTAATTATGTCAGTTCTACTATTTGTTCTATCTCATTATTCTACTTTTTGTGTAGCACTATATGTACACAATATTATCCAGAAGTATTTTGTTCATTGATCCATTTCTAAAGTTAACTACCAAGCTTTTCTTTCATAATGTCTACAATTTGGTTTATTAAAGAATGAAATATATGATTATTATTGTTAGCATATATATGTTAACATATAAGAGTGTGAACTACAAGTTAAAATCTTACACTTTTCCAAGATAGGGTTCAGATAGTTTAGTGTAAGGAAGAAATGTTTAGCAAAAAGTCAGTAGAAAGTCACATTCTTGAACAAAAGGGACTAAATGAATCTTTTTGGAGCAACTTGAAATCTTGTTCTTACGAATCTGTCATTTGCTAATGCTCAGATCTATTCCTGAGTTTTATTATGTACAGTTATTGCTTATTTTCCAAGAATAAGAACAACAAACTCAGAAAAAGTTTACAGTTGTTGCTAGGATCATCTCTTTCGGTCAGTGGTGGGATTCAGCCGGTTTGCACCAGTTCGGTAGAACTGGTAGCTAATTTTTTGTTGCCCAGGCTGAGAACAGACTTCTGGAATTGGCATCCACACAGAGAACCAGTTGTTCACATATTTGAATCTCACCACTGCTTTTGGTGCCAAAACTCTCTATTCTGCCCAAAAACTAAAATGGAAAATATATTCAGTAGCAAACAACAAATCAGCAGAAGTGACAAAAAGGGCAATGAATCTATAACAGCTTCATTCTACTTGGGATCTTGGTTGGATCTGATCTTACTAATTTCTAGAACAATCACAAAATCATACTGAAACTGAATTATGAAATATTCACTATATATTTATATATTTATAATAAATATATTTATTTATAAATATATATATATTTATATAATGAATATATTTAATATATATTTATCCAGTCATGTGCACACATTTTACATCTGAAATTCATTAAGTGGGATAAAACCACCCATTTCCTTACAAATATAATTTTATTTGCTATTGTCCTAAAAATGGCAAATGAAAAATATAAAATATTATGTGAAAGTATACAATTACTTTTTTTAATGGAACGTACCACATAAACCATGGCACATCTACTAATTGTGGCTGGGTTGGCTTGAGACACACAGTCCACTTCAAATATCACTCTGAAGGCTGGTGATAAATAAATTCTTTCACTGTTAGCAAGACATAATGTTTTGCTGTCATCTAGCACAGAATTTAAGTTTTCTATCCAACGTGGATCTACTGGGCCATCCAAGATAATCCACTGCCAGTCAACAGCAGTTTCACCTAAAAGAACAAAAAAAACCCATTAATTATAAATGTGCTAGTTTAAGCACATTTAAAAATGTAATAGTAATTAAAATCAATATTCACATTTTATAAAAATCACACATCCATTTGTTTCTTTGGAAAAACACATTTAAATCCTGCTCTTAGATTATCTATTTTCTGATAATCAAATTAGAGAAGAAATTATGATGTTTTATTGCTTTTTAAATGATATATTACAATTGTTAATTGGGAACAATAGAAAAATCTGCTATGGGATCATTGTGCCACCTTGGTTAGGCTGTCTATTGTTAAGCTTGTTTGGCAGTTCCTTTTTGATTGTTAGTGTTAGTCTTTGGGTGTTGATTGCTGCTGAAGAAGTTTTCTAGCACTAATGATATTGTTGATTATCTTTGTTGAATAATACATAGATGTTGTTTATATCTATGTACTTATTGATGCCTGATTTGTCAGAGTGCCAGGATTCCAGGAATTCTCTAGAGTTTTTAGTCTTAGCATGGTCTAGAATGCTCACTTAAACTATGGTTATGTCTGTCATATGACGTGAAATTAAAGAGTTTTCATTATGTCTTCTGACAGCTAGTTGGTGTTCATGGATGGACTCTGCTAGTCTTCTGCCTGTTGTGTTACATAGTGGCTGTTGCAGTCCTTACAATGTATGTTGTAAATGACGCACACATCCATAGATGACACCTTTGTCATAATAAAAAAAGAACCAACTGGAGAACACACATAAAACCATTAACATTTTCAAAGGTATAAAATTCACAAGAGAAAAAGAAAACAATATGTTACCCATCAGCAGAGACAGCAATGACAAACTATCAATCAATCAGAACAGAGCTGGAAGGGACCTTGGAGGTCTTCTAGTCCAACCTCCTGCTCAAGCAGGAGACCCTATACCATTTCAGACAAGTGACTGTCCAGTCTCTTCTTAAAAATCTCCAGTGATGAAGCACCAACAACTTCTGAAGGCAAGCTGTTCCATTGGTTAATTGTTCTCACTGTTAGGAAGTTTCTTCTTAATTCCATGTTGCTTCTCTCCTTGATTAGTTTCATCCACTGTTTCTTGTCCTAGCCTCAGGTGCCTTAGAAAATAAGTTGACCCCCTCATCTTTGTGGCAACTTCTCAAATACTAGAATACTGCCATCATGTCCCTCCTAGTTCTTCTTTTTTCTAGACTAGCCAAACTCAAATCCTGCAACATTCTTCATATGTTTTAGTCTCCAGGCCTTTAATCATCTTAGTTGCTCTTCTTTGCACTTTTTCCAAAATCTCAATATCTTTTTTGTAATGTGGTGACCAAAACTGAATGCAGTATTCCAGGTTTGGCCTTACTAAGGCTTTATAAAGCAGTACTAATACTTCACATGCTTTTGATTCTATGCCTCTGTTTATACAACCAACCATTGTATTAGCTTTTTTGGCTGTTGCTGCACCCTGCTAGCTCATATTTAAGTGATTGTCCACTAGGTCTCCAAGGTTCCTCTCAGTTATTGTTTTTGAGCCAGGTTTCACCTAATCTGTACTTATACTTTTGGTTTTTCCCACCTAAGTGTAAAACCTTGCTTTTCTCCACATTTAATTTCATTTTGTTAGACAGGGCCCAATGTTTAAGTCTGTCAAACCTCCTATGCTTATGCTGATATTCTCACGATTTTCATCACTTTCTGCCTCTTTAGGCTCACATTTTTTTTCTTTCAATACTGATCTGTGGAGATCAGGTTGTTATCTGACTCATTCTCTCCATAATAGCACATAATAGAACAATCTAATAGGTACGTATTTATTTAATGGAAAGTTAAGGTCCTATGGGTGAGGTATCAGGAAGTGGGTGGAACAAAAAACTATCACATGATTTCCATTGCTGCCTTTTTGTTCCTAGGGAGGATGCTGAAAGTAATTTCAGTAGAGCTGGTGCATAATTAGTTAAATATCAAAAAGTTGTCCACGTTGAATCTGTAACAAAGATACATACAATAATGAAATAATTCCCATATTTGTTATGACAAAATTATACTAACACTGAATATTCTCTGCTGATTGTAAAATTTCATCAGGCACAACTGCATCTGCTACATTCACTGTATTCAGCTAAAAATAGAAATGAAAATAATTATACTGCAATAGATAACATTAGAAAAAATCACATAATTATAACTTACAAAAGGTAAACATTTTCCTTAAATGTCTATAAAAGGAAATGATTATTTCCTTAAATTAATCAGGTGAAAGGAAGACTACAATTACAAAACCAAATACTGAATTAAGTTTGTAACAAATTTTGGAAAGTTCCCAATCACAGACAATTTCAAACTGAAATCTCTTGAATCTTAAACAAATAACAATACAGCATAATAAAATCAGATTATGAATTCTACTCCTAGTTGGAGTCACCATAAGAGCTAAGGCTAAACAGGCAAAACTGGAAGCTAGAAAAGGAAGTAGATTGGAATATGCTTCCAACACATTCAGGACAAACAGATGTTTGGGGGTTTCCAAAGAAAGAAAGCGTTTGCATATGGCTGATAAAAATAGAGGACACCCAACAAAAAAGTAAATTGCCCTGGGAAATAAACAGGAGAAAAGTAGCAATTTAAAACTCAGAGAATCATACATTTAAAATAATCGTAACCATTTAAACTGAGGATTTTAAAAGCTAAGCACATAGATCTGTGTCTAACTAAGATATCTATCATTTCTATCATCAATCTATCATTTCATCTACCTTTTTTCAATAAATCATTTCCATTTTTTGAGGAAGAATGTGTTGGGTTTGGTAAGTTATTAAATGAAAAAATGAATGAAATACTTAGTAATATCTAAATGAAGAAAGTCTAACCACATTTTAAAATAAGAATATCTCAATATCCTACTACAGTGGTGGCGAACCTATGGCACGGGTGCCAGAGGCAGCACTCAGAACTCTCTCTGTGGGCACGCGCGCCGTCGTCACAGTCCTAGGCCTTCAGCTGGGTTTTATAAAACCTTTTTGCTTTAGGCCTCCGCCACCATGTGCAAAAAAAAAAAAAGGTTCAGTCAATTTCAACTTCTCGCGGGAAAAAAAGATCTTGCAAAGTTGGAATTGATTGATTGAACTTTTTAGTCCCACCCAATCTGCCATTACCACCGCAGCCACGCCCACCCAATGGGCCACACCCACCCAATTGGCCACACCCACCCAGCACTTGACAATCCATAAGTGGGTTTTGGGTTGCATTTTGGGCACTCAGTCTCTAAAAGATTCGCCATCACTGTCCTACTACATTACTGTGTACTCACTGTATATAAATCCTGCATTTCTGAATTTATACCAATGCTTGGATCTTTTCTTTTAGATTTTTTGATTCCAAGTTTGGCAAATCCTCGAACTGCTGATGATAATAATCCATCTGACCATTCCATTGTACTAGGATTTGTCTGTCCAAAGAGTTCATCAATAGTAACACACTTTGGGTTTACAACAAAAGTATCCACTTTGCTTCTCTTTGAATTACTCTGAGGAAGAAAAAAGTTCCTTCTAAATGAGCAATTACTAATTTCCTAGAAGTACAAAAACATGAAAAAGGGTTCTGTCTATTCTGTTACTTATTGATCCTAAGTACACAAGATCACAAATGATGACCACATGGCCCATGGACACTGAAACATTTTTGCTGCAATTTGGTTGCTGAGCACTCAAATCATGATCACATGACTACGAGGACACTGCAATGGCCCCAACTACAAGAACCCATCATAAGTCTCCCTCATTTAGCACTGTCGTAAATGTGAATGATCACTGAACAAGTGGACATTTAGCAAGGACCTACTGTTGTACCATAGTAAAGTCTCCTTCAAATCAAGTATGATCTTTGGTGAACTGATGAACGCATATAAGTAATCTTTTGAAAACAATATAGATATGTTTTGCCATTGCTTTTTTTTGGAATGATTTCTCTATTTTTATTCAACATATTGTCCTGTAATTTCTTGGTATGCTCCCATTCAGGTATCAACCAAACCAAAGCTTCCTTGGCTTTCTGAAATTAGACTGAGTACTGCCAACTCTTATTGTTTTAACCATTCAGTCATGTTCGACTGTTGGCAACTTTATAGGCAAGCACTTTCCATGCTACCCTATCAAGCACAGCTTCTTTCAGTTGTTGATTGTTCAGCTTTGTGTCAGAAATCTCACCAGAATTCTTTATGACAATAACTCAACATGACTGCCAACTACTCATTGTTTAATAACTAGTAAATATTTAAAATTTCAAGGTTCACATAGATTATTGCTCTGAAAGTTTACAGGAAAAGAGATCAACTACTAATACATAGCATAAGAGTAATTTTTAAAAAATACCTGAAAAACATCAAGTTTGGTAGCACTTTCCATATCAACTAATGGAAAGATTATCAAGGCTTTTTCTAAAATTGTTCTAATGGTAGTTTTTCCTCCACCTGTGGGGCCTACAAGCATCACACCAACACGAGCCTGAAAATATATTTTAAAATATCAAATCTGCAATATTAGAATAGAATAGAATGATAACTTTATTGACACTTTGAATGTACACTAATTGGCATACATTAAAACAGTGGTTCTCAACTTTTTTATACGGCGACCCCGGTCATAAGGAATTTGAATTGCTAGGGAGGATCCAACTTTGTTCTCTTCCTGCTGAGCAGCCATTCCAAGCTCTTTGTCTCTGGGAAAGAGATCCTCCCTCCTGTGACTCCTGACTACATTCCACCACAAACATCCATTTCTGTCATTTACTGGAATACAATTCCCTTAATGTAAGAACTCATTGTAAAATTTTGAGTTCTACATATTTGTATCATTTTAACCTCCATATCACATTTTACTTGATTAACATCCCATTGCACTCACCATAAGCTGATTGTATAGTTGTATAACCTTCTCTTTCTGATTTTCCCAAGGCTGCAAGGATAAATGATGTATTGCAAGAGATATTGCACTCTATTTAAAAAACATAGACAGATGGTTAGAAGTTTGATGACTTATCAATAATTTGACAATACATAAAATAACCAAAATTTAGTATTAAGAAAAAATATAGCTATTCTGGCAGTATTAGGAAAAAATAAAAAGGTACAATCAATTTCACTGTCTTTACATTGAGTAGACCTGAATATGCCACATCTTCTCTGAATATCTGTCAATATTACTGGGATTCCAGAAATGCTGCTTTACTATTGTAGCATATATTAACAGAATCCTTAAAGCCTGTCTACATTTTTCTCTGTCCCATCTTATACTAAAATCAAGGCACAGTTATTTTGAGTTTTTTCCTCCCAGTTCCTCCTATCTCTGGACTTTGTCAACTCTTGACTAAGTCCCTTTTTGATGGTTCACTTATACTTACCCCAAGGCCAGCTCTGAATTCTTTTACAACACTGAAATGCTCAAACTGAATGGATAATAACATTTAAAAAACTCAATTTCAAAAATATTTTTGTATAGCTAATATTTCTGTTAACAATAATTATTCTTATTTTTATTACCTCTAATCGCTTAGGATTTACTTTTGGAACTTCCATTTCTGTAAAGAGATCTCTGATAATATCTTCAAATACTGGAACATCTTCAGCAATTAACTTTGGTAAATTCACTTCTTTCAGTATTTCAATTGTGATTAGAGTTTCCTCTAGTGCAGAAAACCGTTTTTTATTGTGTCTATTATACAAGAAAACTAATAATTAGAATTTCATGAGTTATTTTAAGTCTCATTATGTTTTCATTAATCCACCATGCTGCACTTTTTAAGAATATATTCTTAAATCATATATTGCTAAAGTTGTGCACTTTTATTGCTTTTATGCTTCTTTTCCAATTCATATTAGTCTGTTTTTAATAAGTTTTAATTTATTAGCTGCTCAGAACTATTGTTGCAAGTTAGGTAGCTTTATAAATTTCTCAAATAAATAAATATGCTCAGATATAAGGGATATTTAGCAATCCATGACTGAATTTTTGTCATATTCAAAGTAAATAAATAATAAATATTTTTCATCTAAAAATTAAAAAGTTAATTTGTATGGTTTGTAAGTAAATGTGGCAAAAAGAAGAAAATAAATTTACATCAAAAAGTATGCAGAAGTTTCCCACTAATGTGGATATCAATATGTCTACTCTAAACTAAAAATTAATAAATTATTTTATTAATCCATATACCTCTCAATGATATTTAGGAAATGGCTAAGTTGTCAGTCAAAGCTCCTTCCTTCCTTCCTTCCTTCCTTCCTTCCTTCCTTCCTTCCTTCCTTCCTTCCTTCCTTCCTTCCATCCATCCATCCTTCCATCCTCCCTCCCTCCCTCCCTCCCTCCCTCCCTTCCTTCATTCTACAGTATGAAAGAACTATCATCTGAATGCTTTGCAAGTCAAAAACAAAACTGATCAAGAAACTTAATTTCATGAATAGAAATGCATTTTTCCTGGTAATGAATACAGATATTCCAATATAAATATTTAGAATCTTGGTAATTTAGGTGGCAATTCTATGAGGCAATAAATCCTTCTAAGTTTGAAAGACTATATTCTAAATAATCATGCAGAGATAAATCTATTGAACTTAGTTTTCTTTGTTTCAAAACAAATACAGATAGTATTACAGTAAAGCAGGTCTCTCCTCTACTAAAACTTATCTTTATATAAAACCTGTAGATCACAAATTGAGATATAATAATGTTCTAATTTTAATATTAAACAACTTAAGAAAACTTACTGTAGTTTCAAATCCTGCCGCCTTTGACCAACTCTTATTAATACAGTTTTTATAGCTCTCATGCCAAAATCATAATGATCCTAAAAATAAGATAAGAACACAATTTATTTTTGTGCACTGAAAATATCTTCCTTGCAATTATTAAACAGGATGTTTGTCAGAAATATTGTCTTTTTAACCAATTTGATTTCCAACTGAACTCTTCCAGAGCTAATGTGTACTTTGTCCCAGGGTACTGATGCTGATTTAGAGTATAATATGTTGTTATTAGTCTCTTGTCATGGACAAATAATCTCCTTTGCCTCGGAGTTTTCTGAGGCTCTGCCTACCCCACTTGATCAGCTGCTCAGGTGGGGTTCCAGAGGTAACCTGGGATAGATCTCAAAGCTCTGGTTATAAGGTTTGGCTGATATTTTAATTGCTGCTTTAAATAAGCAGATAGCATAGGCTGGTCAAACTACACCTTGTAAACTATGCATGTGAACCCCAGATCCCTTCTTGGAACTGCCAAAAGGGCTGTGTTGTAAGGAATATGTCTTTTCAATGATTCCAAGAAGGTTTCAAACCCAATTTACTATTCAGGTGATCCTGAGGGCACAGATAAACCTCCAATGGGCCTCAATGACTCTCAGAGTGAGTGCTAATGACTAGATGACTGCAAGGAGCATAAATCCTTCCATTCTCTACCATTCAGACAGAACTGAAGAAGCTTCTTGGATGAGAAGCTAAACATCTTCAAGGAAAAACAAAGAAAGTCCAGTTGCTTTTTGAAAAGCACCTTTGGGACAACTATGACTTGGATGACTGAGAATCTCTATAGACATACAAGGCCAGAAGAAAGTTGAAAATGTGTTGTGAGAATTAGCACAGATACCATAACCTCTGTATAATATAAAAGGTAGAATATGGTGTTGAAATGCTTAGATGTTCCCAGAAAGAGCTCTTTGGAATCCCTTTTATCCACTTGGCCAATGGAGAAGAAGGTAGCTTCTCTTATCTCTTTCTTTCTACTTTTCTTCATTTTTGGTATAAATAGATATACCATGTCAAAATGCCAAGAGAAGAAGGTAAATATAATAGTACTAGATCAGATCAAGATGCATTTAATTTCAGCATTTTGTTTCTCACAGTGGTGCAAATTTCTTAGGAGTGCTCCTAAGCAGGAGATGGGAAACATAAGCAGATCTCGCTATTGTACCTGAAGAGTTTAAAAGCACACTACCTCCAGACTGGAAATAACACTAAGTAGTAACCCTGTTCTGGGTGTAAATATACTATAATTTTGTAATATTGTGATTTTTATTTTAAATCCCTTTTCTAATGCTCCCTAACATGGAATGTGTGTTCTGCACCCTTTGATACCACTATAAAATCAAAGTCTTTTTTTCTAGGAAAGAAAAACATTGCAAATTAATGGCTATATAGGCTAAGGAGAAATTTGCTGTATGGGACCCTGATTTGAGTTAGATAGATTGTTGCCATGAGATGAATTGCTCGTAAAAATGATTGGTTAAAACATGATTGGCCAAAGCAGGATAAGCTACACAATAGCTTTAAATTAAATCATATGAAGGTTGGAGATTAAATATCTGATTACGCATTCAGATAAAAGAGGAGGCATTATGGATGTAAAAAGGCTTAATAAATGTTCAGAAAGCTTGAATTCTTAACATAGAAAGTGAACATGATCTAATAGGAAAAACTGAGGCATAGTGTGATAGCTCCCAGGACTGAATATAACTCTGAAGCACAGAAGGGAGGAGGAGTTGCACTCAATATTAACAACATCCATTTCTTTTCAGCAACTGAAATGAATGGATTTAATATTGTTGTAGAGAGCATGTTGATTAAAACAAAAGGAGAAACAAATAGAAGTAATGCTAGTATTGTTTCCATCACTGTGTAATCCAGTGAAACTAAAAATGTAGGTGCTCCTTTCCAAAAGCAAACTGAAGCTCTTTCAAATACCCCAAAATTTGTTGGGAGACAAATTTTGCTAAAAAATGGTCCAAGAGGCTCTGATAATTTTAACCTGATATTAACCATAATAAGAAGACAGCTAAAGAATGGAAGTAGTAGCAACATTTGGGGAAAAGTCACCATACGATGATAGATTTATTGATAACCAAAGCTGTGTGTAATTGAATATAATAGTAGTAGTAGTAGTAGTAGTAGTAGTAGTAGTAGTAGTAAAGTTGGAAGGGACCTTGGAGGTCATCTAGTCCAACCCCCTGCTCAGTCAGGAAACCCTATACCATTTCAGACAAATGGCTGTCCAGTCTCTTCTTAAAAACTTCCAGTGTTGGAGCATCCACAGCTTCTGGAGGCAGGTTGTTCCACTGGTTAATTGTTCTAACTGTCAGGAAGTTTCTCCTCAGTTGCTTCTCTCCTTAATCAGTTTCCATCCGTTGCTTCTTGTCCTGCCTTCCTGCGCTTTGGAGAATAGCTTGACTCCCTCTTCTTTGTGGCAGCCCCTGAGATATTGGAGCACTGCTATCATGTCCCCCCTTGACCCTCTCTTCATAAAACTAGACATACCCAATTCCAGCAACCGTTCCTTATAAGTTTTAGCCTTTAGATCGCTAATCATCTTTGTTGCTCTTTCTGTACTCTTTCTAGAGTCTCAGCATCTTTTTTACAACTGGATGCAGTATTCCAAGTGTGGCCTTACCAAGGCATTGTAAAGTGGTATTAATAGTTCACGTGATCTTGATTCTATCCCTCTGTTAATGCAGCCTCACTGTGTTGGCTTTTTTGGCAGCTGCAGCACACTGCTGGCTCATATTTAAATGATTGTCCACTAGGACTCCGAAATCCCTCTCACAGTTGCTACTATTAAGCAAGGTACCCCCTATATTATACTTGTACATTTGGTTTTTCTTGCCTAAATGTAGAACCTTACTTTTTTCACCATTGAATTTAATTTTGTTAGATAGCGCCCAGTGCTCAAGTCTGTTCAGATCCTCCTGTATCTCAAGCCTGTCTTCTGGAGTGTTGGCTATTCCTGCCAGCTTGGTGTCGTCTGCAAATTTGATGAGTTCCCTGTCTATCCCCTCATCCAAATCATTGATGAAGATGTTGAAGAGCACTGGGCCTAGAATAGAGCCCTGGGGCATCTCACTACACACTTCCCTCCATGTAGATGCAGTTTCATTGAGGACCACACGCTGAGTACGGCCGATCAGCCAGCTACGAATCCATCTGGTAATGATGCTGTCTAACCCACATTTTTCTATCTTATCAAGTAGTAGGTTGTGATCTACTTTATCAAATGCCTTACTGAAGTCCAAGTAAATTATATCCACAGCATTCCTCTGGCCCACTAATTTTGTCACTTGGTCAAAGAATGCAATAAGATTTGTCTGGCATGATCTGTTTTTGACAAACCCATGTTGGCTTTTAGTAATGACTTTGTTTGTCTCTAGGTGTATCTTGGAGTTCCAAAAAGCCAGAATTTGATGAACCGACAGCAATGACATGTAAAATTTCAAGGGAGAAGGTGATAAGAAAAGAGACAATAATAAAAGTACAACTGCATACTTCCAATGGAGGCTTGCAGAAGAGGCCAGTATAACAGTATGAAAAGCTTAGCTCATCTTCTGATGCCTCTTTTGGTCGCAGGGTGTTACAACACGTGTTGTCATCTAGCGGGACCCAGGCCCAAACTAATTCCCCCCCTTAGGGACACAGCGCTTTGGTATGTCCCATTTGTGGATTCTCCATCCAATCATGCTGGAGAAGGGGCGTTGTCTTACCTGAACACCTTTTCTCAGCATGATGATAGAGAATCCACTCCCTCCCATTTAGGGTCATTTTGTCCCTGGTTCCGATATTAGGAAAGCACACGCGTTGGACTAACGTCTGTGTATCGCCTTAGTCTCAAACTGGGGTGCTATGGCACAGCAGAGGCGTATCTATACTTCAGACTTAGTTTTATTGGAGCAGGAAGATTGGGACAACCCAGTATAACAGTATGAAAAGCTTAGTGGAACCTTAATACAAAAAACCCAAAAAGAATATAAGAGATAAAAAGAGGAATAAGTTACACAGAAATAATAGATATAGGAACTGCAGTTGTAGAGATGGTAAGGAAAGTTAATGATCAAAGTTGTTGGAAAGAACTTCATTTGATATATTCAAAGCAAAATAAAAAGATATATTAATTGTTCAATTAAGATGGCAAAGTGCTAACAATCTTTCAGAAAAGGCAGCGCTGTACAAGTCCTATTTCGTTCAGTGTTATCTACCTCCAATTATGCAGAATTAAACTTTAGGATTGTTAAAAACACAATAAGAGAACTGCCACATGTGTGGGGTAGGGAAACATCAGGTTCCAGGAAAACACAGAGATTCTAAAAGTGTTCATAGGAAGTAGAAGGAAGGTTTATAAATTTTGCAGATGATACAGAATTGGGTGAATACCTAATATAGAAACAAAATAGATTGGAGAAACAAAGGTAACAACACTAAATGTAATAAGATAAGCACAACTTTCTTAATTAGGAAATAAAAATCAAATGCAGCGATACAAGATAGCAGATAACTAGGTTGATAACAGTATTTGTAAAAAAAGACGTGGAATAATAAGTGACTACAAATTTAATATGAGGCACCAGTTTCATGTGGCTGCAAGAAAAAAAGAAAAACAATTTTTAGATTGCATGAATAGAAATACAATTTCCAAAACCACAAGACGTATTCCATTCTATTCCATCACTCCTCTCTATTTTGTTTACTACATCTAATTCTGGGCACCACACTTGAAAGATTTAGAGAAATTGGAACAGGTTTACAGAAAGACAGTAATAAAGATAAAGGGCCTAGAAACAATGTTACATGAACAAAGATTGAAAGAGCTGAATGGGTTTTAGCATTAGAAAAGGCAGTTGTGAGGGTATATGATATTATATTGAATATCTGAAAGAATATCACAGAAAAGATTGAATCATTTCAGAGTGCAGGAATGAAAGTTAACTGAACCTAAGAGGCTGCCAAAAGAGCTCTAGAAGACTAATTATCCAGTGGGATATTTGTCAATGAGGGCACAGGAAGAAGATAAGATGGCTGAAAATAGAAATTTCTGTCCCTCTGTAGGAAATAATAGTATTATATAGCTGTCAGTTGGGAATTTTGCTCCTATATCTCAAACACTAGTGCAAGGGCATTTGCCTAACCACAGACCCAGAGTGTTTTACAGGAAGGTACCAGTTGTCAATTACTTTTGAAGCTTTCTTTTAAAAATAGGAATGCACAACATAAGGATAATGACCAGTAAAGACAATCCTGACAAGAAATTGAGGGGTTTTGCCCAGTAAATGCTAAAAAGAGTCTCTACCTCCCTCTCTCCCCTAAGGTCATCCACTTGCCATTGACTTTGGGTAGCTAACATTGCTATAGCACTTAAAAAGAAACCGAAAGAAAAATCCTATACTGGATTCAGGAGCATATTCACTGGAAAGTGCATTTCCTGTGGAAAAATTTGGTCCTAGAAAAGTCATAGAGGCAGACAAACAAAGAGGTACTTTGAGCTGCATTCCAGAAGAAAATTAGGATATAAAAAAATAAAATATATACTCTTTGTATTTTACCTGTTGTGATAATCTTTTGCTAGAAAGTTGGTAAAGATTTATTATCTTCCCTGAGAGTAATTTTGCTGATTTGAAACCTTCTGAAAACAACATTATTTCAGCAATGAGTTCATAATCCGGTATCACCATTGACATAGGACGAAATAATGATTTTAAGTTGTCTGGAAGGTCCACACGACCTTTGTATCTTAAAAGGAAAGTTAATGTCATCACATTCTTCAAGAGCACTTTAATATGTTAGCTTTAGCACATATAAATAAAAATTCCTTTCAACAAAGATGCTGTACTAGTCTGAAAAAGTAGAGTTCACTACAGTTTAGAAAATAATTTTGTGATCACTGTTACTTAATGCAAGATTATTACTTAATGCAAGTGAAAAGTTATCTAACTTTCTGAAATTGATAATAGTGGTAATTTAAAACCACAACATTTGGAAAATGGGAATATAATTCAGTGACAGTACATATTCCTTGCATTTAAAAGATTCCATGATCAATCCCTGAATCATCAAATTAGGCTAAGAAATATTATTTTCTGAAATCTTAAAATTGCAAAGTTATGGACAATATTAAATTAATTGTATCAAAATTACCAGTTCATACAACACAGCTTCATGCATTTGTAAAAAATACCCCCCCGCAAAGGTTCTTTCTATTCTGGTGTTATTGAACAATTACTTACCCAGGATTCATGGTAATAAAAATTGCACAGTGTGGTTTCAGACGAATTTCTTTTCCTTCCAGTATAAATCTATGTTAAATATAAAAACAGCTCTAAGATACAGTGTTATACATAACATATTGATAATATTTACATATATGGAGTTTGCATCTGCATAGACCACTAGTAAGAAGATTCTAAGTTCTGGGGGAGGACTAAGGACTTGTCTACATATCTCTATATGGAGAATAGTGCAAGGAGCTCAGTTCTGATTCCAACACTGGAGTTCAGAATAAGTACACCACTGTAGTACAAATTAGGGGTATTATGTACCTGCAGAAATGGCAATTTGAAGAAGTCCAATTATTGCTAAGCAATCTGCCATCATTGTGAAGCATCTTTGTGATGCTTTTCTACATTACATTGTATCTTACAATTTATATTGTTTTATTTACTATGATTTATGTTGATTGGTTATTTAGTATCCTATGACTGTCACTAAGTGTTGTATCTTATGACTTACGATGAATGTATTTTTACGATAACTATGATCATGATTTATCACTTATTGCTTTTATGTACACTGAGAGTTTATGCACCAGAGACATTTTCCTTTGTGTGTCCAATCATGTATAACAGAAGTCTATTCTATTCTACACATAGCAGAAATAGCAAGTTTCCTTAAGGAGACAATTAGTTGATCTAATTACAGAATCTACTACAAGGACAATTTGGAAATAATCCTCTGTTTGAGCATATGCAAGAAATAGGCGGGGATAGCGACACCCGTCCTATGGCGCCATGCACAGTAGTTCAGTAGGCAGTGAGACTGGAAGGAGAAGGTTGTGGTGAAGTTGACTTGTCCACTAAATCAATTGAAAATGAACCCTGCCATAGAAAATCCCACCAAATGTGAAGTGCATGCAGTAATACAATTCCTGTGTGCAAAAAAAGTTTCAGCTGCGGCGATTCATCACAAACTGTGTAATGTTTATAGATCTAATGTGATGAGTGAAGGTGTCATACCTCAGTGGTGTCGCATGTTTAAAGATGGACAAACTGATGTGCACGATGAGGCAATGCGCTGTTACAGGGCAGCTTCATTCCCAGGTGGGAGATTTTTTTGCCGAAGGAATTTCAAACCTTGTAAGATGTTATGACACATGTCTCAATTTGAATGGCGATTATGTCAAAAATTAATGTAATGTTGTAGTTTTCTAATGTGTATAATAAAAATTCTGTATCTGCAAATGTCTGTCATTGATAACCAAATCGAGGTTTATTTCCGAATTGCCCTCATATTTTGCCAAAGGCCCAGTGCAGACATCCAAGCCACAATGTTTGATTAATGTAAAGAGATATGCCCATACACAGGCTTACAATAATGTCCAGAGGTACCCATTTGGCAAAAAGCAATACATATACAAAGATGCCTTATGCAGAATTACCTTAAGCTCTGATGAAATAAAGGTATGTTAGTTGGTAGATCAAAGTATAACAGAATCTACCACTCACCCAACTATTTTCAAAGTTGTTTGTAGATTCCCACATCTATTTTAACTCAGCTTTCAATTACAGCTAAAAACTAACTATATATTTAGGAACTATATTTTTAGAAAAACTTATTCTTCTTGCAAAACATCTGATGATGAACAATGAGCTGATTCAGAGTTGTGATCCCATTTTTTTGCTTAAGAAACTTTTGCCTATGAACCTCCCAAAAAAGTTTTACCTACAATTTCCAATTGCGATTATCCCATAATGTCAGTTTCTAGTGAAAAGTAGGATCAGATTTAGGGCTCCTTCCCAACATCATCTATATACTGGGTTTATCAAAAGTCAGACCAACCACAATATGTTTTATTACTTTTTATATTCAAAGAAAATATTACTGTGCTTAATGTACATCAAAATACTAAGGAAGTGTTTAGATGAAAATGACAACCAATTAAACATTTAATGTAATTTATATAATAAATTATCTATAGGATCTCACTTTCGGTACACCCTGTATATTTTGCATCTTTTAAAACAGGAAGAAAGTTCCAGCCAAGATATTAAAGAGGGTAGTAATAATATTCTAATTGTGCCTGTAATGTTTTTTATTAATCATTTAAATTTCATGAAGCACAAGAAGTCATAAAGTAAGTACAGTGGCATAAGAAAAAGTCAAGAAAGTTAAAATATAAAGAATGGTTGCTGGAATTGGATATGTCTAGTTTAATGAAGAGAAGAACTAGGGGTGACATGATAGCAGTCTTCCAATATCTCAGGGCTTACCACAAAGAAGAGGGAGTCAAGCTATTCTCCAAAGCACCTGAAGGCAGGACAAGAAGCAACGGATGGAAACTAATCAAGGAGAGAAGCAAGCTAGAACTAAGGAGAAACTTCCTGACAGTGAGAACAATTAACCAGTGGAACAACCTGCCTCCAGAAGAGGTGAATGTTCCAACACTGGAAGTTTTTAAGAAGAGACTGGACAGCCATTTGTCTGAAATGGTATAGGGTTTCCTGCCTGAGCATCTCCAAGGTCTCTTCCAACTCTGTTGTTGTTGTTGTTGTTGTTATAAAATCCCTATCTTTGTGTGAAAATCATAATTGTTCCCATTTCATAAGAACTTTCTCCATAATGTATCAATCTGCTTAAAATAACTTACCATCATAGAAACTTTAACAATATATATCAATCTTGAAGCAACATTAGTTTTAACACTATTTATTTTTTCTCATAAATTCATGTTGATTTTTACCAATTTGTATATATCTGCATTAATTTGAGATGGACATTTAGAATATTGGCTTTTATCAACAAAAAAAATCTCTCTGGAAACAATTATTAAAGGTTTTTTATATGTTGGGGCCCATTTTTTACAAACATCCATATAAAGTACAAATATAAAGTACTTCAGAACACTAAGAATTATTAATAAGACAAGGAATGTCAACACACAACAAGAATTTATATTTGACACTGGTTATCTTAATATCTCAAATTCCTTCAATTGTATAATAAAATAGGCCAGTCAAATTAAGGAGGAATCAGGACATTCTAATCAACAAAGAAAATATTTCAATTAGGGTAGCCAGCTAACAAGGTCAGAATACAACATTTTAATAAAATAAACAAAAATGAAAGTAAAATTATAATTAACTGGCACATGTTTCAAAAATTTAAACTGTACAATATCAAAGTTTTGATCATGAACACAAGAACCATCGCCAAATCCACTTGATTTGATTTTATACTAATCCAGTGTTTTCTGATGCTTGATGTAAGGAAAACAGCCTAGTTTTAAATACCAGAAAAAATAAAGAGATCATTGTTAATTTCAGAAAAGGCAGGCACAGCTACACTTCTCTGTGCATTAATGATTCACTAGTGGAGATGGTTACCAGCATCAAATTCCTGGGTGTGCAGCTAATGAGTAGGCTGGCTTGGTCGCTCAACAGCGAGACACTGGTGAAGCGGGCACAGCGGCGCTTGCATTTTCTGCATCACATGAGAAAAGCACATCTTCCTTCTCCTATCCTTACCACTTTCTACAGGGGAACGATTGAGAGCATCCTGTTATATAGCATCACAGTCTGGTTTGGAAGCATCAGTGCTTCAGACAGGAAGGCGGTGCATAGAGTGGTGAGGATGGCCGAAAAGATCATTGGCAGTTCCCTCCCTCCCATCCAGGATATAGCACAGAAGCGTTGCTTGAGCAGGGTCCGTAAGATTATCTGGCACACTACACATCCTCTTCACAACCTGTTTTCCTTGTTACCTGGGAGGAGGCTTTGTGGTATCCGTAGCAAAACATCTAGATTCAGCCATAGTTTCATTGCATACAGCATTAACCTTGTGAACTCTCAAGCTTCCTCCTTCCGTTATATATTCAGGATGGACAGTATTTAATATTTATTTGTTATGTATATGTAGGAATATGAGTCTATACATATGTTGTACATAATATGTTTAGGTGTGTATCATGTATATACACCTTTGAGAGTGGGCAACTAAATTTCATTTTTGATGTGTGTTGCTATGCCCACAGTAAAAAAATGACAATAAAGGTTATCTTATCTCATCTCATCTCGCCTCGTCTCACCTTATCTTTTTATAATACCTGATTGGCCAAGATCTGGTAAGTAATATAGTAATAAAGTAATGCAGTTTGAAATCTTCAAACCAAGGTACTTGTCATTTGTGCTCTTGCCTTTTTAGATCATTAGAAGATCCAGCTCTATGCAAGAATTGTAAAGATGAAATCTTTCTTCCACAACTTTGTTATATTAATGATACAACACAGAGCAAAACTGCATACATCTTTGAACATAAAGTATTATTATTAATAAAATATCACAGCAATTTCAAATAAATACCTGACACTGTGGCTATCTTTAGCTGCCTTAATTGCCTGAAGATGTGAAGCAATTGCAGAGAGGACTTCTATATCAATCCGATTGAATTCATCAAAACAACACCATGCTCCAGACTGAACAAGCCCAAAGAACAATGTTGCCATTATCTTAAATAAAGATAAAGCATAGCAAGTGAGGAATAAAGTCTCATGAAATTTATCACCAAGCTCAAAAGTAAAACAGCTATATCTGCCTGTGTAAAACAGTTACTTATACATGTACTTATGGAAAAGTTTTATACACAGTAAGTCCTTTTAAAAGCCTGCTTTTTGTCTAGTACTGCTCATTGCATTGTTTCTAAGGCTGCACTCAAGAGTCTGGGTAGCTTTTGGCCTGTTCCATACATCATTGAGCCTTTGGTTCTGCCTCAAATTGACATGACCTCTGCTAGCATCCCTTGTAGCCTTGCCCTGGTTATTTGTTCTACAATTGTCCTTATTTAATGGTGTGTTGCATATTCGGTGGCTTTTGCCATATGCAAACTAGTGTCAGGCACAAATAACTTGGAGCATTCATAGAGTTCAAAGCACAGAAGAGTTTATTAATTTACCTCTATACAAGAATCTAGTTAACTAATGGTCAAAGCCAAATTGTGCTAGATAAAGGTCAAAGGAATTCATGGGGAGCTGGACTTAGGCCTTTTGTGTCAACGCAATGACTCCAAACTGTTGATACATTTATCCCTCTCTTTCAGCTCAGTCTGCTCTTCTCCTTGTATGCTCAGGGTTTCATCTTCTCAACACCACTAAAACATCTCTCATTGCCTTTATGGGTAGATTGCCAGGGTAAAGAAGTATAGCATTATTAAATAGGAATAAGCCAGAGACCAGGAAAGTGTCTAAGGCACATATGAGTAGTCATACTCAAATAATAAATTAAAGAATTTAAACAAGGAGTGGCTATATATCTAGGGAAATTCTCAGTCATCCAGGTCATAGTCATCTATAGTTGTGCTTTGTTTGGAACTTCCTCCTTCCACCTAGATCACAGGTCGGCAACCTGCGGCTCCGCAGCCGCATGCAGCTCTTTGAGCCTTCCCCTGTGGCTCCCAGCCTCCTCTGCCATTTGCAGAGAGAGACAGAGACAGAGAGAGGCAATTGCGCTTCCCTGCTTCTCTCTCTCTCTCTCTCTCTCTCTCTCTCTCTCTCTCTCTCTGTGTGTGTGTGTGTGTGTGTAAAAGAGAGTGCACTCACAGTGTTCTCCGAGGAGCTGAAAAGCTTACTGGGCGGAGCTCCTCCCTTTGCTGCGTCTCTGCAGGAAGCAGGAAGGGCAGGAGAGAGCTAGCTAGCCCAGCTAGGCTGACTCAGGAATTCTGGGAGTTGAAGTCCATGAGTCATAAAAGAGACGAGGTTGCTTATCCCTGAGCTTGTTGGACAACAGCTTGAAGCTTGCCAGGTGAGCAGCAGATAGGAGGGGGGGAGAAAGAGAGAGAGAGAGAGGGAAGGAGAGAGAGAGGGAGAGAGAAGAAAGAGAGAGAGAAAGAAAGAGAGTGGGGGGAAGAGGAGTGGCAGACCAAGGGCAGATAGAGAGGGAGGGAGGGAGAGAGACAGATCCTTTTGACATCTAAAATGAAGATAACACTGCATATATCCTTTTTTTACCTGTGTGTGTATGTAATTTTATTCTCTTAAAGCATTCTCTTGGTGATCATTGTTTTAATAGTATGGATATTCCCAAGAGTGATATTTTTACTTTTATTTTTAATGTGTGTGTGTGTGTGTGTGTATATATATATATATATATACATACACATACACACACACACACACATACACAAACACACACACACCTATAATAAAGGTAAAAAAGGATATATGCAGTGTTGTCTTCATTTTAGATATCAAAAGGGTTTTGCGGCTCCCGGTGTTTTGTTTTTGGTGGGAAACGGGTCCAAGTGGCTCTTTGAGTGTTTTGGGTTGCCTACCCCTGACCTAGATGATAAAGATTAGCTAATATGGTAGGGAACATTTTGAAAATCTGGAGAATGGAAGATAATCATCTCACTAGTTTGCTTTTGGAATAAAAGTATGCTGTATGATGGCTTAAGCCCACCATGTCAACCAAAATGCGACAATATCTACAACATGCTCTCAAAATTCCAAATGTGCTAATTGTCTCAAAGGTTTGCCTATCCATGTTCTATATTGCATCTTAAAATAAAATTCTTTATCATACCTTATCATCCAAATCTCCAGAACAATTGTACGTAAGACAGAATTTTCCCAAAGCCTAAAAGTAAAAACAATACAATATTGAACAGAAGTTCTATTTAACTTAATTGTAATTAAATATCAAATAAGATCATATGTTTTTGGTTTAGATTTATCACTCACATTTCATTATTTTGCCCCTTTTCTAAAGGATATCTGTGTTTTCAAGTTTAAAAATTCAAATTCTGAAAAAAATGAAGGCTCTTAAAAACATAGAATATATATGATATATGGAATGCCTTAGCAAAGAAAAAGAATTTCTGTTAATTCAGAATGCCTGCTAGCTAAACAGTGTCTTTTCACCTTTGGATACATGTGAGTTTTGTAATATATTATAAATTTTTGGTACTTTGGTTCTTAAGCTTATGTAAAAATTAATAAAAATCCTTGACAATGCTAAGCTTACATATAGCTACTTCTCTAAAATAGTTACATTTAAAATGTTTGCATATTTTGAAGGTTCCAAATTCTAAAGGCAGGATTAAAAATAAATATTAGCCTAACTTTTTGCAGATTAAAGAAAGTATATTTAAATAACATGCCACGAGACAAATAACAACAACATGTATGTTTTCTCTAAATAAATTCCTTCACTCTCTTTACTATTGCTGTGAAAGATTCGTTCCATTAAGTGGATCCCAGTCACTTGAGGACTGCTTATTAAAGCAAGAGAAAGAAGCTAGAGCACATGCTAAAAGGAGAGACAGAAGAATGTTTGACTAGGTAGGACTTATAAGGGTTTGTAAGAATTTGAAGGGAAATTGAGTAACAAATGGCAGAACTGTATTGTCCTGAAATATGTATTTACAATTATGTACAAAACATACCAATATACATTTTTCAAAAAGCATATCTTGATATAAAACATAGCACTTACTTTTGACAGATCTTTAACTGTCTCTGTTTTTCCTGTACCAGCTGGGCCAGCAAGACAGCATCCTAGATTTAATTGTAATGCTCCAGTAATGGTTAACCAACACTGATCAGTAAGAGGGGTGATAACCAATCGTGGAGAGCAGCCTAAATATTCATAACCATATTCAAAGGAAGCATAACCTTGAATAACTGTGCACAGGTTGGATTCATGCGATTTGTAACGCAATTGCCTGAATAAAATATGTTTGTGTAACAGTTAATGACTCATACAGATTATCAAATGTTATAGCTATCAGATTATACAGGTATAAAAATTCAGCGTAGTTGAAATTTAACTTTTCAGTATACAAAAATCAATCAAAAAAATCCATTTGGTACAAAGTTATGTTAAAAGGTATTTGGGAACTTGTGTGGACTTTGAAGAAGCAGAATTATTGACACTTGAACTTTAATGGTGGAGAAGATTCCTGAGAATACCATGGTAGCCAAATAAACAAACAAATGGATCATCATATTGATAAATCCAGAGTTTGCACTCGAGGCACAAATTATTAGGCTTATAATTTTCTAAACTTAATGTTTTCTTTGAATATGTATGGGCAGACTTCTTAAATGAACTTTTTGAGGCAGAGTGAATTCTGTATATCTGCTTGGAACCCCTGGGTAAAATGCATAAAGTCAATTTATGAACACACATTAAGAGGAATGGAATAATATTGCATCTGAAATTAAATATCTGCTTTGCATATTACATTTACATTTTGGTTTAGTTAAAGTACTTATTCTTAAACATATCTTAGTTACCCTAACCCTAGCATTTAGGGCAAACTCTTAAACTGTACCTTGTCCATTCAAAATCTTTAATGCCAATCTTTTGATCTATCAGTAAAGATAGTATATCTCTGTTATGGATGGATAAAGAAATCAAAGCTTCTAAAGTGCTTTGCTTATGGTAGGGAAGAATATCTGATGCTATCTCTGTAAGTTGCTCTAGAACGTTGATCAGATCATCCAGGTCTTCTATCATCTCCTTTTTTGAATTAGAACTCAACATAGCTGCTTCACATTCTTGAGAAAACTTTATGTGACTCTAAAAATAAAAATACTACATTAGTAATGATTATAACTTTTTAAATTATTTTCTTGTATTTGTATTTATTTATAAATAATGCAATTCTTAAACAGGAGAGTATTCAAACATTCTTCAGCGTATCTCCATTAGACTAAGCCAAGTCAAATTAAAATGAATTTCCCTTATTCCCTAAACCAGACTTGAGGGAAGGGAAAGAAATCAAAGTCCCAAGAATAGAAGAAAGGAACAGAAAAAATATTCTAAATATGGTGGAACATAGGATAGGAAGAAACAACTTAAATCCTAACAAGGCAGAGGAGCTAATTGTCCCCTAAATATCTGGTTGTTTGTTAACTCCTATACTTACTCAGGGTAGGATTATACTCTTCCTAAAACAGCAAGGTCCACAATCTGGAGTTGTGGCTGGTACATAAATTGCAAGCCTCTTTAAAATGGGAGATCCTAGCAGCAATCATTCATATCTTGGTCACCTGGAGTTCCAACTTGGCAATACACTTTACATGGGCTGCCTAGATTACTCAGAAACTTCAATTGGTACAAATTACAGTGTCTCACAGCTATGTTGGATGTATGTACTTTCTTTAAATCAACAAATGAGAATAATCTTTTTCATATTCATACATTTCTCAAAAGCCTACTAAAGAACAAAAATCTGGTCTGCACACATTTACCAGGATAAAACCACACTGCACTTTGGAAATATCATCCTTCCAAGCACACATAACAAACTTATCTTTAGTAATTTTTGCATTCATTCTTGCTATTTCTCCCTCTGTATAGGAAAGTAATACTAGCATTCTTCCCTTAGGCACAGGGGCAGTTTTCCCTTGTGTGTCATACATACAGTCTTATTTTTTAAAACATTCTCACAAACGTTATAACCCACTTTTCTTCCAATTTTTCTTGAACATTGTTATGGTTTTCTCTGACTCCAAGCTCAGAACCATATTCCATCAAGTTGTCAGCCAAAGAACCACACACAATCAATCATTTAAGCGTGACCAGGCAGAGTAGATGAGGGTGGATTCAGATGCTGAAGGCTAGATACTAGGAAGCTTCTAAACTTTTGCTAAAGTTGTCCAGTTTTAATTTTATTTATTAATTTAAAACATTTATAGAGCCACACATCTTCCAACCAAGTAAATTTATACTCAATATAGTTAAATAGTACTATATTTTGCTTACCACAATCAATATCACCTGTCCTGGGTGGGTAAAAAACCATTCTTTAAATTCCATTTGCTTCCACTCTGTAATTCCAACTTCTATAAACCTTAAAGTATGTTATATAGTCAGAAAAACATGAAATCTTTAAAAAATTATCTTTTATAAGTTATTAAGTCATCTCCAAGTTACTTAAAGAAAAGTTACTAATAGTAGAATTAGATTTTTCAAGAGATAGGTTTATATTGCTCATAATATATAATTCTCTTACAACATTAATATGAATATTTAGCATTCTACATGCTACAATATACTGATGACAAAGAATTGCCACCAATAGCACAAAGTGCAGAGGTCCCTGATCTCATTAATATATTCTGGTTCCATGGTGGAGACCTCGAAAATTATTCAGCTCTTCAATTGGGTTCTTCATCTAAATCAGACATGTCAAACACAAGGCCCGGGGTCCAGATGCGGCCCACAAAGTGATTTCATGTGGCCTGCAAAGCCATCCTGGAAACAGTGAGGTAACGGCCCCCGCTGCCAGCTGGGAGCCAATGTACAATTTTGTGGTGCCCATCTTGGCACTTGTCCCAGTGGACCATGCCTTGGCACTTGCCCCGGTCCCACCCCCTTCTGCCAGAGACCCTCAGATCTATCCCACTCCTGCCCAGGCCCCCACAGGCCCCCTTGACGTGAATGATGTAGAACTTGCTATGCCCATCCAGCCAACCCAGTAGGCTGCACCCACTCTGACCACACCCACCTGGCCCCCCAAGGGCAACCACAATGCTGATGCGGCCCTCAGTGAAATTGAGTTTGACACCCCTGATCTAAATGATCATGATTGCTCCCAATAGCCAATACATATTTTAAAGATGAGTTTACTTTGAACAAACTGCATACCAATTTAAAAAACCTGATGAGTTTTTTGTGATAGAAAAAGTAGATCAGCTATATTAGTAGCTTTTCATATGATTAACATATACTTACTTTCTTACCATATTGCATATGGTACTCTCAACATTTTTAAGCCATTGTTCAACAGAACCTCTAATACGAACACCTCTATGAAACAGAATTTTAAAATTCAGTTTTTAGGAATAAAGTCACATTTTAATATTTCACATTTCTATAAATTAGTAAAATACACCATCTAATGCAGTGGTTCTCAACCTTTCTAATGCCGCGACCCCATAATACAGTTCCCCATGTTGTGGTGACCCCCAATCACTTATACATCACCGGGGGCCAGGAGTGTGGCCAAAGAAAAGGGGAAAAAATGGCCGACAGCCTTGTTTGGTGACCCCCGTGAAATGGTCGTTCGACCCCAAATGGGGTCCCGACCCACAGGTTGAGAACCACTGATCTAATGGCTGATATCAACTATTTGAAAATAAAAATATATTTTGGGGATACAACTTTATTTTGTCCTGAAATGAAACTAATTTTTCAAGAACAAATAACAGTTTACAGACTTGTGTCCCAAGCCTGGAGTACTGTGGAACAGACTCATTTTTTTTAGCTATGTTGAGGTTTTATATGATTAGCTGGCTGCTATGTTTTTATTTGTTGTTTTATTTTAATATTTAGTATTTTTAGTGTTATATCATGTACTTGAAATGGAGGGCTACATAAATTTCATCAGGAGATTATTTTCTCCAGCTTTGTGAGGAACACTATCTGCATGGCTGGAGATTCACCTTCAAAGATGAACTGCTGGGAGGGAGAGGGGCTTGTGTGGGTTGGTTGAGGATTGGTGCTGTCTCCGGTTAACTGTGCAATTGATTTGGATTGCGAGGGGTTCCATCAGAAGACACATTGATCTACAACACTCCTCAGAATCGAAATCAATCACACCTTTCAATGATCCTGACCTGATGTAATCTCCCCATCACAAGCCTCTTTCTGATGACTCATTACATGACCTTCACTTGACACATCCACATCTGAAGCCCTTATAAATAGAACAGCACTGACACAGACATCCCCTAAACACTACTGAAGATGTTACCTAGCGAAATGTTCGGAAACCAACCCACAAGCTCGGAGAACAAAACTTCACCCTCATTCTTGAAGACTGCATAAAGGGATAGACAGTGCACACATGTGTGTGCATGCACTTACCCCCACACTCATGCTAGCACCACTGTGAGCATCCCGCCAGCACTAGCACCAAATCGAGCATCCTGCCGGCATTAGCGCTGCCCTGCCTGAGTGTCCCACTGGTGCTGGTGCCACTTTGCATCAAGCGTTCTGCCAGCACTCGTGCTGCCACAAGCATCCTGCTAGCACTAGCACCATCCTGCTACCAAGCATTCTGCCAGCACTAGTGCCGGCCTGAGTGGCCCGCCAGTGCTAGCATTGCGCTGTCCTGAGTGTCCCTCCAGAACTAGTGCCACACCGAGTATCCCATTGGCACTAATACCGCCCCGCACCAAGCATCCCACTAGCACTAGCGCCACCCCATTTGTGGCACTGCTCATGTGTGGCCCCATTTGTGCATGTAACAGTGTTTGCCTCCCTTTCCGGGCTGCCAAACCAAAAAGTTTGGGGACCTCTGCTGTATAGTATACTCTTCTTTCATGTTATTGTAACACTGACATTTTATTAATTCTTTTTCTTGGAATCAAAAACATATTGTAAAATTGAAAAATATGCTTGCACGCCTGTGGAAATTTTTCCTAATTGCATTTTACTTATATTTGATAAAGTAATAGCATACTGTACTTTGGTACTAGAAGAATCTCTCCTTCAGCAGATCTAATCATTAAAACCACTGGTGGTGTTTGATGTTGCGGCCGTATATATATCTTCCTCACATTTGAAAAACATTTCATAAGATGAGGCTGTATAACAGATATGAGGCAAATATTATTTTTTTGATGGATAAATTAGAAAGTAATGATAAAAATTATTTATTCACAAGCTAAAATATTACAAAGACAATAAAATCTAATAGAATTTAGCATAAGATATTAAAAAGGCATGATTACATTAAAATGGTTAAACTGACAAAAGCTTTATTTACAAATACAACTTTATAGATTTGATATTGAAAGTTACCTGTACAACATCAGGACTTTTACTTTCAGCTACTATTTCAAGGAGTTCTGCGTTGCTGAGAAAATAAAATCTTGGGAAAATCATACGTTTAACTTCAAGATACTCCTGACAGAAAATTAGAAAGTAGACTTTATTAAAAATAATAAAGTGAAATAAAATTATAAGTTCTATAATGAACTTGTTTTTCACTGGCTTCAGTTTTATCAGAACCACTTAAGTGCAATTTTGGGTTCAAAAAAGACTGTGCAGCTACATAATTTTTATAAATAAGGTTGGGGGACAAGATGTCATATGCTCAGTAGTGTGCTGGCAAATATTTAATAACTAGCTATCCAGGTGGTTGTTGCTGACAGTCACACCATACCACTAGTCATCAAACAGCTAGTTAGCGTGTCAGCCATTATAGTTCAATTAACTATATAACTATACTCTCAAATAGCTCCCAAAATAATAGGTATGAATTTTAACAATCGGCTCTCATGAGCTATTATGAGCCAGCTCCAGCACACCACTGCTCATACTGAAGATACATGTTTTTTACATACAGCACCAATATAAAACATGTATCTGCAATACATGACATCTTCACCCACTAACAATTCTTTGGTTAACACCATAAACAAGAACTTTTCATATAAACTGTTATTCGTCTACTAGTTCTTAACTTTCTCATAGCAATATAAAAAACTGAACAGGGTCATTATTTATTTTGGAAACATTGAAGTACTTTAGAAATCTAAAATTTGTGAAATCCAGAATACCCTGACCCATATAATTTTTATGAATGTGTGAATTAAAGCCTAATATTTTTCTAAATTTCACAGATGTCTGAATTTTATAATGCTATTCTTCTTTCTAAAAAGTACTCAGATGCAACTTGGAATTAATGATTTCAAGATAAAATATAATCAGAAGCTAATTTAAATTAAACTAATTCTTCTGGAAGACATTTAATATTTAATACGTTACTAATTATATCAGTGGCATTATTTACAGTATTGTGCTCATCTGCATTTTTTTTTTGTATTTTATTCTGAAAGCAATTGCCAACACTAAAGAGATAGGCAAACTGACAGGTTTTTCTCGGTATATAATAAACTTGTCTATGGACATGACCTAAGGAAAAGAGGCCAGTCTTAAAAGTTGCATCCCAATTCCTATCCATTTCTCTTTGCAAGAGGAATAAAGCTATAGTTCCTACAACAACAGAATGCTATGTATCAGGTACAGAAGCTAGTCTATGCTTCCTGCCTTTTCCTGCTTACAAAATGTTATTCATTGTAGTTCATGCTGATTCCTTGCCAGATATTAGAGATACTTTGACTTACCTCAAGAGCCTTCTGTATTTTTTCTAGTGATGCATTGTTGCTCTGCAGTATTTCAAAAATTCCACTTGTTGTAGTTGCCTTAAGAACATTTGGAGTCTCTGCTGCAAATTTCATGATTTCTTTCCATTTGTTATCAATTACAGAGAAGAGACTGGCTTCTCCTGGAAGTTGTCTGTTATTAAATCATATAAATATGTATATTCACATACACACTTAGTAAAAAACATCTAATCCCCCAAATTTAGATTTAGAAAAAAATGTGTTAATACATTAAGCTATATAGACAAAGAAGCAAACATTTTATGCTACTTTTCCCCAGCCAAAGATAACTTAGAAAGAAAAAAATAGCAATAGTAATAATGTGCATGCAATATCACATCTGAAAAAAAGAATACTAAATTATTTATATAATAATAATAATAATAATAATTGGACTTGATCTGTAATAACAGATTATTATTTCTTTGTTTTCCATCACTGTGTATCTGTGATGGGTAGACACCTTTTCTTCCAGTAGTTCTGCAGCTGCTGGCCCTGGTTGCTCAACCAACAGTCCTGAGTCCTGTAACCCATTTTTCACCAGATATCCAGGAACTCCAATATCTAGCGCAGACCTTGTTAACCCGCGCGACATCTGAGCCGGTATGGCATTCTGAAATTTACATCTCACCATATTTTTTATGGGAGAGACACTCTTTGTCTGACTCCTCTGATGAGACCTGTCCAGTATGGTTGAACCTCTGGCATAGCTCTCATCTTCCTCAGAGTACACAAGCCCCACAACCACGTCAAGGTAGTGAGGGATCTTGGAGGTCATCAATTCCAACCCCCTGCTAAGGCAGATAACCCTATACCATTTCGGACAAATGGCTGTCCAGTTTCTTCTTAAAAACTTCCACTGTTGGAGCATTCACGGCATTCCACTGGCTAATTGTTCTAACTGTCAGGAAGTTTCTCCTTAGTTCTAGATTGCTTCTCTCTTTGGTTAGTTTCCATCCATTGCTTCTTATCCTGCCTTCAGGTGCTTTGGAAAATAGCTTGACTCCCTCTTCTTTGTGGCAGCCCCTGAGATATTGGAAAACTGCTATCATGTCCCTGCTTGTCCTTCTCTTCATTAAACTAGACATATCCAATTCCAGCAACCGTTCCTTATATGATTTAGCCTCCAGTCCCCTAATCATCTTTGTTGCTCTTCTCTGTACTCTTTCGAGAGTCTCAACATCTTTTTTACATCGTGGTGACCAAAACTGGATGCAGTATTCCAAGTGTGGCCTTACCAAGGCATTAAAGAGTGGTATTAATACTTCACGTGATCTTGATTCTATCCCTCTGTTAATGCAGCCTAGCACTGTGTTGGCCTTTTTGGCAGCTGCAGCACACTGCTAGCTCATATTTAGGTGATTGTCTACTAGGACTCCGAGGTCCCTCTCACAGTTACTACTATTGAGCAAGATGCCACCTATGCTGTACTTGTGCATTTGGTTTTTCTTGCCTAAATGTAGAACCTTGCTTTTTTCACCATTGAATTTCATTTTGTTAGATAGCACCCAGTGTTCAAGTCTGTCCAGATCCTTCTGTATCTTAAGCCTGTGTTCTGGAGTGTTGGCTATTCCTGCCAGCTTGGTGTCGGCTGCAAATTTGATGACACCAAGCTGGCAGGAATACCCAACACTCCAGAAGACAGGCTTAGGATACAGGAGGATCTGGACAGACTTGAACACTGGGCGTTATCTAACAAAATGAAAATCAATGGTGAAAAAAGTAAGGTAATCAAACAACAAAAGATAAAGATAAAAGTAATCAAACAATATCTAACATGGGTAATTACCCTACAGCAGAATTTTCAAACTTTTTACGCCATAGAACCTGTCATTTAAAAATGACAGAGCACAAAAATGACAGGTTTTCCTGGAATTCCTGATCTAGAAGTAAAGCTAAGTAATGAACAAGTGTCTGTGCTTTGTGCATAACACTTTTCCATATATGCAGAAACATGTGCACATGCATACTCCTCCTGCAAGAAGTGGCAGCAGCACAATGCTCAAGCATAGATCCTAAGCACCAGGACCCTATGAGATGTTCCTTAGAAAAAGCTGCTCCTGGAAAAAAGGATAAGGATCCTTTGATCCTTTCTGATTTGCCTTGGATGGTGCTCAAAAATAGATTTGTATTGTTGCAAGAACTTACTATTGTATGCTCAGTACCTGGATTCTACGCATGGTCTGGTCCAGCACAAATAGTTTAGCAAAAGTAGGAATAAGTGTGATCCCACTTCCACAAAAATCTTCATGAGTCATCATTTGGGATCCCTTGTATTATTTTTATATTTAAATTATTTTAATGTTTAAAGTAACTCCCTAATTTCTCCAGAAAACATTGGTCAAATTAAGAAATATACCATATATGCCGGCGTATAAGGCGACTTCCGGAAGTGCTAAAATCGGCGCCAAAGACGGGGGTCGTCTTATACGCCGAGTTGTCTTATACGCCGGAAATACTGGTAGTTTCCGGCATATAAGAGGACGTTCTAGGAAGGCGACTCGGTGACAAAGACGGGGGTCGTTTTATACGCCGGGTCACCTTGTACGCCGGCATATACGGTAATAAATGAATGCTACTAGAGGTAGTTTATGTATAACAACACTGTTCATTTATGTACTATTTAAATGCTTTTTTAAAATTCAGAATCATTATTACAGAAATATATACTGGTATATATTAACAGTATGCAAACTATTTTGAACTCAAAGCAGTTGTTTCAAGGTCAAAATGGGATATTCCAACATCACCTGAAGATTACTGAATTTTACACTATTTCAGTAAGGACAAAATAGCCTATTTCAAACAGAACTGCTTTGAATTCAAAATTATTTGCACATTGTTAATATAGTAAATATCTTTTCATCTGTCAACTTATTTTCATGAAATTATTTTACATAACTACTAATGACATGTATTGTTATATTATTTAATAAATTATATTATTATTCCTTTTATTTTAATCTTTGTATATCACGAAGAATACCTTGGGGAAATGAGCAGCTACAAGGGCAATTTGGAAATAAATCTCCGTTTGGTTATCAACAGCAGACACTCGCAGATACAGAACTTTTATTATACATATTAGAAAACTACAACATTATATTACTTTTCAACATAATCACCATTCAAATTCAGGCACTTGTCATAACATCTTACAAGGTTTGAAATTCCTTAGTAGTAGTGCTCGGCGCCAAATCTGGGCTATGGGGGGGGGTGATCAAAACATCCCAACGGAACTGCTTCAAAAGTTCTTGGGCACGTCTAGTGGTGTGCAGGCAAGCATTATAGTGAATTAATACCACAACAGAAGTGGTCACATAGAAAATCCTGCCAAATGTGAAGATGCCAAAGGAGTACTGCTAGTGAAGTTCATGAACTGTGATTCGACCATCACTTCAGAAGTCTACTGTGAAACATTATGAAAACTCAGATAAGCCATCCATAATAAGCATTGGGGCATGCTGACTTCTGGTGTGGTGTTGGTTCATGATAATGCTCACCCACATACCTCTAGATGCACCCAAGAACTTTTGAAGCAGTTCTGTTGGGATGTTTTTGATCACCCCCCCCCCTTATAGCCCACATTTGGCAATGAGTGACTACTACTACTAAGGAATTTCAAACCTTGTAAGACATTATGACATGCTGCAATTTGAATGGTGATTATATCAAAAGGTAATGTAATGTTGTAGTTTTTTAATGTGTATAATAAAAAGTGCCTGTCATTGATAAGCAAACAGAGGTTTATTTCCAAATTGCCCTCGTAAATAAATTATATTAAATAAATGAGGAAACATTAGTAATTAATTTATTGCATTCCAAACCATTGCCCACAGCACAACTATCTGTAGCAGTGGTTTCCAAGCTTTTTCATCTAACAGCACACTGAGAAAATGCTAACTTGAGCAGTCACACATCTCATAGGGACTTCCGGAACTCCCATGATGTCCCATGGGGAAATCACATAATGTCATAGGACAGGTTATTGGATTCAGAAGAAGAAATGGAGGCAGTCCATCCCTGATGATATCATTGAAGAAAAATTCTGGCTCTGTGGCTGTGCAGCATTTCCTGTCATTTATTTGTGGCTCATTGATGCAACACAGATGTGGACTTTTCGTAGCACAGAAATTAAAACTGCTGATCTACAGCTAATGTTTAATATTTTAATATTTATTTGATTTGTATTTTATTTTGGCTATAATATTAACATTTAATTACCAAAGCACTTAAGCATACCTTTTTATTTCTGAAGCCTGAAAGATTGGCTCAAGATAAATCCAGTGTCTCTGACAAGTTAACCATTCCTCCAGAGTACAGGAAATGAGGTTTAACTTATGATCCCAAGCACGAACAAGATTCTACCATAAAAAAATGCAAAATAATTATCATCTGAGGCAGGCAAAGAATCTCCTCTTTTTTATATTTTAAATATGATAATTTAAACCACTATTGTAGGTAAAGCAGGAAATTTTAAAACTATACCTATTTTAAAAAATAAGTTATTTTTTAAAGTGTTGGTTATTACCTTTAAAGCTCTATATGGCTTAGGGCCAGGCTATTTGCGAGACCGCCTACTACCTCATAGTTCCCTTCGTCCGGTTAGATCCCACAGGCTGGGCCTCCTTCAGGTCCCGTCGGCCAAGCAGTGCCATTTGGCGGGGCCGCGGGGGAGGGCTTTCTCTGTGATGGCGCCCACATCTTGGAACCAGCTCCCCTGGGAGATTAGGACCGCTCTCACCCTGTTGGTTTTCCGCAAGCTGCTTAAGACCTGGCTTTTCCGGCAGGCCTGGGGTTTATAAAATCTGACCCCTGGATGAATATTATTGTATTGTTTGTTTTGTTAAGTTATGTTGTGTTTTTATTGTTAGCCGCCTGGAGTCCTGCGGGAGTGGGGCGGTCTATAAATTTTAATAAATAAATAAATAAATATTTCTGATTTTTCTCAGACATTTCAAATGGGAACCAACTACATGTAATAATTGAGCATCTCCATATTCAGACTATTTCACAACATCCCCAAGGAATGATTACCTTAATTGGTTCAACAAAACAAGAACTTTTAATGGTTGAAATTGTCATCAGAGACTCTTCTAACAGAGTAGTTACATCTTCCACAGACGAAATAATACAAATACTAGATGTTTCAGTGTAATAGGGACATAAGTGGAAATCAGTTTTCTGCCAAAGGCTAATGATTTTTTTCAACATTACTTCAAGAGTTGTTTCTTTGGAAGCTCTTATGGATATTTCATTAATATCTTTTCTATACTGAAACATCTAAAGAAAGAAATAGGAGATATACTAAAGTATGCTGATAAACAAAACAAATTATATAAATAATTAAGTTGCATATTCAGCAAATGTGATTTTTCATAAAAATGTGAAAATGCAGAACCATCCATTAATACACATTAATCATGTCTTGTAGAAAATAAGCACATGATCACTGCTTACTTTGTCACTGGTGTGCTCTTTAGAGGAACTGTACACTGTCAAGAGTCACTTGACAGTTAAACGGGAAGCATATAAATTTAACAAATAAATAAATATCTGCAATTCAGAGCAGTCATCCCTTTTCCTAGGGTTATGCAACTAATCTTCCAGATCTGCCATCTGATCACAGAAAAATATGTATTTGTTTTCGGGAGTAGTAGATGTATGCTATATTTACCTTCCTGTGCAATCTAAAGCACGTTTTGCTTTCAGATCCAATGCATTGTGCATCCCAACTATGCAAATATTTTCTACAGCAATGCAAAATATCAAGGGCCAGATATTTTGATAGTAGCGTATTATAAATTTTATTAAAAACAATTGTATCACAGCATGGAAAAAAGCACTGGAGGAAGCTTGCCAGCTTACATTCTTCTCCAGTAGCAGAAATATACACACACACACACACACACACACACACACACACATACACACACATATATACATACATATATATATATATACATAACAGTTTTTAAAAAGATGTCATAATCTTAAATTCTTTTTTGGGGTGGGTGAACAATAATCTGAGAAAATGGAAAAGGGAATCTGGAAATCTCTCAAGACCTATTTGAGATTACACATAGTATCCAAAAATGTATAAAAGTCTAATATAAGAAAGACAGATTCCCCATGTGTAAGGTCAGAATACATCACTTCCTTAAAAAATGGAAAGAATTCACTCAAAACTCAAATTGATAAAAATTAATAAAACATGGAGAAAGTACTGTACATTAAATAGAAAATCTAAGAAAATGTTCACTTCAAACTACAAAAAATAAGACATGAGCCAAATAACAAAAATAAGCACGTGTTTTTAGAAGTGGTATTTCTAAATTATAAATCATAAAATTACACTGAGTTCCAGGATCTTCTCCAGAGTAAGTCTTTTATCCCAAGAAATTGACTCTCCAACAATATTCTGTATTATTTCCCAATGCCTTCGTTGAAGACTAGGATTCCTTAAAGATATGATTATAGGCAATGATTCCTTAAAATCCAATAATGATGTCTTCATAATGGGTAAAATAGTATTTTCTGGCAACCCTTCAAATATGAAAAAGTTACATCAGAACACTTTTCATAAAATGTTTGAAATCTGAGCTTTTGTTGATCTTTCTTTACATAAGATTGTTTTGAATTTTTGACAGACCTCTCCTTGAAATTATAGACTCACAGAATGTCAGATTTGGAAGAATCTTTGGAGATTAACTACTCTGTTTATGTCCTTGCTCAGTACAGGAATACACTAGCGCAACACGACCAACCATCTTATGAGGTGGCCCTAATGTGCAATCAAATCTACTTGTAATTTAAACCCATTATTTCTTGGCCAATTTTCTAGAACAATTCTTGTCAATTCTGCCAATTTCTACAAGGCATCCCTTAGATCAGTGGTTCTCAACCTGTGGGTCGGGACCCCATTTGGAGTCGAACGACCATTTCACGGGGGTCACCAAACAAGGCTGTCTGCCATTTTTTCCCCTTTTCTTTGGCCACACCCCTGGCACCTGGTGATTTATAAGTGGTTGGGGGTCACCACAACATGGGGAACTGTATTATGGGGTCGCGGCATTAGAAAGGTTGAGAACCACTGCCTTAGATACTTGAAGAAAGGTATAGTGTCTCTTTACAGCCTCATTTTCTCCCAGCTAAAAATATCTAACAATTGAAGCCACTGATACTCTTTATTATTATTATTATTATTATTTATTATAAATTTTTAGAATTTTACAATAAAAACCCCTTCCCCAATCCCTCCCAACCCACCCCAAAACCCTCCCCCATTCTTCCCAGAGCTGAATACAGGGTTAACTAGAACTTAAAAGAAAAAAACTTTTAAACCCAGAAAAACCTTAAACAAATATAATTACATTTAATAAACTAATTATTAAATACTTTAACTCCATTATATATAAAAAACAGAAAGAGAAAAAAAAGAAAATAAAAATAAAATAAATAATAATAATAATAAAAAACACAAAAAATCTTAAACTTTAAATATAAATTATTCAAAAGCTAAATGATATTTTCTTATATCATACTTATATTGTATAAAATTTATCCATCTTTTCCACACCAAGAGGTACTTCTCTTGAGATTGATCTTTCAAGAAAGCCGAAATCTTTGCCATTTCAGCTAAGTAAGAAACTTTAAAAAACCATTCTTGCAAAGTAGGCAAAGATTCCTTCTTCCAATATTGCCCTATTAACAACCTTGCCGCTGTAATTAAATTTAACATTAAAATAATCTCCTTGTCATCACAATCAGAAACAATACCCAACAAAAACAGTTGCGGGGTAAATTTTATCCTTTTAAAAATTCTTTGAATATTCCACCATATCTTAATCCAAAAGGCTTTTATACTTTTACATGACCACCAGATATGATAATACGTTGCGTCCAAGCAACCACATCTCCAACATTTAGGCTGCAAATTTGAATACATACGAGACATTTTTTGTGGATCAAGGTGCCATCTATAAAACATTTTATAGAAATTTTCCTGTAAATTTTGTGCTTGTGTAAATTTAACATTCCTTACCCAAATAATCTCCCATGTATCTAATAAAATCGGTTCATCAACATTTTGAGCCCATTTAACCATACAATCTTTAACTAATTCTACTTACGAGTCCAATTCCACTAATACACCATAAATTCTTTTTATATGGGTTCGGCTTTGATCTCTAATTTGTTTTAACAAATTGTCATCCTCTCTAAGCAAACCCACTTTATAATCTATCTTCCACCTTTCCAATAATTGCCTGTACTGAAACCATGAATAATTAATATTTTCTTGTGCTAATTCATCTATAGATTTTAATTGCCAATTTTTACCATCCCATTTAAGTAATTGTATATAAGAAATCTTATCCATCTTAACTCCTTTCCTTATTCCTTCTATTGCATGCCATGGAATAGCCCATAATGGAATTCTTGAATCAATTCTATAATATTTCTTCCAAACCCGAAGTAAAGAAGTTCTTAAAATATGATACTTAAAAACCCTATCAACTTTTTTATTATAAATTAAATAGGCATGCCATCCATATAATAAATCCCACCCCTCCAAAATGAGTATATCTACATTTGTTAAATTAACCCAATCACTAATTAATGTTAAAACCACAGCATCATAATACAATTTCAAATTCGGTACCTTGAGTCCACCTCTCTCTCGTATATCTTGTATAATTTTAAGTTTCACTCTTGGTTTTTTCCCTGCCCAAACAAATTTATTGATACCTTTCTACCATTCATCTAGGTTTGCTTCTTTCTTTAAAATAGGTATCATTTGAAATAGAAAAAGAAACTTTGGCAAGACATTCATTTTAATCGCTGCTATTCTCCCCAATAGAGACAATTGCAACTTTTTCCAATTCTCTAAATCCTTTTGTATTTTAACCCACAGCCTTTCATAATTATTTTTGTACAGTTTTGCATTGGAAGCAGATAAGATAACCCCCAGATATTTTACCTTATTTACAACCTCGAAACTTGTCAGTCTAACTAAAATCTCCTTATCCGAGTTGGTCATGTTTTTTGACAATATTTTAGTCTTATTGTTATTAATCTTAAAACTTGAAACTTGTCCAAACTGATTTATCAATTGTAATAACTCCAATACAGAATAAGTTGGTTGAGACAAAGTAACAACCAAATCATCTGCAAAGGCCCTTAATTTATAATCATTTTTATTAATTTCTATTTCTTTTATATTAGGTGAATCATGAATTTTAATCAACAAAATTTCCAAGGTTAAAACAAACAGCAAAGGCGACAATGGACAACCCTGTCTAGTGCCCTTTTCAATTGGAAATACCTCTGATAAACCTCCATTAACTATAAGTTGCGCCGTTTGTTTTTGATAAATGGCTCGAAGAGCCTGTAAAATTTTATCTCCAAAATTCATTTCCTCAACCAATCTTAACATGAATTGCCAATTTAACTGATCAAAAGCTTTTTCAGCATCTAAAAATATCAATCCTGCAGAGATCTGGTTGTTCTTATCCAAATATTCTATTAAATTAATAATTTGTCTAACATTATTTTTCATATATCTTCCAGTTATAAAACCAGTTTGATCCATATGTATCAATTGATTCAACACAGTCATAAGTCTATTAGCTAAGATTTTCAAGAAAATCTTATAATCTACATTCAGAAGAGATATAGGTCTATAATTTTTTGGTAAAGTAAGATCTTGATCCTCTTTTGGAATCAAGGATATAAAAGCTCTACCCCAAGACAAGGGGGTCTCTAATCCCTGTAATATATTGTTAAAAAGTTCCCTTAAAGGTTCTATCATCTCATCTATCAGAGTCTTATAATAAATTGATGTCAATCCATCAGTACCCGGTGCTTTACCTGCTTTTAATTGTTTAATTACTGTAACAATTTCCTCTATAGTAACCAATCCATTGATTTCTTGTTTTTGATCTTCTGTTAATTTAGGAAAGTGAGCATCTTGTAGATATTTGTCTATATCTGAAGCCTGTACTTTCCTACCCATATATAATTTTGTATAATAATCTAAAAAAGATTTCTTAATCAATTCCTTCTGATATACCAATTTACCATTATGATTTATTTTATCTATAATTCTCAACTTCTGTTTCTTTCCCAATTGATAAGCCAGCCATCTCCCTGGCTTATTAGCGTTACAAAATGTATTATGTTGAGCCGAGGTGGCGCAGCAGTTAGAGTGCAGTACTGCAGGCCACTTTAGCTGACTGTGTTCAGCAGGTCAGCGGTTCAAATCTCACCGGCTCAAGGTTGACTCAGCCTTCCATCCTTCCGGGGTAGGTAAAATGAGGACCCAGATTGTTGGGGGCAATGTAAATATATATATACATTGCTTACTGGTGTACACCGCTTAGAGAGTGCTTGCACTTAAAGCGGTATATAAGTCTCACAAATAAATAAATAAATAAATGTTTCATATAAAGTAAATTGGTTGCAGTCTGATCCGCCATTAACATATTAAATTGCGATTTAAGCAATTTTATAGATTTAAGGTTAATTTTATTAACCTTCTCATCTGTAGGATTCGAAATTAAAACTTTTTCTTTTAATTTAATCTCATCTTCCAACTCCTTACGTTTTCGCACCTGTTTCTGTCTATAAGCCTTATTCATTTGTATCAAAACCCCACGCATATAAGCTTTACTTGCATCCCATACCATTGACATTGAAGTTCCCTTATGCATATTTAAAACAAAATATTCCTTTAAATACTCTTTAAGTTTCTGAACATTCATTTCTTGTCTAAATAAGTTTTCATTCAACCTCCAAGATCTCCTCTCCTCTTTTTCAGTAACCAGTTCCATCCACACTGGACTATGATCTGTCAATGTCACTGATACTCTTGATATTGCTGTCTAGGTGACAATCTGTTCCCTCTCCCCACCCACAACCCACAAAACATTCACTATGCATTTGACTGATTCAAATCTGTTTTGTCTTCCTATTGTTTTAAATAAAAACATATTAATATATTACTATTGATTACAGAAATTTCCCTTTATAATAGGTTCCCTCAAAGAACAGTCCTAGTATTTTTTATACTCTTTCCTTGAATGTTTTGATTCAGAGTTTTTGGTATCATTGTTATTCCAGATCTATAAATTATTTGTAGTCCTTGATGATATTGTGTGTTCAATCATAAAGGAATGTTTAATTAGTATATTGTCTGGGGTGTCCTCCCATCACTTAAAGTTAAATATGAATAAGATTGAGATAATTATTTTGGCTTGTTCATTCTTCCTATCCTTGTAGTATGTCCCTAATTATCTTCCAGGCCTTACCCCTATTTCCTTTGTTTCAGTCTCAGATTTTGGTAGATGATCAGTTGACTCTGTGGCCAATTACTGATATTATAGCAATGGTCCCTAATTTTCATTTGATGAAATTTTATAGGGTCTTTGGAATTATGACAGACGATACAGCAGCTTCATTGTTATATGCCTTTGTTGTTTCATACCTGGATTACTGGAATAGTCTTCTGGCAGATATTCCCCATTTCTATCTTGATCCCTTGATCCTAAAACAGTATTGTTTCAGGCTGTTCTGAGCCTTCCATACTATTCTCATTCTTTTTTTTTTTTATAGTGCATGGCTACTCACTGGTTCCCTCTTCAAACCAGAGCCAACTGGTTCTTGTATTTAGAGTACTCTGATTACAAACACCTCAATATCTGCCTGCCTTTATTTTGCCCTACAATACTATTCATTCCTTGCTATAATTTTTCTGGACAGTGCTTCCATTTATGGCTTCCAGGTTCTAGGTTCAGGGGATCTAGCCTTCTGACTCCAGGAGTGATGACAAGCTAAACCAGGGCTTTTCAACCTTTTCACCCATTGTACCACTTTTAGGATATGGTAATATCCGAGTATCACCAGTCACCTAGCAAAGTGTCAAAAACTTGATGACAAAAAAAGGAAAAAAGTGATAAAGTACAGGTAGTACTCGACTTACAACAGTTTTCTTAGTGATTGTTCGAAGTTACAATGGCACTGAAAAAAGTGCTCCCCAAGGCAAAGCTGAGCAAGACACCTGCCTGACCACCCGGTGGCGCTCTTCCTCCTGTCCAAGGTTTTCATTGTGAGCATTTCTGTTCAAGGATTGGCAGTGGGGTGGGGTGGGGGGTGTTTGGTTTTTATTCCCCCCGTCTGCTGGGTGGTTGCAGCAGGTTTTGGTCACTTCACATGACCCTGGGACACTGTGACCATCATAAATATGAATCAGTTGCCAAGCATCTTAATGTAAATCACAAGAGCCTGGAGATGCTGCAACATTCCAGCTGATCGGCACTTCTTCTGCGCTCAGCAGAAGTGCCATGATCAGCGCTGAGCTCCAGCTGAAGCCTGGCGCTGATCCTGGTGCTTCCACTCAGCCCTGACAGTCCCGAAGAAGCGCTGATCCTGGTGCTTCCGCTGAGCCCTGACAGCTCTGCAGCTCCAATCATCTCTTGCTCGGGCTTGTGCAGTACTGCCACCAGTTCAGCTCATTCCCCTCCCCCGCTACCACTTGTCTAGGATGGTCACGTACCACCTGCCAGGTGCCAATGTACCACAGGTGGTACTCGTACCAAAGGTTGAAAAGCCCTGAGCTAAACAACTTATCTGAGTTGTAATATATAAACAAATTATATATTTGATTCTGCATGTGACAACAGCAGCAAGACCTATATTTGCACAATATTGGAAAAATGAAGAAACACTATCAGAGGAAGAAATAATTAGACTGTGCAGAAATGGACAGACTTACTTTGAGATTGAAAGAAAAAGAAGAAACAGAATATTTTCAAACTTGGGACTTATTTTAACAATGGTTGGAGAAACGAACTAGGGATTAGGAATTTAATTTGTATTAGTGAATGATGAACTCAGACAGCACCTTTGTTGAATAAAGACTGTTGAACTGTATTAAAAAAATCAATAAAAACTTAATTTTTTTTTAAATTATCTCAAATTAAAAACAGAAAAGATATACTTCCTTTAATAATGTTTCACCATTTGGCTAAAACAATATTGGTTATTACTTAATTTCAAAATAATTTTCATAAAATATTTTGTTTCAATTAATTCATAATTATTGCAATTATCAAACATTTTACCTTTTTCAAGAATATGAATTCTCTGCATGAATCTGTTAACCTCACTTTGAATTATATCTACATCAAGATTCCAAAAGATTGTGTGTTTCCATTTAAAGATAAGTTTTGCCCAATCTTCATGCGAGTCCCATAACAATTTACGTAACTGTAGTTCACTTTCAATTTCTGAGAGTTCAGCATTCACTCTCTGAGAATCTCCAGCCTGACTTCTGTGAGACAGCTTTTCTACAGACAATGATTTCATGTCACCAATGGCACCATCAAGCACATGCTGGTAATTTGCATAATTTAAAATTTTCTCACTGATAATTCCTGCTTCTTCAATAAGATTTTCAATCATCTCTTTAGCTGTCTTAGGCAAGGTTTCACTAAGGAGAAGGACAGGATTTCTCACCTAAACAACAAAGTGAATAACAATTAATGACAAAGAAATAATTATAGTTGAGCAAAATTAAGGAAAATATTTTTTAAAATTCCAAATTGGTCCATTATATTAGTCCATTAGCTGCCTATATCCTCCTTCAGTACAACATACATTCTTTCTTTCTCTTTTCAGAGAAAAATGGCCATATTGTTTTGCATAATTGGGTATGCAAGATTTCATAAAGCCCATAGTTTGGCGATTGCTGTTTTCATTTTATAATAGTGATACTACATAAAAAAGGGCAAGGGGTGCTGCTCTTGCTACAATTGTAAACAGTAAAATAAAGACAAAGGATTTTCCCAATAGTGGAATGCATTCAATTCCCCAATTAGCAAAAGTAGCTAGACAGTAGAGGGAAGATTAAATTCTCCTACTCTTCTGCCTTTCACACACAATGGCTACTACATATGTTATAGGGCTAAAGGAAGAAAAGGAAATATGGGAATAACTTGGAGGAATAATGGGAGAACAACTGACGTAGACGGGAGAGAAGAAGCAAGAACTTTTTTCATTATTGTTAAAAAGTATGAAAGCAGGAACTTTTTTCCTTATTGTTAAAAATATGAATCAGAGTCAGTTTTTGCTTATTGTAGTTGAAGTGGTTCTTAATGAGTGTTATTTCTAAGCCAAGATCAGGTTAACATCAGTATTTACATTCTGTGTAAATCTGAAATGGAAATAATTTCTAAATGACATTAAAAAAAGTAGAAAAAATCTGAGGTCATACAAAATCTGGTAAGAGTGGTTTGGAAGTATTGCAACCATCCTGGTTCTCCTTGGCTTCTCAGAAGCCTTCAATACCATTGAACTTGGTATCATTTGGGGACAACTATAAACTTAGGACTGAGTGCACAGTTCTGCACTAGATTAGCTTCTTTTTCCAAGGCTGTTGGTATTGATAGGGAGTGAGAGATTTATTTTCTAGCCATTCTCTTACAGCATACCACAGGGCTAGGTACTCTTTCCACTCCTATTTAACATCTGCATGAAGGCACTGGGTAAGATCATCTGTCACCATGGGTCAAAATATCATCAATATGCTGAATGTTTATGGAGATTCTCAGTCATCCAGGACATGGTTGTCCCAAAGATACTTTTCAAAAGGCAACTAGACTTCATTTTTTCCCCCTTCACTTCTCATACAAGAAGCTTCTTGAATTCTGACTAACTGGTGAGGAATAGAAGATAAAATCCTTCTATGCTGTCACAACCCTCTCAGGTGTCTAGAGGCTGTAGGGGTCTGGATGGAGGGCAATGGGTTATGACTAAACCCTGGCAAGACTGAGTGACTTTGGGTGCAAGGAGCTTCAAGATGCATGTCTTTGACATTTTTATCATGTCCAGAACCGGTTAGCAACTTAGGGGTTCTCTTGGACTCATGACCTCTGCTCAGGAAAACCTAGGAAAGCCTTTGCACAGCTTTGGTTAGTGCATCAGCTGCAGCTGTTCCTGGATCAGGATTCCCCATATTCAATTACTCAAGCCTTCATCTGGACTACTGCAATGTACTTTACACGGGGCTATCCTTGACATGTATTCAGAACTTGCTTTCAGATATTCAAAATACAATATTTTCATCAAATAAATCTGTTATTCCAAAAAGTATTCTTAATCTATTTAAAATATCTTTTCTAAAAATCACCTATATATATATATATTCTTGCTTCTAACTCTAAATCATAATCCTTAAAACAAACCATAAATCAAAAATTGCTTTTAAATCCATCACACAATTTTAAATTTCTCTTTTCAGTCTAATTCTGGCTTTTTTCCTGTGCCAAGCAGGTTTCCATAGGGGCGCTTCCCTTTCAGCCAGCAGATCTGTCTTTGTTGCTTGCAGTAGCCTTTGCAATAATAGCAATTCCATCCTCTGCATTAAATGTCTGTATCTCTCTTCCTTGAAGGGTCATTGCTTTGTAGTTTGAGGACTCAGTCTTTGCTTCTTCAGTTCCTCTAAGTTGTAGATGCTCTCCTCCTTGAAGCATCGTTGCTTTGTAGTTTGAAATCTCAGTATTTGCTTCTTCTATTCCTCAAAGTTGCAGATGGAAGATTTGTAAGATAGAATAAGTTCCTCTTTTATCTCTGTTGATTCCTCTTCTAATATATTTTGATTTATACCATAGCCAGATATAGCCTGGATGTCCATTTGAACATTTGAAGTGAAATCCCTAGATCTTAGTTCTGAGGTAAACTTTTTCATTGTAGCACATATTTCTGCAGTAGCCTCATAGATCTTTTCCAATATAAGTGTACAGTTTAAATGTGACTGAGGTTTCTTCATTTTGATAGTAATTAAAAAGAGTCTCTTTTTTCTTTTTGGTGGAGGCTATATTTAATATAATTTAGGCAATATCCACCCCCACAGTTCCCACAGTTTCCCAGCTTATCTTTCCTCTTCAAGAGTATTTTGAAGCTCAGCTGTCTTCAAACCAAGTAACCAGAGGCTGCAGTATTACATTTTCGCCACTAGATGTCCTCAGTAAGTTTAAAAAAGGTCTTTTCCAAACGGCATTTCCCTTTTTCTATCTTTTAAAGTATAATGTGAAAAAGAGATAATCTTCCAGCATAGGATGATAGTACAGTTCTTAGAAAAAGAGGACTTATAGAGGTAAATATAGTCTTTAAAATTTTGTTTTTAAATAAACAAACAAATAAAATAATAGTAATTGTATGTATTTTTGCTTTGGGATTTTTTTATCTTTTTATGAAGCAGATGCAAATATATTTGTTATTATATTACCTTATTTTTGTATTCTTTCATTTCAACCTGTAAATTATCCATAAATTCTCCCAAGGTTTCATTAAATTTTATAACATAATCATCCTTCATTTTTTCACAGATAAGGATAGTTGATTGAAGATTCTGGAGGGTTCTCACAACAGTTTGATAAAGAGCAAGCTGCTTAAGTGGGAGAAAGATGTTATAATCACTTGCAATGAAGTGGAGCTCAGAAAGATACTTATATTCAATCTTTATGTTTGGTAGTTGTGAGGAAATTTCCTGAAGATATAGCAAATGTTCAACAAATCCATCCACTGTTACTAGTTCTTTATTCAATTTTGCTACCGCTGATTGGGTGACCTAAAAGTAATGAAATAATAAATATTTAAAAATGTATTCAAAGATGTATAAAATACATATCCAAAGATATATAATTATTCTTGTTGTGATAGTATCCCAACTATTTGGAAAACCTCCTGAAACTTTTGATCACAACTGAAATACAGTTTATTACTTTATTTACTAATTACTCCAACTGTTACATATTATGAGAAGTGTAGATACCCACTATGCATAAATCAAATTAAAACAGTAAATAAAATAATAAAATTAAAACAATGACATTAATTGAGACATAGAATATGATTACATCTATACTACACTTACAGTTTAAGAAACACAGATTAGGTTTAATTAAATACTCTATTAGTAGAAAGAAGTATAAGACAAGATTTCAGCCCCCAAGTCCTGCTGGAATGATTAAGTTTCTGTAGCTTTTCTAAATTTCAGTAGTGCCAAGATCATATGAATCTCTGGGAAATATTAGAGGACTATAAGAAATCTTCTTCAGAAAGAAAGAATTTGTAGTATACAGAAAAATGCTTTCCTATCAGCATCAGAAGTTTAGCCCTGCAATACTAAAATTGATAGCTAATTGAGAGCTGGTACATAGATGACAATTATGTCATAATAAAAATGAACCAACTAGAGGACACATATGAAATCATCAACAACATCTTCAAATGAACAAAATTCATTAGGGGAAAAGAAATTGCAAATTAGAAACATAGGCCTATTGTAAAACCACTCATGCCAACCAAGTGTTCCACTACCAAAGTAACAAACCAATCTCACCCAAGGAATTTGTGTAAGAACACTATTTAGATGAGCACAAACACAATGCAGCAACCCTGAACATCAGAAAGAAGAACTAGATCATCTATACAACATCTTCCAATAAAATGAATATCAATACAACTTCATCAAAAAGTGCTTAATCATTCAACCCAGTATAGCACAAGCAATACAAACTGTGAAAATGATAACACTGTCATACATCAAAGACATTTCAGAAACTATCAACAACTTATTACAACCACATAGCATCACTCTAGCACACAAACCAATTAAAGCCCTCAAAAACAAACTAAAAGACCCAGCAGTCCCAGAAGAAAAAACAGGAGTTGCCTACAACATATAGTATAAGGACAGCAACAGCTACTATGTAGGACAAACAGGCAGCAGACTAGCAGAACACATCTATGAACACCAACTAGCAATCATAAGACATGATGAAAACTCATTAATTTCACAATACATGAACAGACTTAATCATAGTTTCGACTGGGAAAATGTGAGCAGCCTAGACCAAACCAATTCCAAAAACACTAAAGAATTCCTGGAAGCCTAGCACTCAGACAAATCAACCATCAATAGGCACATAGAGATACACAACATGTGCATACCATTCAAAAGATACAATCAAAAAAGAAACAAAGGACCCAAACTCCTCTTTACCAGCAATCAACACCAGATGTGCAGAGATTAATATCAAGATTAACATTAGACCAACAATCAAGAACCAAATAATACCCTAAACTAGGAATTACCAGTACAGACAAACAAGCTGTCAGTAAACAATAGCCCAATCAAGGAACCACTAAGACCACTCCCACCAACACTGACAGGGCAGGCCACTAATATATAAAATGAGAGCAAACCCTACTCCCTACTGATGTTACCTGGTTTGGTAATGAAACATCTGCAAAAAAACAACAAAGCGCAGAGCACCAAGGACCCCGCACTGATAATTAATCACATCACAGACAATTTTGTTGACCCTTTGTTCTGACATTACAAAAAACCCAAGATACATTTTTGTACTGACCATCATAAGTCCAAACTATTGAAATATTTTTTATGTTTATACAATAAAATAAAGCACAAAAAGTAGAATCAACAAAATCATCTTCCTATATAGTTATAAAACTGTCATTATTGTGGCTTTTAACTAGATGAAACAATCATTATAGGGCAACAATTTGAGAGTTTGGAAAAAATTCAGAGAAGAGCAACTAAGGTGATCAAAGGCCTGAAGACTAAAACAAACGAAGAACGGCTGCAGGATTTGGGTCTGGATAGTCTAAAGAAAAGAAGAAATAGGGAAGACATGATAGCAGTATTCCAGTATTTGAGGGGCTGCCACAAAGAATAGGGGGTCACGTTATTCACCAAAGCACCAGAGGACAGAACAAGAAACAAAGGTTGAAAACTGAACAAAGAGAGAAGCAATCTAGAATTAAGGAGAAACTTCCTGACAGTGAGGACAATTAACCAGTGGAACAGCTTGCTTCCTGAAATCGCGGGCGCTCCATCACTGGAGACTTTTAAGAAGAGGCTAGACAGTCACTTGTCTGAGATGGTATAGGTTCTCCTGCTTGAGTGGGAGGCTGGACTAAAAGACCTCCAACAGCAGCAGTGCCAGAGAGGCCTGGGGGAAAGTCAGCTGGAGCTGCAGTGATGCCAGGGCTCTGCTGAGGGCCCAGGATCGGCACACACAGCTCCAGCTGATTGGCACTTCCGGTAGCCTCTGATATCACCAGAAGCAGCAGACAGGCCTTGGGGTATCTGAGTCAGCTGGAGCTGCAGAGACCTGAGAATTGGGGCAGTTCCAGCTGATCAGCATTGTGTGCAATGGCCAGCCGGGGAGTGGTGACTGCATGGGAGAGTGAGCCTGGGATAGTGACCGACACTGGAACTCTCCCTGAGCCCCAGAGAATGGTGCACCTGGAAGAGAAAAGGAGGAGGAGGGAAAGAGAGGAGAGGTTATAAAAGGAGGAGATTTTGGTGGAAGAAAGAGAGAGAAAAAAATGACAGGGAAAGCACAGAGGATGGAGAAAGAGAGAAGAGGAGAGGCTTCTGTGAGAGAAGCAGTGACAAGAAAGAGAGAAGAAGAGAGGCTTCTGTGAGAGAAGCAGAGGGATCAACAAAGGAGTAGGCTGTGAAAGAGAGAGAGAGAAGTGAAGGAGAGAGGAAGAAGGGCCGACCAGCTACCTGACCACCAAGGTAGTGGTACATATTAATAAATATGGATAAATTTGTTATGCGTTCGTCAGTGCAAAGGGAAAGTGATTCAGCAAAGGAACCACCACTGAAGAAATTAAAACTGGTACTTTTTTCCTTTTTTTTAGTCATCAAGTTTTTGACACCTTGCTAAGCACTGGTGGTACTCGAATATTGTTATGTCCTAAAAGTGGTACAATCTATGAAAAGGTTGAAAAGCACTGCACTAGGGTTTCATATGCACTCTCACTATCCCATGGATTTCTAATTTCATAGAAAATTATCTGGGACCCAGTGAAGTTGATATACCATTTCCCATCTTAGTTTAGCTCAAAATTTGAATCTGCCTGACTACCCACTACTCTTCCTTCTGTCCACATTTCACTCTAACCTTCTGCAATAATTTACCAAAATGCAACAATCTATTAGCTATCTCATTTCAACTGCAATATAACCAAACAAAATTTTTATCTCCAATGCAGCTAATGATATCTTCCATATAATGCACTTTGATCTAAACATTTGTAGTGGAATAGTTGGAATAGAAATCTAAGAAATTAATTATAAATAAAAATTATATACTTACTTCAACAAGATGTACATTCTTTGTATCAATTGCTGAATAAAAACAAGTATGAATAATGTCAAGCAGACCCTCAAAATATGGCAGGCAGTCAGTCTGAAAGTTCAAACTGTTGACTCTAAACAGAGAGATACGTTTCTCAATAAGCATACATACAATCTCCTTTACATCAGCTGTATAATTTTCTAGAATATTTCTAAACTCCTTTGTAGTCATCTCTCTTTCCAATGCTGTTATTTTGTCTTTTGTATATTTTGCTTTATCTACCATATTGCAATATTCCATAAAGTTTCTGCTGTAAGATTCTACTTGGGCCAGTGAAGAACTCTGAAGAGAAAGAAGGTCCAGAATCTAAAAAATTTAAATGGAAACAAATTATGACATTCACATTAGAATGGTGGAGATTTCCTCTGATTAGCTTTTAGTTTTGTAGAAACTATATTCTAAGTAGACATAACTTATTAACTTTAACCCTATGTAAACAAATTGTACAAATAACATTTCCTGCTAACTTGAACCTCAGAACTAGAAGAATTCTGCCAGAGTTTATAACCTGAATAAAAAAAAAACAAGGACATAAATCTTGTGCACAAGACTGAAGAAATCTACATGCTCTTGATCCTTAAGTTCAATTATTGTAAATTTTATACATTTCCAAAGTGCACTATTATGAACAAGATAAACAAAATCTTAAACATAAATAGGAATAGCTAGATTTCAGTTAATGGGATTCATGGGATGGGTGGTATTTTAATGCTTGTTCTTGTCATGGTCCTTGGCTGCCACAAGTATATTTGCAATAGTGGCAAATATCTGTAGCTCAAGTGTAGGATGAGGGTGAAGGTTCATTTTCAGAGCTTGTGAGTTGGTTCTTGAACATTTCATTACCAGACTAGGTAATATCTTCAGCAGAGTTTAGAGGATGTCAGTGTTCTGTTTAAAAGGATTTCAGGTGTAGGTGTGTCAAGTGAGGGTCTGTGATGGGTCTTGTGATGGATTAGGTGTGAATCATCAGTGAGTCTTGGGATGGGTCTTGTGATGGCAAGGTTATATTAGGTGAGGGTCATTGGGAAGTGAACTGCTGCTGGGAGTGGGAGCTTGTGTGGGTTGGTTGAGGGTCGGTGTTGTCTATGCGGCTGGTTTGGATTCTGAGAGGTTCGTAGGCTGTAGGTCAATGTGTCTGTTGATGGAATTGCTTGTGAAATACCAGGCTTCAATGAACTCACGAGCATGGCGGGTGGTAACATGGCCGATGATTTTTCTGTTGCTCCAATTGAACTGGTGCTGTTTGGTGGCGGTGTGGGTAGAGATTAAGGATTTGGTATTGTGGCATTTGACTGCTAGCCGCTGTTTGTGGATCCTGTTTTTTAATTGACATGATTTTTGTCCCATGTAGAATTGGTTGCAATGGTTACAGTTGATTGTATAGATTACATTGTTTTTTTTTTTCATCCTTGTGTGTCTTGTCTTTGGTTCTGGATAATTCCTGGTATAGTGTGGCTGTGGGTTTGTGGGCTATTGCTATTCCTAGGGGGTGAAGAATTCTGGCTTTCATTTCTGACACCCATTTTGTATATGGTAGGGTTAGTTTTTACATGGTGGTTGGCTGTGTGGTGTATTGCGGTTTGGGTAGGGTGCTGTGTGTCAGAATATGAAGGAATTAGACTTTGGAAAATAGTTTGATGGAAGCAGTAGATTCCAAAAAAGATCTCTTAAGAGTTCTGATAATTAAGATTTGCAAGGAGATTGAAGTATTAATACAAAATGTCTAGTGTTAATCTGATAAACCTATATATAAGGGAAATGGGAGAAAGAATATTTATTTTCTTCTTTTGATATAAAGAAAATGAAGCTTTATAAAGAAGGGTGGGCTATATCTGTTGATTGCTTTGAAAATGACTACTTATCAATTTCTTACACTGAAATCTATGCATATTTATTTTTTTTCACATTTTCTGCTTAGAAACTTTGTTCAGCCAAATTTTGGTAGCTTCAGTTTTAGGAGGCCACAACAAAAGAATTTCAAAGATTATATGTAGCCCATTGTCCATGGTTTGAATCAATATAAAGATAAGAAAAAATATGCAGAAATATATATTTGGCACCAAACTGTTACCCTCATGTAATACAACTTCTGAAACATACATTGTTTTGGTAATCTGGATCTGTCCCAAGAATGAGATCACAGTTTGGCCATGTTGATTGATAATGTCCTGGTTCAAAATCTGTGTAATCTTCACATTGCTGCATTATTTTATGTAAAGACTGATCAATGAAGATTGAAAGCCGAGAATCCTGAGAAAATGGTGTAACTTGATCTAATGGAAAATAATTTAAAAATATTTTCAAAGTTAGAATTCATTGTAAAACAATTTTTTTTAAATTGAAAATTGCTGGCTGAGCATCCAGGATGGTAAATTCCCTTAGGACTTTTATCTATTATAACTGAAAATGTAGATGTAACAGAAATATTAATTCAGTTTTTTCCAATAATTCTGATATATTTGAAGGTCTAGATTTAATAATTCACTGGAATATACAAAGGCTTGTAGTGCCTTTTTCTTAATGTCCTAGGCTTCAACTTATTAATTTGGGGCTGAAGCTTGGCAAATTCCTGCAAGTGATTATACTTTATGTAGGCTTTAGAAGATCTGGAACATTTAAAAATAAAAGTTTTTTTTAATATTTTTTAATACCAGGATGTTTTTGGAACAGATATTTTTAAATAAAACTTTTATACAGATTTTTGAAAACTACACATTTTCTATTAAAGACTATGAACTACATTAGCAAACAGAAGCACTGTCCCACACATAGTCAAATGCAATGTCATATGTTTTAAATTAAGAAAGCAATCTTCTGCACATTTACTTAAAATAAAACTCAACTGAACACAATGGTACTTTTAAATAAATATGTATATGGTCATATATGGTCCCGGACCCGAAGGCAGTTGCAAAGTTTTCTTGCACTTGCAAATTTCTACAGACAAGTAATTCCTACTTTTACGCAGATTGTTTTACCCATAACCAATTTGTTAAAAATGGGAAAAGCAACGAAACCTAGACCCAATCAGCCATTAGGCTGGACCCTTGAATGTCAAGCAGCCTTTGAAAACTGAAAGACTTTTTTGCTGCAGAACCACTGTTAAGGCACTCAAATCCAGAGAAGCCTTTCATAATTCAAGTGGATGCTAGTGATGTGGCAGTGGGGGCAATATTGCTACAAAAAAATGAAAACAGGGCGTTATAATCATGTGCATATACTTCTTGAAAGTTATCAGATGCTGAGAGAAGGTGTGGGCTATGTGGGAAAAGGAAGCTTTTGTAGTTTGCTGTACTCTCTTAACATGGAGACAATTCCTGGAAGGTAGTAAAATCCCATTTGAAGTGTGGACAGATCATAAAAACTTAGAGGCATTAAAGACTCAAGGAAATTGTCTCCAAAGCAAGACAGGTGGGCTCAATATTTTAACTGATTTAATTTCAGTTTCTGGTACATACCCGGAGGGAAACGTTTTTTGGCTGATGCTCTTTCACGTATGCCTCAATACAAAAGTACCAAGGAAGTGGTAATTTCTATAAACCCTTCTAGCCAGCTTGCAATGCCAGTGCAAAGGGTTCAGTGCAGGGGAATACCACCCAGGTTAATGTTACATCCCCTGAGGCAAAACTTTAAGGAAGTTTCAAAATAAGATAATTGGTTTCAGAACCATACAAATGATCTAATGATAAAAAAGATATGGCATGAAAAGGAACCAAAGTGTATGTCCCAGATAGCTAAAGGACCTTAGTTTAAGCCGAGCACATATGCAAAAGCAGCTGGAAATTTTGGGTTTCTAAAAACCCTTCATCTTGTGAAAAGAAAATTTTGGTGGCTAAAAATGAAAAAAGATATAAAAGAATACAGGTAATCCCCAAGTTACGAGCGTTCACTTAACACTCATTCGAAGTTACACGATAAGCGCCCCCTAGTGTTTTGAGAAAATCCCAAAATTATGACTGTTGCAGCACCACGGCAGTTGTTCACCCTTACCCTTATGCTCTACAACATTCACTCTATCTCCCCTACTCTCCACAACTGCTTCTCCCTCCCTTCCTGCTGCACCAGACTCACCTTAAGAACATCTGTCTCCTCTCTGCTTTTGAGGGAGAGGAGAGACAATGGAAGCTCCTCGATGCCATATCACACGAGTTCAGGCACACATCTGCTTTTGCAGAGAATGAGTACCTGAACTCTCGCAAGATCATGGACCCCAAAAACTTTCATTTTCGGTGCAAACTCTGTGCCTGTCTCCTGCTCCCCCCAACTCCTTTCCGCCACCACCGGAACACTTTTTATCCAAATGGAGACCTTGGGGAGATGGGGAACTCCATCTCTGAGCAAATGGGGTGGTTGAAAACCAGTGAATCATTGCATTTTCAAGTGTTGCATTTGCACACAGACAGCTCCCCATCTCCCCGTTTGAATAAAAGGTGTTTAAGCACCTAGGGACACATGGAAACACAGTGAATCACTGTTTTTTGAATAGCCCCATAGGCGCTGAAACATTTTTTATCCGAACAGAGACCTGACAGAGATTGGAAGCTCCATATGACTGCCAATGGGGCACTTCAGAAACGGAGCGTTCCTGTGGCTGAATGAGCGAATGCAATGATAGAACAATATATAAGATACTATGTAAATTATCAACAGAATGATTAGGCAGACTCATTGCCATTTGCTGAAGTAGCATACAATAATGTGGTGCCCAGCAGTACCGGTTTCACACTTTTTAAAATGACTGCAGGGATTGAATATATGACTGTGCCTGAGATCACTCAAGACTTTCTCTCTTCCACAACATTAACCAATTGGATGGATAATATAAAAAGCACATGGCCAGGGGTATGCAAAGCTCTAGAGCAGACATATCAAACACAAGGCCCGGGGGCCAGATGCGGCCCACAAAGTGGTTTCATGTGGCCCGCGAAGCCATCCTGGAAACAGTGAGGGAACAGCCCCCGCTGCCTTGGCCCTGGCTGCGTTTCATGCCTGTTTTTTTCCCTCCCTCATCTCAAATATTTTCCCACTACTCTGTACTTAGGAAGGAAGGAAAGAAAGAAGGAGAGGGAGGGTATGAGGGAGGTCCTGCCTTAGTCTGGTCCTGCTGCCCTTTTACGATCCCCTTGCCCCCTCCTCCTGGCCTATCCTGGGGTTTCCTATCCTATTGCTAAGGAAGCTTTGGATACAAAGCTGAGTCTCCTCCCATGGAGAGGGAATGGACCTCCCTCTGACTTTGCACTCATACCCATCATGAGCAACCTGGCTAAGGAGAGCAAGCACAGCAGCAGCAGCCTTGAGGAGGAGGTAAGTACAGCTGGGCGCCCCCTTGGGGAAGTGGGGCTGGGCTTGGTGCCGTGGGTGCTTGAGGGCCAGGCTGGGCATTTGACCTCTGCTGCCCAAGGCTCCAGGCAGCCCATACCACCATCCAGCCCCCTCACATGGCCTAGAGGAACGGTGAGGCTCCTCCAGTGGATTATGCCTTGGCACTTGCCCTGGTCCCACCCCCTTCTGCCAGACACCCTCAGATCTGTCCCACTCCTACCCAGGCCCCCACAGGCCCCCTTGACACGAATTATGTACAGCTGGCCATGCCCACCCAATAGGCCACACCTACCCCCCACCCCCCCAAGGGCAACCGCAATGCTGATGCAGCCCTCAATGAAATTGAGTTTGACAGCTCTGCTCTAGAGCAAGCACAAAAAAGTAAAAAAACAACAACAATGGGCAGATAAGAAATGAGCTACTCAAAAGGTGTTTAAAGTAGGAGATAAAGTATACATGTCCACCAAATATTTGAACCTAAAAATACCTTGTAAAAAACTAGGTCCTAAATATATAGGTCCTTTTACTATCATAGGCATCATCAACCCAGTCACAATGAAATTGCAATTACAAAGGGATTTTAAACAACTACACCCAATATTTCATGATAGTTTATTGGGCTGTCAGACTCCCGAATGGGAAATAACTCCATGTATGATAGACTTGCAGGGCCAGCGCATTGTCCAATAAGTTCATGTGGTGTAATAAGATTGTGTGTTTGTTGTGTGTAATAAGATTGTGAGTTGTGTTGGGGGGGTGCACAAAGGGAGGCTTAGTCAATCTCATTGTACACATGTTGTACTTTGACAATAAAGGTTGATTTGATTTGACTCAAGGTTCAAGAATGAGACCAATAGGAAAATCACCTTCACTTCCAATGTTAGTTAAGGGGGAAAGGCATTATGAAATTGAAGAAATTTTAGATTGTAGGTATTGTAGGGGAAAGCTGCAATATTGAGTAAAATGGAACAGATACCCCTTAGTGGGTGCACAGTGGGTGGCAGCTACAAATGTTAGAGCAGTTAAGCTAATAACAAAATTCCATTCAAAATACCCTAAGCAACTTCAGTGAGGAAAGCGAAATTAGATATGGGATAAAAATCAGTACGTGTGTGTGTATTATTTTTCCAGATCCATTTGTTTGTCAAGGGGGCAACATGTCAAGAGTTAAAATTTAGCAGCTAAGTGCCTCTCTGTTTTCATCTTGCCATTAAAGTAAGGGGGTAGGAAGTGTTGCTTTCGAATGGATTAGTTAGAGAAATGAAACTTCTCCAGTTCTACAGAGGCTTGCTTGAGAGTCAACAGTCTAGGAAACATTCAAGGACATTCTAGCAGGTGTGAAGAAAATAACAGATAGTTCCCATAACAAAGAGAACTTGTTTACATGAGCTACATGGACATCTGGGGGCTTGACTGGGAAAGTCATTGTTATATGCTATGGTCTGATGCCTTGGGATTTTAGAGTTAGTTTTAACTCACCATAACCACGCTATGTATTCAATAAATAATAAGCTTTTCAGAAAAGAAATGATCCTGGATTTTTATCTGGATAGTCAAGAGGGATGTTGACATATTTCTTTGATTAGGACTTGAACTGTTAAGTTTTACCAGTCCCAAATTGAAGATTAAATCTTAAATAATAATAATACCAATAAAAGAGGGAGTAAAGAAGATAATATGAATGATAAATATTAATACTATGGTCACACTACATGGATTAGTAGACATTAGGCATCAGAGAATTAAGTGTTCAGCAGAGTAATGGCATGAGGGAAAAAACTGTCCCTATGTCTAGTTGTATGGGCATACAGTGCTCTATAGGATTAACCCAAGGGAAAGAGTTGAAACAGTTTATGTCCAGAATATGAGGGGTTTGCAGATATCTTCTCAGCCCTCCTTTTGACCTATACAATGTAGAGGTCTTCTATGGAAGTCAGGCTGGTTGCAATTGTTCTTTCTGCAGTCTTAATTATCTGTTGGAGTCTGTACCTGTCCTGTTTGGTTGCTATACCAAACCAGACAGTTTTAGAAGTACAAATAAAAGACTCAATAATTCCTCTGTATCAACAGCTCCTGGGCAGTCTGAACTTCCTGACATAGGAAAAACATTCTTTGTTGTGATTTTTTAATGATGAGCATCCGTTTCAATTCCTGGGAAATTGTAGAATCCAAAAACTTGAAGGATTCCACTGCTGATACTGTGCTGTCAAATACTGTAAGAGGAGGTAAAATAGAAGGGCTTCTCCTAAAATTCACTCTCATCTCTACGGTTTTAAGCATGTTCAGCTCCAGATTGTTATGGTTCACCATAGGGCCAGTTGTTCAACCTCCCATCTGTATGCAGACTCATCACCATCTCGAATAAGGCCAATAAGTACTGTATCATCTGCAAACTTCAGAACTGTAACAGAGGGTTCCTTTGAGGTGCAGTCATTGGTATACAGAGAGAAGAGTAATGAAGAGACCATACAGCCCTGAAGGGCATCTGTGCTAATTGCCTGGGTACTAGATGTAATTTTTCCTAGCTTCATCTGGGGAATTGTCAAAAGGCTGATTATCCACCTACAAGTATGAATAGACACAATGAGCTGAAACAGTTTAGAGTAAGGAATTTCTGGAATGATGGTATTAAATGTCAAGCTGAAATTCACAAAAGGACCCATGCATAGGTCCCTGGGGATTCAAGATGTTGCAAATTGTAGTGCAATGTCATATTGACAGCATCATCTGCCAAACTATTTGCTCAATAGGCAAGGGGTCTAACAGCTGATCCGTGAAGACTTTCAGGTGGGCCAATACTAACCTCTCAAAGGTCTTCATAACTACAGATTTCAGAGCAACTGGCCTGTAGTCATTCAGCTCCCTGATGAAGGATTTCTTAGGAACTGGGATGATGGTAGAGTATTTGAAGCAAGAAGGGACATAACTCATTTCCAGTTATTTTTCAAAATCTGTGTGAAGATGGGTTCTAATTAGGCTTTCTCTTTTATCAATGTGCACCTTGAATTGGACCTGGAAGCAAACTGGTAACCGATGCAGCTTTCAGAACAGAGGTATAATGTGTATTTTGTGAAGAACATATATAACTGCCTACACCACTGCATTTTATACCAGCTGAAGTTTCTGGATACTCTTCAAGGGCAGCCATATGTAGAGAGCATTATAATAGTCCAACTAGGACAGGAGTAGGCAACCTTGGCTCTTTTATGACTTGTGGACTTCAACTCCCAGAATTCCTGAGTCAGCATGGCTGGTTCAGGAACTTCTGGGTACTGAAGTCCACAAGTCATAAAAGAGCCAAGGTTGCCTACTCTTGAACTAGGAGGTGACTAGGGCATAAGTGACAGTGAGTAGGAGCCCTTGATCAAGGAATGGCGCAATTGATGCCCAATATGAAGTTATATGAAGGCCCTCCTCAATATAATTGCTACCTGCTCCTTGAAATCATGAGTCCAGGAGGACCCCGATTGTGCATGGGGTCTGTTTGGGGCAATGTAACTCCATCCAGCCCCAAAGGTGGTATAGTCCCACAATTGGAGGGTTCCCAAACCCAAAGCTCAGTCTTGCCAGGGTTCTGTTGAAGACTATTGTTCACCATTCAGCTTCCTATGTTTTAATATATATAATATTTCTTCTTGGACAAGTGACCATCAAGAAATGAGGAAAGGGTAGCTAGCACACTATCACATAGGGTAACTTTTATTATATTTCATTAAGAAAACAAAGGCAAAAGATATGGGTGAACTATAGCTATATACCACATAAAATTATTCTTAGCATTTAGTTTTTGCAATTGTGAACAGCATGCAGAAAAATAGTAAATATATATAAAATCCATGTATTTCCTTAGATAGGAAAAAAACTTTTTTAGAGCTGGATTTTAAACTGTAATGTCACTTTCCGTATGTAGTATTTCAATGCAATTTCTATAGAAATATTGTTTTATAAAAATAAAATATATTTTTACTGAATAATTAATATATCAAAGAGATATTTTTCTTGTTTGCTCATTGTACAACAAAAAATAAAATTTTAAATGTTCCAAGGCACACAGACAGACAGATAGTTGCAACATTTTAAATATTGGTCTCACACACGTTTTTAATCTTCTAAATTGCTTCAACCTAGCTGAATCTTTTTTAGTGAGATTAGATCTGGCAATTAGATCTTTATTTGCTTTGTTGGAATGGATAGTAAGTAATCTATATTACATCAATATTTTTCCAGTGGACACCAATAGCATCTACCATGTCCGTACATTACTTACCAATGATATTTTCTAATCCATATATAATCCCTTGTAATTGTATTGAAAATGTTTTTCTGTTAGGAATCAGTGATACATCTGTAGAGAACTGTAGGGATCTAGAAAATGAAATATTACATTTTTATTGGCTAAAGACATTAAAAAACCTATGAAAGTCTGAAGATTAAAATTTGAATCTTAAATATAAGATAGTTCATGAGAAGTTCTTATTTTCCTACTTTACCAAACTATAAAATGTCTCTTTGGAATAATCTGGAATGGGCCATCAGGTGACAGCTGGGAAAATCAAATAAAAAAATCAGATATATATCTTAAGTTAAGGAAGTTCACAGATAATTTGTCACCTCTCTTGAATTTGTGGAAGAAGTGTAAGTACTGCAGGTGTTTTCAGGATAGTGAAAAAGATATCTCATCAGAAGAACTTCATTTAAGTTAATTTATCTCAGATGGATTAGCTGTTTTCCTTGGAGATTATGGCAAAAGTGATTGGAGAGGAGTGAAATAAATAAACTATGAGCAAAGAAGAAAAATGAATAATGAAGGAGATACTATTCCAGGTTTCTTGTGGTCTAGAAACTACATCACTTTTCATTCTTTTCCATAAAATATAACTAGATCAGGATTCAGATATATATATATATATCTGAAAAAGCAGTTAAATCAATTAGGACCTACGACAAGATCTAGGAGCCGTGTGCAAATGACGGCTCACCTATAAAGGCACTCTCCCACAGACCAGCATTAACCCTGACGATGTCAGAAGTATCTGACGAAAGCTTGGTGATCGGTGATGGTATTAAACTTTTATAGTTTATTATATTCCTGGTGTTCATGTTTTATTGGTAATTGACTATATATATCGAAGAATGATTCCTGGGTACATACATTTCGATAGATAAAAAGGACGATCACCAGGAAATAAAACAACAAAGTTTTAATAAATATAACCAAGCTTTCGATGGCTCAGAATCTGCCATCATCGTCAGGGTGTAAACCAGTCAATGGGGAAACTTGCTTATAAATGCAGCCGCACCTGCACTCGGCTCATCGATCTCGTGACGGGCCCCAGCCAGCCGATCCTTGCCTCACTTACAACATCAGATGATTCATCTTTACATCCTTTACTTACATTTATGTCACCACCCACCTCCCCATTCCCTTGTGTCCTCAAATCGGGGGGGGGACGTCCTGTATTTCCCCATGTTGGAGTATCCTTCACATTATTGGATCGATCCTTCCTCTTGTGCTCTTTGGGGTACTTCCTTCTTCCACCCCTCTGGCATGCGCCGTAACCGTTTATACTTCCGTTATCACAATATTCCGCCTTGGGGATCCTGCATCGACTCTCATGTTCCAACACGTTTGTTCCTATCACCCTTCCGGCATTTCCACAATCCCTGTAATTAACCTCATCCATCCTCTTGTTTCCCCCCACAGCTCCCAGTGTATCATACAATTGAATCCGGGGTCCACGTTGTTCCATTGCAACAGATGTTCTCCAGGGTGTCTGTATTAGCATAGCGCCTGTACAGTCTGGCGCAACTCCCAATCCGATTGCCTCTCCCTCACCCCCTTGTGTTTGTTGCGCCTGGGAGCACATGACTACACCCGCGATGGAGCGGCTGTAAGTATTCGTCCTCTGTGCGTTCTTCAGGAGCACGACTCTATTCAGATAGCTCCGGTCGGTACGGTAACGTGGCAGAGATTTTAAAGGTACCACTTTACCGTCACTCGCAGCAATCATCATCCCCTCTAGGTTTGCACACATTCCCAATACATCAATAACCGGACGAGTTATGACAGGAACATCTTCGGGGATGGGGGGGTTGGTATAATTGCTGGGGTGGCAAGCATGCTCCATTTCAATCGGGATACATATCATCCGTGATTCCAGATACTGAGCACGGCGTAAGGAGACATCCAAAGCATCGGGGGGCGGGCTACTGACATCGATGAGCTTCCTAATTTGTGACGGGTGTATACGCAGATTGTTAGTCAAGAGGACTCCAGGTTGTAGATTTTTCTTTTCCTTGCTATCAGTCCCTTCTGATGGATACTCGAGATTTCTGTTATTCGGGTGTTTTCTCCACACTGACACGTACTCGATCAGTGTGGAGAAAATGCCTGAATAACAGAAGTTATCCTCGAAGCACGAAGCTGAAAACACCAGCCTGAAGATGACGAATGGGACTTCGTCGAAACGTCGCCAAGACACTTCCAATTTTATGCGGGAGAAAACCCGAACAGCCAAAGACCTACATATATATATATATATATAAAATTTCCTACTAAAGGTTTTTTTTTTGTATTATCCAATACTAGTGAACTTTCTGTGAATTTCTCCATTATTTTTATTTCTCTCGGGATATACCGTGTTTCCACAAAATAAGACCAGGTTTTATATAGAGATATATATTTTTGGACCAAAAAAACTCATTAGGGCTTATTTTCAGGTGATGTCTTATTTTGCGGCTACCTGCAGGAGAGTGGGTGTCACACCAGTGCTGCCGCAAGTTGAAGCAAGGCAGGTTGGGGGATAGAGCTGACCTAGGTGCCCCAAACCCGCTTATCTCAGGGCCCTGCAGCCAGACCACTCTCCACTTGGCAACCTCACCCTGCCTGTTCAATCACCCACTGCCTACCTCATCTTGTGGTGGTGGCACCAGTGCCACGCGTGCTCTCCTACCCCCTTGTGACCACGAGCAACCAGGCAAATGGGTGGGCTCATGGTGAACGGGATTACTGCTGCCTGTGCCGCCACGAAGTAAGGCAGGTGGCAGGGCATGGGTGGCCTGGCTGCGGGGGCCCTGAGGTAAGTCGTGTGGGTCGCATGGGGAAGCTCCACCCCCCATCTGCCTTGCCTCAGCTCATGGCAATGGCACTGGTGTGACACATGCTCTCTTGCCCTGTTGTGGTGGGACAGAGTGGGTGGGCTCTTAACTAGGGCTTTTATTAGGCACACCCATAAAAATCATGCTAGGGCTTATTTTCTGGTTGGGTCTTATTTTCGGGGAAACACAATATAGTCTGCTGCATATATGAGTGAAAGCATATTGTTACAAAGTATTTACATTTAAAATACTCTTGCCACACAGATAAAACACAATAAGTCATTAAAATAAATATATATTTCTTTTTTATGGTTAAAATCAAAATATGTTTTAAATTATGCATACCTCTCATAGGTGATTGATTGTTTATTTGAATCAGAAATCGGCTCTTTTCCTTGAAAAGTAAGAAAAACAAAAGCAATCCTTAAAAACTAATAATCGAAACATAATAATCTGAGTCCTTCTCATGTTTAGCACAAAGATAGTAAACTAGCTAATTTCTCTTGAGGTCAAATTTGCAATTCCCTTTACATTTCCAGAAACTGGGAATAGCACTATAGCACCTTTTTTGTTTTTCAAATGTTAGCAGTTCCACCTCAGTAATATTGAGGTGAAGCATCTTGTTTGGACAGTTCTTCAGGAAAGAAAAAAGAACATTGCCAAGTAGTTGTCACGGAGAAAGATTCTGCCTGCCTGTGGCAACAGAAACGAAAGAGAAGTCTAATAAGCTGCTGTTCTTATCAAAGCATAAGATTTCAGAATTTGCCTGTTTTAAAATTGCCCCTATAAAATAGAATAAAAAAGAATATTGTCTTGATATTACAGAAAGAGATATCAATTTTTTTTAATTTTAAACTTCATATTATTTTCCTTCTTAAAGCTGCTACTTTTCTGTGAGAAAAAATAGTCAATTATCTTAAATACAATTTCAGCTGAATTTATAAACTCTGGTTCCAGCTGTGAAAATCTGGTAATCTTAATATTAATCTGTTAAAAATATTGTATAGTCTTGACTGATAAAAAAAGAAAAAATCTGACAGAAAATTACATTTTCTATCTCATATTAATAATTCTTCACACTTTTTCTCAAATTTGATATTGGAATGGAGCAAACTCTATATAGTACAAGTACTAACTGTAACTGTAATCCTAACGTCTATATTCCTAGCTACTTTGCATGCTCTTTCCCAGACCCTCTCCTTGGCATCAGAAGAATTACCACTCACTCTCCAATCAGCTTGCTGGCTTGTGAGTCTATAAATAGAACGTATCACATCAATCTCACAATGCATTACAGTTAGAACATCTCAGAGCAATGCACACTAAGTTGATATCCAGTGTGATAATGCTGCTCTGAAGAATCTATTTCTAAATTGTACTGAGACAAAAAATAAGCCATATAGAGTATGTGCCCATTCAGTACGGTTTAAGTTTATAATTGTCTGTGAGGAAAAGTACTGATTCAGCAAAGCCATGAAGGAAAGTAAAGGTCATTATCTACACATGATGATCACAAAATATGACTGATTGTGATATTGTAATTTGCATGTGAGAATGACACTGCGAGACAGGAAAAATATATCTGTGAAAGGTATCTCAGCCCAGAGAAAGAAAAGGGATGAGGGACGTATCTCAGAAAGAACCCTCTCTTGTTTTCTGGAAAGTAAAAGAAGGGAGAAATGCTTTCAGACTTGCAAGATTTCATTACTATAATCTTACAATTAAGGTAGTGTTAGAATTCATGGTTTATGTTTGTCTTAACTATCATGAAAGGCTGACAGATATGGAATAGTAGTAATTAGTAAAAAGCAAGAAATAAAGCCTGATTTTTTTAAAAAAAATGCTATATTGTTTTCTTATTAAACTAAGAAAAAGTGAAAAGATGTAGTAGATTCTTACCCTGTAAAGTGGAATTGATGAGTACATGTACAGAAGTTACATGGGGGGGGGAACCTTCCAAGAATTTCACAAAAAAGCCTGTTAGATAACATGAATGGATGGGCCTGAACGAAGCAACACTGTGCAGAAAAAATGATAGGATCATTTGGAGATCCAGGAATGAATAAGAAAGATTAGTGAGCATCTGCTAAAAAAGGGATTATTCATTTTGAACATATAGTTTAAGCATATGTCTCTTTACACAAGCACAAACACACTCACAGATACATATACACACAGCAACACACAGTACAGTTTTATAATGGGCATAGGGTTGCAGACCAAATTTCTACTTTTCAGCAAAGCATCAAAAATGTACAAATGCAAGTGTTTATTGTATGTTTGTGATTTAGAAAAGTATATAATAAAATAAGTTTGAATTATGGTGTTTTGCACTGATAAGGAGTTGAAGGTTGGCTGCTGAATGCAGAAAGTAAAGCACATGTAAGAATGGAATTATTACTAAATGATTCAACACTGAGCAGAAAGTAAGATGAAGATGTGTGCTGTCCCTTTTGTAGTTTAATATATTTATGATAAATATGTAAGGAATGCTAGTGAGCAGTGTGGTGGCCTAATGGTGAAGATGCTCACCTCCCACTTGGAAGGTTGAAAGATGCATCCTAGGAAGCAGCAGATGTTTCTCTCTCATAGTGCAAAGAGAAAATAACTGCTGTGAATTCCACACAGGTGTCAGGAAGGGCATCCAGCCAATAAATGCTCAGCTCCATTCAGCTGCCCTGACTCTACCCCGAATTAAGGAGTTACAGGGTCATAAAAAGAAAAAAAATGTATGGAATGCTAGCATGCAGAAATAAAATAAAATTACACCTTTTGAGAATAAGAGAGTTGCAGTTTAAGGATTTTTGAAAGAGTATTGCAGAGAACAATAGTGGCATGTTTATCACTAATTTTCTGATTCCCTTAATTCTATGGCTTGCATTAGGATAAATGATCCCTAAGATTTGTTCCAAGTATATAGGAATTTAAAAATGAGAAACCTAAAAGATGCCTCTTTTTTATTTAGTGCCTGCTTCTATAGTCTGCAATTTTGTACCCCATGAAATTCACTTGGTTCAACTCTATAAATTTTTAAATGTAAAATAATAATACGGACTTTTCCTGTTGTATTTATTGAGTTCAATTATTTTTGAAATCAATGCTATATTATTTTATAAATTCATTTCTTAGGGTATAATACATCTAATCCAAAAAACAGATTCAAAATTTAAAATAGTAAGTTTAATCTATTGTAAAACATAATATTTTGATGGAGATGGGAGAAAGATGAAATACTGAATCAGAGATTTGTCCTCAGATAAGAGGAATTGCATGAGGCAATCAAGATTCAAAGCACAAAATACAAAGACACCTGCAAATGAGGTCAAAAGAATCAAAACAGTGGTCACAACAACATGATCAAAACTCTTCTCCTTTTATATGTACCTCACAATACACATTGAAAAGGAGTGAGGCTCTGATTGTACAGTGGTTTTTCTAGATGTTTTTCCTCTGGAAATTGCTGCATGGGTAGCAAGTTACCTAGGCTTGCAAAAAATATATTTTCCGGTCAACAGTTATTCTCATAGACCTTTCTTAATTTTAACTTAATTAGTGTTCATCCATTAAATTTGACAGCAAGGCCTTATGGGTCTTTAATAACTTTATTTCTGTAATAAAGTACTTTCTGAATAATTCCTGATATATCTAGCATTTTCACACATTTCTTATGATGTCCATACCAGTGGAATCTGGATCTGAGTCCTGAACAGAGAGTGATGAAATGATAGAAGATGTTGAAGCCATAGGAACCCTGGTGATCATGCAATATTGGAATTCAACATTATGGAAGCACAAGAAATAGAACACAGTCAAACTAGAATCTTGGACTTCAAGAGAGCTAATTTCAATAAACTTAGAGAGGGCTTGGGAAGGATTCCATGGATGAGAATCCTCAAGGGGAAAACAACTCAAGAAGCTTGGGAAATTTTGAAAAATGAGATAATAAAAGCCCAGTCTAGCATAATACCAAAAAGAGGAAAAATAACAGTTCTCAAAAGAAACCAGCATAGCCGCATAAAGAACTCCCTGACAAATTGAAAGATAAAAAGGAAAAGTATAGAAAGTGGAAAGAGGGGCACATAACTAAGTCAGAATATCAGCAAATAGCCCGAGCTTCCAAAGATGAAGTGAGGAAAGCCAAGGCTCAAAATGAACTAAGGCTTGCGACTAAAGTCAAAAATAACAAAAAAAGCTTCTTTCAACATGTAAAAAACAAGAAAAAAGTGAAGGAAATGATTGGTCCATTAGTGGGTGAAAGTGGCAAGGAGGTGACAAGCAACAGGGAGAAAGCAGAACTATTTAACTCGGGTTTTTTGCATCTGTCTTTACACAAAGGGAAAAAACAGACCAACCTATCAAAAATAGTGCCATAAAAACAGAATAGAAACACAAGTTAAGATAGGCAAGAAAATGGTAAGTGAGCACCTGTCCAGCCTAGACGAGTTCAAATCGCCAGGAACAGATGGACTACACCCAAGCTTCTTAAGGAACTGGCAGGTGTGATCTCAGAACCACTGAACTATATTTTTCAAAGATCCTGGAGCACAGGGGAATTACCAGAGGACTGGAAAAGAGCTGATGTAGTTCCCATCTACAAAAAAGGAAAAAAATGGACCCAGGAAATTACAGACCTATCAGCCTGACCTCAATACCTGGGAAGATCCTGGAAAAGATAATCAAACAATGAATCAGCGAACACCAAGAGGCAAACAAAGTTATTACTAAAAGCCAACATGAGTTTGTCAAAAATAGATCATGCCAGACAAATCTTATTGCATTCTTTGACCAAGTGACAAAATTAGTGGGCCAGAGGAATGCTGTGGACATAATTTACTTGGACTTCAGTAAGGCATTTGATAAAGTAGATCACAACCTACTACTTGACAAGATAGAAAAATGTGGGGTAGACAGCGCCACCACCAGATGGATCTGTAGCTGGCTGACCGGCCGTACTCAGCGTGTGGTTCTCAATGGAACTGCATCTACATGGAGGGAAGTGTGTAGTAGGATGCCCCAGGGCTCTGTTCTGGGCCCAGTGCTCTTCAACATCTTTATCAACGATTTGGATGAGGGGATAGATGGGGAACTCATCAAATTTGCAGACGACATCAAGCTGGCAGGAATAGCCAACACTCCAGAAGACAGGCTTAAGATACAGAAGGATCTGGACAGACTTGAACACTGGGTGCTATCTAACAAAATGAAATTCAATGGTGAAAAAAGGAAGGTTCTACATTTAGGCAAGAAAAACCAAATGCACAGGTATAGTTTAGGGGGTACCTTGCTCAATAGTAGTTAACTGTGAGAGGGACCTCAGAGTTCTAGTGGACAATCACCTAAATATGAGCCAAGCAGGGTGCTGCAGCTACCAAAAAGGCCAACACAGTGCTAGGCTGCATTAACAGAGGGATAGAATCAAGATCATGTGAAGTGTTGATACCTCTTTACAATGCCTTGGTAAGGCCACATTTGGAATACTGCATCCAGTTTTGGTCACCACAATGTAAAAAAGATGTTGAGACTCTAGAAAGAGTACAGAGAAGAGCAACAAAGATGATTAGGGGACTGGAGGCTAAAGCATATAAGGAACAGCTGCTGGAATTGGGTATGTCTAGTTTAATGAAGAGAAGGACGAAGAGGGACATTATAGCAGTGTTCCAATATCTCAGGGGCTGCCACAAAGAAGAGGGAGTCAAGCTATTCTTCAAAGTGCCGGAAGGCAGGACAAGAAGCAACAGGTGGAAACTAATCAAGGAGAGAAGCAACCTAGAACTAAGGAGAAACTTCCTGACAGTTAGAACAATTAACCAGTGGAACAACTTGCCTCCAGAAGCGGTGAATGCCCCAACACTGGAGGATTTAAGAAGACACTGGACAGCCATTTGTCCAAAATGGTATAGGGTTTCCTGCCTGAGCAGGGGAGTTGGACTAGATGACCTCCAAGGTCCCTTCCAAATTTACTATTATTATTATTAATAATGAAAACTGATTGTAGCCTGGCTCATCTGATGCAGAGGACTTGGCAGGATTTCCTAACCTATCTTCCTCAAAGTTATAGATGCTAAATTCTCAAAACTGTGTACCATATGGAACTTCATGAAGAATTATGAAGAGACAATGTCTAAGTCAGAGGTGTCAAACTCAATTTCGCTGAGGGCCGCGTCAGCATTGTGGTTTCCCTTGGGGGGCCGGATGGGTGTGGCCAGTGTGGGTGCAGCCTACTGGGTAAGCATGGATAGAGTGGGTGTGGCCTACTGGGTAGATGTGGTCAGTTCTACATCATTCGCGTCAAGTGTGCCTGTGGGGGCCTGGGCAGGAGTGGGACAGATCTGAGGGTCTCTGGAAGAAGGGGATGGGACCGGGGCAAGTGCCAAGGCATGGTCCACTGGGGCAAGTGCCAAGATGGCCACCACAAAATTGTACATTGGCTCCCAGCTGGCCTGGACCAGGGCCAAGGCAGAGGGGGCCGTTCCCTCACTGTTTCCAGGATGGCTTTGCAGGCCACATGAAACCACTTCGCGGGCCGCATCCGGCCCCCGGGGCTTGTGTTTGACATGTCTGGTCTAAGTAGTTAAACTTACTGAAATTGTCCTATTGCACAACAAATTCGGGTTTCACACCAAATTGGACTAGTGAACCTTAAATCCAAAATGTTCCTTTAATTGCTCAGCAATTTGCTGAGATTTGGTGAACAATTCTGAACACCTTTAGGCAGCCAAGACTCTCAGTCTTTAAAGATTTATGCATCAGCTTTAGTATATAAAACAACAGACTGAGTGGGTGGGGAAGATAGAGAAATGAAACTACATAATTTGTTCATCATGGATTGTTTCAGGATCTGCATCAAAATCAAAATATTTTCTTATATTGTAACACCACCATTGCCTATTAACTTGATATATGAAATAATTTTTCCTACAGAAATAGCAACTATGCCTGCAAGTAACATGTATTTCTATCCCAAAACCAGTGGTGGGATTCAGCCAGTTCGCACCACTTCGGCAGAACCGGTAGCTAATTTTTTGTTGCCCAGGTCCAGACTGGAAGCGGCATCCACACAGAGAACCAGTTGTTCACATAATTGAATCCCATCACTGCCCAAAACTATATAGTTACTTACATAACACTTTCTGTCAGTTTGCCTATTTGAAACAAATTAGAATGTAAAGGAGATTTCTCTAAATAGCATCTGTAAAATGTCTACTGTTTTTGTAAACATTGCCTCCCAACAATGTGAAAAATTATATACTTCTCTAAATCTGTAAATGTTCCTGTTGCACAAACTTTGTTCATATCTGTTTGAATCAGGGTAGGTTGATACTTACAGAAGAAACAACTGCAATTACAGTTGCTATTGAATTCTAAATGAAATTAGAAAAGTTGCATACATTTTTTTTAAAAAAATCACAATTTAAAAGATCTAAAGTGAAGCAGTTATTTGTCTCAAATAGAGAATCTATTTCCTCAGAAATGCTTACCATGCCTAAAAATTCTGCTAAACAAAAACAATTACAGTTATATATGACTGTCTCTTTCTAGTCAATTTGAAATATCAATCTTGTCTTGGTTACAAATCAGACTCCTGATTCAATGCAAGTTAAATTATCTACATTTCTGAAACACTGTATTGGATATAAACTCAATCTTCTGATCAGTAGTCTTTCTTTAGAATTAATAATAGAATGGAAAAATAAATTAGAGGAAAAAGAAATAATGGCAAGAAATCTAGCTAAAACATAGTATCAAAGAGCACATATCATGATACTACCAAAAGAACTGATAGCATAACGGTTGAACTAATTAACCTATGAGCTATGGTTCTGGGCTTTTGTAGTGTACAATGCAGCCTTATTTTCAAAGAACTTTATTAATCTTACTCAATGGCTTTATTTTTTCTTCATTCCTGAAGGTACCCAAATCTCCTGTAGTATTTTCTGATTTTTCTTCATGTTTGCTATGATCTTCAAATGAGATTTTCAAAACTTCATCAAAATCTAATGTTTCTTTCAAAGATTCTGCTGAAGATTCTATAATATGATCATCATGATTTTGGTAATATTTTCTACGATCCTCCTTTTCATAGGGAATTCTCAGACAAATATTTATTTCAAATATTGGGGAATATTCCTCTTCTCCTTTTAGTTGCTTTTTCACTTCTTCTAGGATCTAAATTTATATGAAAGTATAATAAAAATAGAATATTTTTTTAAAAATCATACAAATGGAGCATTGAACATAAAAGATTTTTAATTTAAAACAAGGAACAAATAAAAGCAGAAGATAGAAAAAAAATCCATTATTTTTTATTTGATACTAATTAACAGAGAAGACTACAATGTGATAATGTGCCTTTTATGCTGTTGTAAAGCATGAAGAGATTTTTCAGAAATCTGGAAAATCTATTTAATCTTCATAATTTTTTTTCATAAGGAACCATGAAATGATTTTGTCTTTGAAGGCAAGACTTTGTCTTTGAAGATATAATAATGAATGGCTTTCAGTATATATTTAAACTAAAAATTTAAACCATTAAATTTAATCATTATAATACATATTAACATGAATGTGAACTATTGGATAATCAATGTTGCAAGATACCTTCATTTAGAAATGAATTCACCTTGTCTATATCACTGACAGTAACAATTTCACGTGCTTCTGATTCCTTTGAACGGTGCAATAATTTCTGAGTGCCTTCAAAATGCTCATTTTCATAGACCCACTGGCATCTATTTTCAGTCAATAAGCAAAATGCTTTCTCAATTGTATTTTTATATGCTCTGCATATGTGAAAAAATAGGAGAAATCCTAATTTATATTTTAAATAGCATAATTCATTTTAACAATTGATAATACCTGAAGGTTACTTAATATATCAAGACGTTGGGGCAATACTAGGAGACAGTAGAATAGATATTTAAGACAACTCCCAAAATTCTCCAGTGAGAAAGGGCTTACAAATAGTGAAGACAGAGGAAGTGACCATCTTGAACCATGCCCACATGTGAGAGACAATATTATAGTTTAGTTATAGATATTTCCTTTGTACAGGAATAAAACTAGCACATGCAACTCAGAGAGAAAAAGGAGCAATAAATTATTATTCATTTACTTAAGTATATGGTATATCAATTTTTATTTAAAATATAAATATTTTGGCCCCTCACTTGTTTTCCATAATAAGCATTTACTCCAAGAATTATTTTATAATTTTTATAATATCCTAAGCTTAAAAATAAAGGAACTCTTAACAATTACTAAATAATAATAAAAAATCTAAGATAAATTTTATAAACAATATTATTAAGTAAGAGCCAGTGTTTTAATCATGAAATAGGTAAAACTAACCTCATAAGGCTTTCATTTGTCTTCTTTTTTGAAATGGTCATATTACTGGAACCTTTAAATATCTCCAAAAGAGTAGTTATGGCATTGTTTACCAATCTGCGAAGAAATTCTTGAAAGATTCTATCTATAAGCTTAAGAAACTTAGAAAAGCGTTCCATAATATGCCGCCATTGAGCTATCTCAAAGTATTTTGGTTTCTCTTTGAAATCATGCAGTGAATGCTGAAAAAGTTTTTCTGCTCCCTTCATTTTTGCTACCTGTAGCATTATGAAATAATAAATTTGCAAAAGTAATAAATATATACAGCATTTTTCATCATGTAGACATTTTGTATTATTTACTTTTCATCACCAGGATTGTTTTCAACAAGGAAAACAAAATTTGAAGACATTTCATACATATGTATTTCTTACCAGAATTGCCATATAGCAAAAAGGGGGGTAGTGGTGGTAGTGAATAACAAGTGCAACCATAGCCTTGACTATTGAAAATTGATTATGTTTGACCACAAAATCAGATATCTATGAAACTCTTATGGAAGACAAATGAGAAAGGTGGACTGAACAGCAATCTTATTTTGAAAAAGAATCCAGAACCTTTAAGAATCAGGAACTTTTAATAAAGTTCTAACATACCAAGACAGTCCAATTAAGAATATTATGGTAGAAATCATACTCCACAATCCATTGACATAGAAAAATGACAGCATTGTCATTGCTTGTGCATGCAATTAACAATTAACAGATCTGTCGCATTTCAGGTCTCCTCATGTAATTACAGAGATCAAAATATTGGGATATTCATATCAATTAAAGATGAAATACCCACGATTTTTAAACAGAAAGAATGATACAATTGAGAATTCATATCAAATTTCCAGAAATCTCATGAATCAGCAATGGGAGGAATGAAATGGGATGTGAAAATAAACTTTTTAGATCTGTGCTGTATTTTAACAAATAAAGAAACACAACCTTTTGAAATTGAAGGCCTCTTATAACTTTGGTGGCAATGTTTTCTTATTCGAAGAGCTAGTAGGTTTTGCTATGGCTGCTTGAATGTACAAATGGGAAAGAGAAATACTACAGGGGCCTCATTGATCATGCAAATAGTATACACCTTTTTTTTAGCAGCTACAGATAAGACCTAATCATGATTGACACAATTAGAATATGTTAATCATAGGACGAGTTATTCAAATTAACAGAAGCATCAGAAAGGATAAAAAGTTCTAGCGTATATGAAAAATGTATTATTACACAGCTAGGTCTCTTGTTCCATCGAATGATAGGGAAATGTATGAATGTACATTGAGGAAAGGTGAGCCAACTGCAATTTCTTCAAAAATGTGAGAAATCATGTTCATATCATATTCTGATGGAAGGCAGTATCTGTGAAATAGACATCATATATGGAAGCAATATGGAAATAGTGAAAACTCATTAAATCATGAACAGAATGATCATAGTTTGGAGGTTCAGAACACCTTGTTAGATGATCCTGATCCTATTGTTGAAGACCATGTAAGGGAAGCAGATGATCCAATACTGAGAGAGGACAATTCCTCTAATACAACAGGATCACCCATACATGTGTCATGTCATTGAAAATCTGCCATTTTTCCAGCATGACTAAAAGGTTATATTCTTTCAGAAATTTATGATGGTAAAGAATATCCACATTGGCATGCTAAATACTGGTGACTTCTACCACCATCAAGTCCTTGTTATCGTTTTGTATTTTAAATTTGTTTTATATACTTTTGTATATGTAGTTAGTTACAGTTATATGTATACAGTGAACAACTTGCCTCCAGAAATTGTAGGTGCTCTAACACTAAAGGTTTTTAGGAAGAGATTGGACCAACATTTCTCTGAATGTAAAAGGTTTTCTTGCTTGAGTAGGTGGTTGAACTAGAAGACCTCCAAGGTCCCCTCCAACTCTGTTATTCTGTTATACTTTTACATATTTTCATACATACCATTTTTTCTCTGAAAGTAAGACCTACCCCAAAAATAAGCCCTAGCTTTGGGGCAAGGCGCACAGCTAAAAATTAAGCTAGGGTGGGGGTGGGGATGTGGAGCTGTCCCACGCTTCGTGCACCCACTTACCTTGCAGCCAGGCCTCTCCTCGCTGGCCCACTTCTTCTGCGGCGTCCACAGACCTGCATTTCGCAGTCAGTCCTTTCCAGAAAGCCACTGCAGACGAAAATTCAATCCATAGCTCAGTTCTGCAAGGCCTCTGCAGCCAAAAGAACAGGTGCAGAAAGCCCTGACTGCAAAATGCAGGCCCAATTTCCATTCTGAGCTGCAGAATGAAGCTGCTCCTTCAGTCGCAGAAGAAGTGGGCCGGCTGGGCGGGGCTGTCAGTGCTGGAGGTGAGTGGAAAAGCCACCCCCCGAAAATAAGACCTGGTGCCTCTTTTGGAGGAAAAAAATAAAACCCAGTCTTATTTTCAGGGAAACATGATATAATCCATATGCCTGCTTTTAATTTTATCAATGGCAGATATAGAGAGATGTGTTGGTCATGGAGGCTGAAGTGCTGGATTACTGCACTATGAAGGTAAATGAACAAGATGATGTTTATGGTCCTTTCCAATAATTTTATTCTACAATTTTATTAAAACCTTTCTTTGATGTCTGGTTCAGAAAAACCTGCAGAGATTTCTGTGGCCCCTTGACCTCCAGAAAATAGGGTTTTTAGTTACTTCGGAACCAAAACTAGAAATAATCCATCATACAATGCCCTGGTAAGGCCACACTTGGAATACTGCATCCAGTTTTGGTCACCACAATGTAAAAAAGATGTTGAAACTCTAGAAAGAGTACAGAGAAGAGCAACAAGGATGATTAGGGGACTGGAGGCTAAAGCATATAAGGAACGGCTGCTGGAATTGGGTATGTCTAGTTTAATGAAGAGAAGGACGAGGAGGGACATGATAGCAGTGTTCCAATATCTCAGGGGCTGCCACAAAGAAGAGGGAGTGAAGCTATTTTCCAAGGCGCCTGAAGGCAGGACAAGAAGCAATGGGTGGAAACTAACCAAAGAGAGAAGCAACCTAGAACCAAGGAGAAACTTCCTGACAGTTAGAACAATTAACCAGTGGAACAACCTGCCTCCAGAAGTGGTGAATGCTCCAACACTGGAAATTTTTAAGAAGACACTGGACAGTCATTTGTCCAAAATGGTATAGGGTTTCCTGCCTGAGCAGGGGGTTGAACTAGATGACCTCCAAGGTCCCTTCCAACTTTACTATTATTATTATAAATATCTCCTACTCGCAGAGAGAGAAAATAGCATATGTAAGCATCTAACTTCAAAATTATGCATTAGTCTGCCAAGGATTTTAAAAAGAGTATAAGATAATTGTGATCAAATAGTAAAAATATCTTATTCATCACTACTTTCTCCATCAGATCAGAAAAAATAATTATTATACTTACTGAGAGTTAAAAGTCCTAACAATATAGCTTAAGAAAAACATTAAAGTATATTGGAAATACATTCAAAAATAAACATACTCAAGATAAAAATGCAATATATATATATATATATAAAAATGCATTAATTACCTTTAAAAAGCAGGTCTGAATTACTTTGATTACATTATCTTTAAAAGCTTGGAGTTGAGATAAAGCATGTTGACTCTGTTGATATTGTTCCTCACAAAATTTATCTAATGTGTATGTATAGGATGTATTTATCTAAGAACAAAAGAAAAAAATATTATAAATAATATTTTTGCTGGAATTGGATATGTCTAGTTTAATGAAGAGAAGGACGTGGGGGGACATGATAGCAGTGTTCCAATATTTCAGGGGCTGCCACAAAGAAGAGGAGTCAAGCTATTCTCCAAACACCTGAAGGCAGGACAAGAAGCAATGGATGGAAACTAATCGAAGAGAGAAGCAACCTAGAACTAAGGAGAAACTTCCTGACAGTTAGAACAATTAACCAGTGGAACATTCTACCTCCAGAAGTGGTGAATGCTCCAATACTGGAAGTTTTTAAGAAGAGACTGGACAGCCATTTTTCTGAAATGGTATAGGGTTTCCTGCCTGAGCAGGGCATTGGACTAGATGACTTCCAAGGTCCCTTCCAACTTTATTATTATTATTATTATTATTATTATTATTATTATTATTATTATTATTATTATTATTATTATTAATCATCATCGCACAGTCAGCCAGATGTTCAGACTGGATTTGGCATTTTGTCTACCTATCGAGTCCTTACCCAGGACCTGGGATAGGCAGATGTGGATGTTTGATGGTATTACAGATATCGTCGCAGGATGGAAGCAGTTCCTAGTAAGGCCGCCTTTTGCAATTGACTAATACCGAATTTGTCAATGCCAATGGTGTTCAAGTGGTGCTCCAGTTGTTTTGGGATTGCACCTAAGGAGCCTATTACTATTGGTACTACCCTTGCTTGCTTTTGCCACAGTCTTTCTATTTCTATTTGTAGGTCTTTGTATTTTGTATCTTCTCCAGTTCTTTCTCTTCTATTCTGCTGTCTCCAGGCACTGCCACATCCACTATCCAGACTTTTTTGTCTTTCTTATCGACAATTTTTAAGTCTGGGGTGTTATGTTGCAGGTGCTTGTCTGTTTGAATTCTGAAGTCCCAGAGCAGTTTAATTTTATCATTTTCTATGACTTTCTCTATTTTATGATCCCACAAGTTTTTGCTTACAGGCAAATGATATTTTTTGCAGATCTTCCAATGCACCATTGTTGCTACTTTGTCATGCCGCTGCTTGTAGTCAGTCTGTGCAATCTTCTTGCAACAGCTTACCAGGTGGTCCACTGTTTCTTCAGATTCTTTGCATAGGCGGCACTTACTGTCTGTTGCTGTCTTCTCAATTTTGACTTTATATGCATTTGTCCTTAAGGCTTGGTCTTGTGCAGCCAGAATTAGTCCCTCGGTCTCTTTCTTCAATTTTCCTGCTCTTAGCCATTGCCAGGTTTTATTATTATCTGCTTTCCCAGCTATTTTTTTAATGTATTGGCATGTAGTGCTTTGTCTTCCCATGCCTCTATTCTGTTCTTCATTTGGTCTTTCTTGTAGGCCAGTTTGGTCTCTCCAGTAGTTAGTAAGCCTTCCTGATATACTAATTTCAGTGCATCTTCATCATTGTTCTTCAGATATTCTTCCAAAGCCATTTTTTCTTCTTCAACCATCTGAGGTACTTGTAGCATTCCACGCCCACCTATTTGCCTTGGTAGATAAAGTCTATCAATGTCACTGCGTGGATGAAGGGCATGATTCATTGTCATTATTTTTCTGGTCTGCCTATCCATTGCTTTTAGTTCTACTTGAGTCCAGTCCACTATTCCAGCTGTGTACCTAATGACTGGGATTGCTCAGGTGTTGATTCCCCTTATGGTATTTCCTCCATTGAGTTTGGATTTTAAGATCTTCTTCACTCTCTTGATGTATTCACCTCTAATCTTTTTCTTTGACTTCAGTGTGCTTGATGTTGTCAGCTTGAAGGATACCCAAGTATTTGTAGTACTCTTTCTCATCCAGACTCTTAATGTTATTTTCGTGGGGCATCTTGATTCCTTCAGTTTTCATTATTTTTCCTTGTTTAATAGTAAGTGTGGCACATTTGTCCAAGCCAAACTCCATTATAATATCTTGGCTATATATACGGACAGTGTTGAGCAGCGATTCTATTTCAGATGATGTTTTTCCATACAGCTTCAGATCATCCATATAAAGGAGGTGGGATAGTCTGGCAGATGTTTTTGATGTTTGATAGCCATGTCCTGAGTTATTTAGTATTTATTATTATTATTATTATTATTATTATTATTATTATTATTATTTACAATTTCCCTGAAATGGATGCAAATTCTTATGCATTCTTCTCATTCATCTGCAGAAGAATAAATGTTAGCATGGTACACACACATCCAAATATACTTATTAACTATCATAGTTGAAACAGTTGCTAATTGATTTTCCTAACCTGCATTAATGGGCAGTCAAAACTTGAGATGCAAAATTTTTAAAATTTTTAAAATCAGAGAGCAATTAGAAGAAAAATGTGGCTCTAAATCCCCAGCTCGAAATGTTGTCCATCTGAATGAAGTTATTTAGCATTAAACTGAATCACTCAGTGACAGAACTTATTAATATAAAGTTTGGTGCCTCCAGATGTGTGTGTATGAATGTTCAGAGAGCGGGGAAGAGGAAATTGAATGGTTTGTTACATTTTCAAACTAGTTTCCCAGTTTCTAGCCTGATGTCTTAACCACTATATAAAACTGGCTCTTATTTTTATTATTTTTTTACACATTTTACACAGTTAAAATATTTACTCTTACCTTTATGAAATTTATAGTTGTTTGTTCAGATGATCTGGGCTTCTCTGGATTACTCAGATCTACACACAAGGTTTGGAGATAAAGTAAGCAACTTTGCAATATCTCATCAGCAAAAAATAGTTGCTTATACAATATCATTCTGCAAACAAAATAAGATCAATATTTTAAATTACTACAAGTTTCCAGTTTATAATAATAAATATAAGTAGACATATGCCTTGGAATTCAGCAATTCATCTGAAAGTCATTATCTCATAAACTTGGTTGATATATATGGATTTATTTATCTGAAGGAGAATCTAAACTAAAACCAGAGGAGAATTGGAAAGGGAAAGCCATATTTCTCAGTCATTTGCCTATGCTCAGTTAACAAAGATTTAAACTGGATAAGGATTTTGTTGTTTCCGATGGGAAAACTGATTTTGAGTTAGATTTAAGTACCAATAATGAACATGTGATTGCTAAGATGCATAAATTATTGTTGAAAATGAATATGGAGGATGAAACGTTAAAGACTGTATGATAAAATTGGCAAGAAACTTTGATTGCAACATAATGCTTGATCAATGGGAGAATATGTGGAGTAAAGGACTGAAATTTATACTGAATAATAACTTGAAATAGAGAGATGATGTATCATTGGCACTTAACACCATATAAATTGTCAGACAGTTTGTATAAGGGTGTGTCAAATACATGTTGGAAATGTATACAGTCTGAAGGCACTTTTTATCACTTCTAGTGGCCATGTAAGAAAACTAAGACTTTTTGCAATCAGATAAGTATTTTTAACTCAGACAATTCTTAAACTGAATGTACAATTGAAACCAGAGCTTTTCTTATATGTTACAATTACTGTATTTTTCCGTCTATAAGATGTACCCTTGTATAAGACGCTCTGGCATGCGAGTTCCAAGCTTACAGCAAACAAAGTCAGTGCTGGGAACAACCACCTCCTAGCACTTTAAATAGATGCTTCCTGGCCAGCCCCACCTACCACCCACCTAACCAGCATCCAGCATGATGAGCATGCATACTCAGTTCACAGCAGCAGCCTTCCAACCCTGGTAAACAAACTGGCGTGAGTACCAGCATGAAAGCAAGACAAGGGAAGCGCAGGCAGGTTTTAAACTCCCCGTTTCTCCGTGCCGATCAGCTGTTCAACGGAGTGCTGAACAGCTGAATCAGCAAATCTGGAAGTTTGGGCGGCCAATGATCTTGCCCCCTCCCCCCTCCCATTAGTGGCAAGCCTACGGGGGCTTGACACCTGCACCAGGCTGCATGGCAGTGGCATGTAAAGAACCCACACAGGCATGCCCTGGGCTGTGGAAGTTACCATTGTTTTTTCGTGTATAAGACGCACCTGATATTTGAACAGGGTGTTTTCAGGAAAAAATAGCGTCTTATACACGTTATACGGTATCTGCAAGGTTTCTCTATGCACAGAGATGGAAGGACTCACATATACCTTCAGTGGAAGAATGGATGGTGAAATTAATGGAGTTGGCAGAGATGACGAAACTGACAGTTCTGATTAGACAAAGATTTTATCTAGCTTTGTTTTTACTTGGAAATAATTCTTGTATTTTTTGCTTGAAATTGAAAGAAATGAAATTTTAATCTTGTGTTATACTGTTTGTAATGGTTTATTCTAATTCAAAGGGTCATTGATTTTTAGGTTTTATCTGTATAAAATAAAGTCAAAAGTTACTTTTCTCTATATTTTCCCCCTTTTTCCTCTACTTTTTTATATTTTATATATTTCTTTGAAATGTAATAAAGTTTTGAAAGAAAGAAAGTCATTATTTGACCTCCAGAATAAAAGAGGAGAAATAAAATAGAATTACTGGTGACCCTGTGCTCCCTGCCTTTCCTGGAAGATAGGAAGAGTGAATTCTTGTGTGACTATCATCTTACATAAAACTAAGAAATTATTTTAAATGTTTTCCAACATTCAGTGAAACCCCACTAAAATAATTGAATCACAAAACGGATGAGTTAGAAAGGTTTTATATAATGTGCAGGTCTCCCTAATAGGGCCATCCACTTCTTCATGCAAAATGTTTTACTGTGATTCTACCAGATGACAATCCCTAATCAATAGGACCATGCATTCTTAGATCCTTAACACATGCACTATTATCAAGGAATATATCCTCAAATATGGTAGTTATGCATTTGATTTTTCCTGTTCAGACTAGTGTTTTACACGTTACTTTTTAAAACATGCCTTCCACCTGAAAAAAAGAGTAATCAACTCACTCAGTACAAATACTTACTGATTTATCTTTGTTTTTGAACACTTAACATTATTTTTCCAGAGGATAAAATATTTCTTTTTTCTGAAGAGAAAAGAAAAATCTTCTGAGAAAGAAACAGATTTGATTGTATAATCAAGGATTATTGAGCCAGAGATATGTATAACTATTACCCACAAATATTAAATATTTAACATAATTTTATATGACTAAAATGTAATAATTATTTTAACAGAATATGCAACCTTCTCTGATGGCATCCCCACTGACTTTCTGAGGAAACCAGCAGAGTAAATGGCAAATATTAATCACATGAATGTAGAACATTTGACAACTGAAAAATTTGCCAAACACCCAAAATAAGATTAAGTGACCCAGTGGGGGGGGGGATGGCATGACCATTTACAATGGCTAGAAGTACTTTACAGATTGTAAAGCACCTGTTCTAAGGCCATCATAAATGCAAATGGATGCAAAACAACTGGATTTAAGTCAAGGTTTACAGATAATCCCTGAGTTATGAACGTTCACTTAACGCTTGTTCAAAGTTACTTGATGAGAGCCCCCTAGTGCTTATGAGCAAGTCCCGAAGTTACAAATATTGCAGCACTACAGCAGTTGTTTGCCTTTACAAGCAACTGCAGTGGCTCTGCAACATTCACCCTGGTTATTCCCTCCCTCCCTACCCCTGCCCACGTCTCCCTAGGCACCAGGCCTTCAATACTCACCCTACGAAGGATAGAAATCCTTCGCTTTCTTGGCTACTCCAGGCCTTTAGTACATTCACAAAGAATGGAGGCCTAAAGTAACGCAAGGTCATGCAAGATCAGTGGGGTGAGATCTCATGCTATTGATCTCGCATGATCTCATGGTACTTTAGGCCTCTGTTCTCTGTAACAAAGAACGGAACCAAAGCTAGGGGATGCTTCCACGTGCCACCGGAGGCTGGATCCGGGATCTAGAGGTGTTTTCCAGGCCACTGCTGCCCAGATCTGAGGTCAGGGAATGCTTCCGCGCCCCCCGCAGCCCGATCTGGGATCCAGAGGCATTTTCCAGGCCCGATCAGAACGCAGGGGGGTGCATGGAAGCATCCCCTGGCCTCAGATCCAGGCGGCAGCAGGAACCGTGGCAGAGAGGAGATTGATCTTTTCCAGGTGAGTCCGGTGTGGCAGGAAGGGAGGGGGAAGCATGAGGTATGTTAGTGGGTCAGGGAGGCCTTGGGGGCCTGTTTCATCACCAGGACCTCCATGGCCTTCCCCACCCTGAGATACCTCATGTTTGCTTAACGAACCACATATATTTTAACGAGCAAGGGAATAATCTTGTTTGAGATACGAGATTTATTCTATGAGTTTGCGAGTTACCAGTGGAATGGGCTCCACTACATTGTAACTCGAGAACTACCTGTATGTATAAGTCATTACTTCATTGCCCCATAGACCAGGAGCCCCCAACCCCCGGTCTGTGGACCAGTACCGGGCCGCAACATGCCAGCAACCGGGCCGCACAAACAAGCAAAGCCCCATCCGTGGGATGCAGGCAGCACACAAAACCATGCCACCTCCAGTTCACAGAAAAACCTCTCTCCACAGAACCAGTCCCTGGTGCCCAAAAAGTTGGGGACCTCTGCCATAGACTATATGGGACATGAAATGATGATAACTAAAAACTACTTGGTCCAAAATGCAATGGCTAGAATCCTAATCAAACAATGTGTACAATCTAACATCAGTACTCCCATTGCCATACCAATCATCTTTGGCTAAGAGGGGCACCAGACACCTAGCTTTGCACAGCCTATTTTTGTGGGAGTAGGACATACAGCATGGGAATATTGTTCCATGGAAAATTAAATGTAACTATTCTATGTCCAGACAAAAACAAAATATTAAAGTCCCAAACTAAAACAATACCACGGAAAAATAAAAATAAAAGAGACCAGCATGATTGCACAAATAGCTCTCTGACAAGCTGAGGGACAAGGATATTTAACAAAACAGAATACCAGCACATAACATGAATCTGCAGGGATGAAATGAGAAAGGTTAAGATTAAGACTTGCAACAAATGCCAATAATAACAACAACAAAGCTCAACCCATCAAAAGCAGCATAGTGGGAGATCAAACAGATACACAGATCAAAATATGTAAGAAATTGGTTAAAAACACCTATTCACAAGCACCAGATGGTTTATATCCCACATACTGAAAAAGCTGGCAGATGTGATCTCAATTCTAACTTTGCGAGATCTTTTTTTTTCCCGCGAGAAGTTGAAATTGATTGATTGAACCTTATTTTTTCACACAGTGGCGGAGGCCTAAAGCGAAAAGGTTTTATAAAACCCAGTTGAAGGCCTAGGACTGGGGTGACAGCATGCATGCCCACAGAGAGGGCTCTGTGTGTCACCTGTGGCACGCGTGCCATAGGTTCGCCACCACAGGATTAGGGTGATATAGCTGGTTTCCAATACTTGAAAAGCTATCACAAAGAAGAGCGGGTCAACTTAGTCTCTGAAGCATCTGAGGATAGGACAAGAAGCAATGGATGGAAACTTGTTAAAGAAAGATCCAAGTTGGAAATAAGGAGAATTTTTCTGACAATGAGAGCAGTTAACCAATGGGACAGCTTGCCTCCAAAAGTTATAAGTGCTCTGACACTGGAGGTTTTCAAGAAAATATACAGGATAATCACCTGCCCTGAATAATATAAAGTCTCCTCCTTGGGGAGGGGGTTGGACTGAGAGTTTTCAAAGATTCCTTCTCTGATTCTATGACATAACATCTGGTGTAGTCTTAAATCTCTATAGCTGAAAAATGTTACAGTTTCCACACTGAACTGTTTTGTCATATATAGCTAATCACAACATCCAAAATATCCTACTACACTTGAATAAATAATTGCACACATATCATTTGTTCCATAAATATCTCTTACCTGAAATTAAAATATAAATCCATGTTATGTAACACATTATAAAGTTGTCTTTCATATAACCATTCCATTACTGGAGTTATTTCCATTTCTTGTTTTCCACACACTGAGGTGAACTGGAAAATGAGGCAAAAGCTAGGATATTTAACTATATTTCAGAATTTATGAATTTACATTCCATTGTCATAATTTTTATGTCCAAATAAAGGAAAATCTGATTGTTCAGATTTATAGCAATTCCCTCAACAATCCTGTCAAAGAAAACCACAATATTTGTATAAAGCAAGGGTGAGTAATGTGTGGCCCACAGACTACGTACAGCTCCATCTGCATCTTAGCACCTCAAATTTATACCAAAATTTGGTAGGAAAATGGCTTATTTTCTGTAGTACTTTTTTTTACTTTTCAGAATAAAGGGTGGAGATGGAAGCTGGAAACTTTGAAAGGTCCAGTTCAAACCATCTCAATTCCCATTCTTAAATTCCTATCCAAAAAGCAGACCGCCACTCCCCCCCACTTCAAAATTATGCTACCAAATCCAGCACCAAAAATTAACAATTATTTTTGAATTTTGTAAAGTGATTGTTCAGAATGGAAGCCATTTGGCTACAAGAAACCTACTGCTCCCGTTCTCATTATTACCCCCCTACTCCATGCAAGAAACAACATAAATAATCTAACACTACCACTTCTCTTACAGTCCTCTAGTTTCAGAAGATAAATATTGTTAATGATCACTAATCCCTCTGATATTACCTACTCCTGAAAGATAAATAGGTAGCAGTGATAGGAAACTGCAACTGACAAATCTGGTCTGTTCCATTGCACTATAATGTTTCTATATTTTTACCTTTAGATGGTGCTGGTGAATTACAAAAGAAATAGTGATGCAGGTATCATTCCTTGTGGTTGTCTTTTTAAGGACAAGAAAAAAAGACTACTATGCACAAACAATCTTTGTTGCCTGCAAATCCACCCATACTTTTTAAAATTCAAATCCTTTTATTTTTATCAATATATTAAAAAATACAGTTAAGTATACCCAATATGATGAGGACCGGCCATCTTTGTCTCTACAAGACAGCTGGAGGGTGGAGTCACTTGGCATTTTATTGGAAAAAACTTTTCTGAAGAAATATAATTACAGTGGCTCAAATAGACATTATATCCCAAAAGGAAAATAATGAATAAAAAGCAAATTTTATCCACTCTTCCTTGTTCCTACTGAGAGGGGGAAGTAAAATGAGCAGAGCTGAGATTTTCAGAACACTTCTTCTATTCTTTTAGAGTTTACATTAGAGTTTTTCATTGTTTGATCTACAGTTCAGAAGCACAATCAAAAGAAGGTCAGAACTGGTGTGACAGTGTTTACCATTCTGTTCTTGCACTAGCTGTCATTCTGAAAAAAACATCTAAGGAATACAAGTGAGAATGAATATTTTTCATATGCTTATTTATAATTTGTTGTTATACAGTATCTTTCCTCAGGGAAATGCAGAGAAAGTTTTATTTTATTATTTTATTTTATGCCTCAATTCAATTGAATTCTAAGGCATGCAACTACTGCACAAGGACTTTATGTTTCTGCAGAATTATAGGAAAAAAATAGAAATAAGAAATAATCAGGGAACAGTAATTTGCTATTTCTGGACTGTGAAAAGCGATTTGTTACCTTGGATACATATGAGGCACTAATAGTCCAATATTCTTTACTTGGTCTAGCCATATTTGCAGAGACTACTTGAAGATCATATGGATTGTAGGCTGCTTTGGGGTCATCCCTACTTCTTATAAGACAGTATATGTATTCTCCATCATCTTTCTTTAATGCATCATCCTGAAAACAGAAATCAAGTGGTAAAATGTGAATTATTTATAAAAATTAAAATTGTTAATACTTAGACATCATAATTCATTTTGTTAAATTATATAGGACATAGTTGAGGTACTTATTTAAGTTGAATTGATTCAAAATAGAATGTATTTTCACAATTTAAAGGTATCATTCAGAAAAATTGGAAGATTCAAAGAAGGGCATTTAGAATGATCAGAAACTAGAAATCATGAAGTGAAATTAGAAGTAAGTGTTTTTGCTTCGCAAAAAGATGATAGCAGTGTGTAATGGTACTATTCAACTACCTGAAAGTGCTCTGTTACAATTATGATTATATATAATGATTATTAAATAAAATGAATAAAAGATCAAGGAAACCATAAATTACTGTTAGATGCCTAACTCTTATTTAGGAAATAGGAATTAACAAGCTTCTCTATCTATAATTTTAGAAAGTGTTTTCAAACATATCTTCTTATTCAGCTATCAGAATAACAGAATAACAGAGTTGGAAGGGACCTTGGAGGTCTTATAGTCCAGGAGTCCCCAACCCCTGGTCTGTGGACCAGTACAAGGCTGCAGCATGCCAGCAACCAGGTCGCAAAAACAAGCACAGCCCCATCTGCAAGCTGCAGGCAGCACACAAAACCATGCACCCTCCAGCCTGCGGAAAAACCTCTCTCCATGGAACTGGTCCCTGGTGTCCAAAATGTTGGAGACCTCTGTTCTAGTCCAACCCTCTGCTCAGGCAGGAAGCCCTATACCATTTCAGACAAATGGTTGTCCAATATTTTCCTAAAAACTTCCAGTATTGGAACATTCATAACTTCTGGAGGCAGGTTGTTCCACTGATTAATTGTTCTAACTGTCAGGAAATTTCTCCTTAGTCCTAGGTTGCTTTTCTCCTTGATTAATTTCCATCCATTGCTTCTTGTCCTGCCTTCAGGTGGCTTTGAAGAATACGTTAACTCCCGCTTCTTTGTGGCAACCTCTGAGATATTGGAAGATTGCTATCATGTCACCCCTAGTCCTTCTTTTCATTAAACTAGATGTACCCAATTCCAGTGACCGTTCTTTATATGTTTTAATCTTTTTTGCACTCTGCACTCTTTCTAGAGTCTCAACATCTCTTTTACATCATGATGACCAAAACTGGATGCAGTATTCCAAGTGTGGTCTTATCAAGGCATTATAAAGTGCTATTATCGTGATCCAATTCAATTCAATTTATTATTACAGCCAAAGGCCACACATAAATCAAACATCCTAATAAAACAAAACTAGACAGAGCCATCACAAGAGGACATAGCAATATATCACAATCAATGGTGCAATCAATGGGTGACCAAGGTCTGCCTAGTTTTACAGGCAGTAGATCAAAAACAAACTGTCTTCAGAAACTGAAACATACTGACCTGACACTAAAAATACAATAAGTATAGTCTAAAATTGGATAAAACACGTAATAAAATCAATTTTAAAAGATGATTAAAAGGATCTAAAATGATTATGATTCTGGCGAATCCCCAATGCTGCAGCACAGAATCTGGCCACCTGTGCCATGATCTCTACCTGCTCATCCTTAAGCAGCCACTGGAGATTGATTCTTTCCAAATGACCAGGATATCTATCGATTATAGGGAGGGTATGGTTTTTCCGAATGGCTCTGTAGAAAGAACATTGAAGGAGTATGTGTCCAATGGTCTCCACCTCTCCTGAGCCACAGGAGCAGAGTCTTTCAGACAGTGGTGTCTTTTTGTACTTGCCGTACAAAACGGCCGATGGAAACGCATGGCACCATGCAAGCGAGAATGCTTTCTGGTGGTATACTGACTCCAACTGACTAAGATACCTGGCAGGTGTAACCACGTATCTAATAGATGTCAGACGTCCTTCTTCGTCCATGTAAACAAATCCAGGAACGTAGGAACGAGTTGACAAGCAGGTTTATTCTGTGCAGTAATAAAGTCAGCACTGGGAGTGATCTGCTCCCAGCACTTAAATAGCCTCCCCCAGCCTGCAGTTCTGCCCCCAATCAGCAAGCCAGCATCCCGCCATTCTGTGTGCCGACGGATCCAGGCTTGACAATAGAGTCTGGAGCCAGAAACAGCAGAGCTATACCTAAGTCCGCTTGCCTCTTGATGTCCTCTACCCTTTGACGCAAGGTTTGTTTTGCTTGGTCATAGTCCAATTTAAGAATTGAGGCTGATGAAAAGCCTAGTTTGGCAAGGTTGGACTCGACTGCCTTGATCCATGAAGAGGACAATTTATCTTGTAGAATTAATGGAGCAAGGCCTTGCGGAAAACAATTAAGTGTTAGCCAGATGTTTAAGGAAGCTATACAGATTCTTGCTTTGACTTTTATCAATCCTGTCTCCAGGCGCAGAAGTGCATTAGGAGCATAGCAAGGCATCTGGAGAATTGTTCTGATAAATTTGGATTGAACTCTTTCCAGTGGTGTAAAACACGAAGCTGAGGATCCGAGCAAGGTTCCGTAGAGAAGCTGTGTTAGCAACTTGGCCAAGAAAGAGTTTAATTGCAGCTGGAACATAGTGTCTTCCCTTTGTGCAGAAAAATTTAAGAATGGCATTCGCTGATCATTGGCCAGAGGCAGCCGCATATTCTCCATGGGCTTCATGAGCCGGTGGCATGGATGACCACTCCAAGATACTTAAAGGTGATTACTTGCTCTATTTTGTGGTTATTTAAGTACCATGTGTACTGTTTTGGCCTTTTAGCAAAAGCCATAACCTTTGTTTTCTCATAATTTATGTCCAGTTTATTATATTTGCAGTACTGGACAAGGGCTTGCAAGGCTCTTTTAAGGCCAACTGGAGTCCTGGAGAGAATCACAGCGTCATCATCTGCATAGAGCAGCAGAACAATGCTTTGGTCACCTATTTTTCGGGGGTGGTAATTTGGATTATTCAACCATTTTACCATATCATTTATATAAAAATTAAAAAGCAAGGTGGCCAAAATGCACCCATTTAACCCCCTTTTGAGTTTCAACAGACCTCGAGAGAGACCCTTGCATATTACACCTCACCTTGAGGGATGTTTTAGTATGTAAGGCACGTAATAGATGGAGAAGTCTGTGATCAATTGAGGCAGCTTCCAGCTTCTCCCAAAGCTTAGTCCTTGTAACCGTGTCAAAAGCTGCCTTAAGATCTATAAAGGCAGCGTATAATGATACAGATCTATCTGATGCATATTTTTTAATCAAATGATGAAGAACTAAGCACTGATCTATGCTGCCTCTCCCCTCTCTGAACCCGGCTTGTTCTTCAGCAATCAAGTTCTCAAAGTCCAACCACTCCTTTAATTTATCTTGAAGGTTTTTGGCATAGAGTTTGCTGATTATGTTTAGCAGACTTATTGGTCTGTAGTTGGCAAGATCGTCTTTCTCTTTTTATAAATTGGGACCACAATTGCCAAGCCCCAATCCTCTGGGAGTCAATATAGGTGAATAGCGCTTCCAGAATGGGTATCCACCACTCCATATTATTCTTTAATAATTCGGCCGAAATGAAGTCAGCTCCTGGAGTCTTCCCGATCCTGAGTTGGCCAATGAGGGATTTGATTTCAGACTCTGAAACTGGAGGCCACTCAGGTAAATCATTCATTATAGACCTTGTACTCTCGCTGGAGAGGTCTTCATACATTCTCCGAAAATGGAGTCCCCAGGTTATAGGAAATATATGACAGTCTAATGGGGTATAGATTCTTTCAGAGTGGCAACTTATTAGACACCAAAATAAAGAAGAGTTCTTTTCCTTTGCTGCCACAATGAGCTGTTCCCAAAAAGACATGGTATTTTGTCTCTTCTTGAATGCAATCAATTGCCTGAATTGTTTTTTAAGTGTAGGTAACTGATTAAGAATTGCTTTATTGCCATACCATATCCAGTCTCGCTTTTGTACTCCTTGTATGCCAAGTTAAGGGCTTTCTTGGCTTCTACGCAATCCTTATCAAACCATGGTTTGGAGATGGTACAGGACCTCTTAGCTGAGAAATTTTGGTCATGTACTAATAATGGTTGTAGCTCATAAACTAAACTTTTATATAGTTCTAGTAAATCTTGAGTCAGGTTGGCTGATATAAAGGCTGCACGGATTTTTTTGAAAATTATCCTCTGTTAGGGCTCTCCTTACCTTCTGATCAAGTTGTTGGATCAATTTGACCCGGCATCTTGTTAGGCTGGCTGTAGAGATTGCAGGGATAAAATGGTCCATGGAGGGTATTTGCCTGATAAAGGGCTTCATGTATATACACAGAGGAAGATGATCACTTTCTAGATAAGGCAGGACTTCAAAATTTTCTATATGATGTAATAAGTCCATAGAAGTTAAGATTTAGTCAATGGTGCTAGTTTTGAACCCTGTTATGAATGTAAACTCGCCAGGATAGTCACCAAGACATGAGCCATTTGATATGAAGAAGTTGAATTTATTTGTCAACTTGGCAAGACAGAGGCCGGCGTAGTTAGTTCTAATGTCTTTAGAGAGTCGTATGAGGGGGGCGTTGGTTTGTATATTGGAAAATTGCGCGGTGCGCATGTGCGGCGCCACCCCCATGCGTGCATGCATGCTGCGCATGGGGGCGCTGCCGCACATGCGTGCCGCCGCACATGCACGGCGCACATGGGGCAGCGCTGCGCATGCGCATCACACATGGGGCTGCTGCACATGGGGGCGCCGCGCATGCGTGGCGCGTCCGTGTGACAGGGGTCGCCGTCACACAAAGGTTGAGAACCGCTGAACTAAACGTACCCAATTCCAGCTTTTAACAGTGCTTTGATAATTGGAAACGTATTGGATTATAAAAACCATATATAAAAATAAGAACTATACAAGATTTGGTTGTTTGGACCTTAAGATTGGTTGGTCTGATAAGGCTAATTACAGAGACTATGGTACCGGTGAAAGACTATCTGGAGGGGGGAGACAAAATGATCTGGAGACTTCAAAGATCTGCAGGAACAATATTAAAGTGAAACCAAA